TGTAAGTACCGGTGCCGGTAGGGGGTCGAAAGGCCCGCCGTATACTACTGATATCGTATAAAAATGATTCCCGAATGGGCTTCTCAGTTATACCATGATATTGCGTGATTCAAATAGTGTAGCCATTATTAAATATCTCGGATTCGGCTGTTGGTTTAACTTACTATTTCATGACCAATTCATTTACCCGCCACTATACTATTCATATTTGAATGAGTTGGCCATAAAAAAAGTATGATTGTTAATTCACCAGCCGTCAGATGAATTCGAAAGTGGCGCAAATAGGAAGAAACTTGAAAATCAGTTGTAAGCAACGTCTTAGGACACATCAATAATTCAAAGGCAACAATAATGAATGCCTAGGTGGGACTTTGGTTTTCGAGGCTGCAGGCCTTACACAAGGGCCCTCTCTTTTACAAATACCTGTCAACAAGAAACAGTTTTGGCCAGGCCGGAGAGCGTTCCTTGTTCGCAGGTCTTTTACCGCAGTTTTGAAACATTTATTCAATCTATTTGAACATGTAGTTCAACTTCAATTACAATTTAAAATCGTCGAAGAATAAACAATGGAACGACCAAATAAGAATTGCAAAAGCTAGGGCGATAGGCAGTTGAATACGATTTCTGAGTAGGGGCATCTTCGTATAAATTAAATCAGCTAAATCCCTGATGTGATTGACTGGGAAGCAATAGTATCATGGTATTAACATCTAATTATAATTATATTCAAGGTATGATTATACGAGGAGCAAAAATCTTAATATCAAACAAGTATGCCAAGTCATTCTACTTAGTACAGTAGTAAGCATAGATTACGTAATTTCAAAAGTTTACGCTTCCACACATGAGACTGAGTTTTCTAGGTCTAATATTCGCTAATGGATTGAATAAACGTTTTAAAACTACTGTATTGGTATACGGTAAAACCTGATGAATATGCTCTTTATTACGCGCATGCGCAAACCGCCAACTAAGCATTTTCTAACGAAGCTACCTGTTACACTGGCCAAAAAAGCTTCGTTGGGACCTAACCTTCGTTGAATTTTCTACTCAATTGCTTCGTTATCAACTAAGCTTTTTTAACGAAGGCGGAGGTGTTACACAGGCCCAAAATTGCTTCGTTACGAAGCTTTTTGTCAAAATGCTTCGTAACGAAGCATTTCAACTGGCCTGTGTAACAGGGGTCAATCACAAAAGCAAAATCTCCCAAAAGATCTTCGATATATTATAAATTGGTAACGTTATGAACTTTTTTTTATAAAGGAGGCATGGCGAAAAGGAGAAATATCATTATGACAAACAGTTTGCAATGGGAACTTATACTGTTAGCATTTCAGAAAATGCAAGGCTGCCAAAATGCATGCAAAACTACTTGTAAAATGGGGTATTATTAACCATGAGAAGCTGCATTGTGCAGCCGCATTGCATTGCAGTCTCACGATAACGCATCGTTACCCTTTGCATTCGTTTGACTTCACTTCTTAAAAGAGAGCTTCGTCTTGTAGTTTAACTAGACTCTGCACGCAGGGTAACGCATCGTTCTTTTAAATGATACCTCAACCTTTCTAGGACGCGTCAATCTTACCCGAAAACATCCAAGTGTATTGGCGAGGATTTATAGAAGGTGGCAAGAAACAACTTCTTGACGGGTTGACGATTCGGTGTGTCCTTGGTAAGCCAAAGTCTTAATAAACATAAACATATAAAACAAAAAGTCGTAAAGTTTACATGGCAATGGTAATCATAAATTAATATGATAATCCGAATTGAAGAACTTACCCAACACAGAAAATTCCATTTTGTGTTTTGATGTTTTTTGGACTTCATTTTGCAAATAGATGGCAGTACAAACTTTGTAATAATAACTTTCCAAACGTTGAAACGACGTTTATGTTTGCGTCCAAAGTGCGTCCCGAATGTCTAGAGAGCGATTATTTGACAAATGAAACGAGATATCTCCGTATTTCAAAAGTAGTATCGCTTCTCGGCTTCGACTAAGATCAAAGTGAAAGTATCTGTTCTGATCAGCTTAATATCTGATCGGATCCCATAGGGTCCAAGATGATATTGCTGATTTTTGGTATCCTTGAAGGGGAGAATGTAGCTTGCTACGCCCCATTGGTTGGACTGGTATTGCAGTAACTCCAGTCTGGTCTCACCCCCTCGGGGGTAACAGTAAACAAAATTAAAAAGTCACCTGATATATAAGACGTTGAAAATACGTTTTAGGCCTAAAGCGGTTTACGTCCAAAATACGTCCCTAACATACAGAGAACGTTAAATGACCAAAACCAATAGAGATTCTTTGTCAGATGAAATAATTTCTATTCACATACATCTTGAGATATCGCTTCTCGGCTTCGGCTAAGATCAAAGTGAAAGTATCTGTTCTGATCAGCTTAATATCTGATCGGATCCCATAGGGTCCAAGATGATGTTGCTGATTTTTGGTATCAACGGGAGAATGTAGCTTGCTACGCCCCATTGGTTGGACTGGTATTGCAGTAACTCCAGTCTGGCCTCACCCCTCGGGGGTAACAGTAAACAAAATTAAAAAGCCATCCGATTTCCTAATATCTTCTAAAGATCATCTACGGGGATACTCAGCCTCATTATGACCGTCTTGCACATTTTTGCTTAAACACTACAATTTTTGCTTACAATTAGAAAAATTGTATGATGAAATATAATACAGTCTTTGAGCAAGACTAATCCGAAATCAATTTTCAGATCTCAGTAGGGAATAAGTCGCATTTTTATGATCTTTGATAAGATTGCTTCTACCATTTGACACACATAGCCTATGTGTGCAATATGTTGGTGCTGCTTTAATAGATTGCAGCACCAGTTTTAAGGTCGATATATAAGACGTTGAAAATACGTTTAAGACTATGAAGTGGTTTACGTCCAAAATACGTCCCTAACATACAGAGAACGTTAAATGACCAAAACCAATAGAGATTCTTTGTCAGATGAAATAATTTCTATTCACATACATCTTGAGATATCGCTTCTCGGCTTCGGCTAAGATCAAAGTGAAAGTATCTGTTCTGATCAGCTTAATATCTGATCGGGTCCCATTGGGTCCAAGATGATATTGCTGATTTTTGGTATCAAGGGGAGAATGTAGCTTGCTACGCCCCATCGGTTGGACTGGTATTGCAGTAACTCCAGTCTGGCCTCACCCCCTCGGGGGTAACAGTAAACAAAATTAAAGCAACTCAATTTCACCCTCCCTCATTCTGGCAAACTCCATTCTAATAATTTGCACAATTTTTTCTTCCTTTGCGCATACAAGTTTTGTCGTTCCATAGCTTCATTTTGTGTGCATCCCGTCGTCATTCATTACAGAACCGACCACTGCAACTCCATATGTTGAAGAGACAACGGCAGTCCTGGAGGTTACCTTGACAACTGAATCCCCAAACAACAGTAAGTTTTCTTTGTTTGCTCTTTAGATCATAATCATATTTGAACCAAAAAGTCTTTCATCGGGTGATCTGTAGTACACATGGGGAGTTAGTCACCCCTTCTTCTTATATTCTGCAGCCTACATGTGAGGCCATTTTAATCAGTGACGAACGTACATGCCCCGTAAGGTGGTCCAACCCAAAAATTTGGGTCCAAAATCTGCTCCTACTAACATAAACTGAGCAATTTAGATAACTATCGACATTTCTTTTTAGCAATATTTTTTTAAATTTTAGACAGTTTAAACTTTGGCTTATAGTCTTACCTAATGTTATCAAAATGCGATATGTGAAACTTTTTCCAATCTAAAAAGTGTTTTGTTCGATTTATGTCAACGATTTTTGAACTAAATTTTAGAGATACGAATATCATTCATCTTCACGTGTTAAAATTAATGAACTCATCCATGCATGAAAGTGGTTCGAAGAAAATGGATTTTAAAATTTTAGGTCTCTTAGAAACCAATGGTACAGTTATATTTAAAATGTGGACATAATATATTCTTCTAAAAATCAACATTGGTTTATTTTGAAAGTTAAGCATATTTAAGAAAAGATTGGCATTGATTTTTTTGAAAAATATTCAGTTTGCACCCTAAGTGACATCACTATCGAGGCTACGTTTTGTTGCAAACTTTTTCTAATATTCAAATTATATATAGCTTATTAATGTGTTTTGCACTGTTAAGTTTAAAGGTGCTACAAATAGTGCAGGGGGGCCATTCAACGATCATCGACAAGTGTCAAAATATATTTAGGTTTGGATATTTCATCAAGACTAACATATATTTTCATTATCTACAAAGAAATCCTCTGGATGAACATTATTTCAGCTGATATTCCTCTTGAAACATTCTTAAAAATCTATAAGTGGGACTCCCTTTATAGAAGCTTTGAATTGAATTTACACTTCTTAATGCTGAAATTGATAGTTTATACATACATTTTATGAAAATAGGTATGTCAAAGAAGGTATTAAGCCAAATATTGACCTGATAGCTCAGAAAAAATAAAAAATTTCGAATTTTCTCTCTACAGTCCTTATTGCCCCTTTAATCTTGATGATTAAAAAAAGTCAACCTTTATTTGAAAAATGGCGGGAAATTTGAATATTTCAGAAACAAAAAGCTAACAACTTTTTTTCAAACAAAATATTTAAAAAAGACAGAATTAAAAATATTAGATGGATGAAAACAAAATATTTTCAAACTTTACATGGTACCTTTAACACATTGGGGCCCAAAGGCCAAAAATGCTACCCCGCTCTATTTTTTCCCCCAAAATCGGCCACATTTTTTGCTTTCTATTATATCGACCAGGCTTCTATTGCTCTTCACTTTATTTGTAAATGAATTATTTGCATAACATTTTATCAAAGAAAGAATGAACAAACTCACTCACATGGCCAGGTTCAAGGATCAAGAGATTGTTGACATGTCGCTTGGAGAATCGTGACGTGAGTGATTGAAGACCAATCATGTTTACTTTGCTGGTCATGAATATTCATTAGAAAGAAGTAGCAGAAAAGTTGTGAAACTTGAAAATCGTGAAAAGTTTAGAAGTTACAAAATTCATTAATTTCAGCAATCCGCAGACCTTCTCAATTGAAATGTAGGTCTTGGGAATACCATAATGTATAGGGTAATACGCTGAAACAAGGATTTATTGGATATACCGTAACATAACGGAGTATTTTGAAGAATATTGGAGAGCACAGTGATTGTTTTGATTTCAACAGCCTGAGCAAGCGGGTCTTGCAAAAACGGCTAAAAATGGGATATATAACACAAACAATGGAATACAAGCATATCAGACGGAAAGATTATTATGTGTTAAATATATTTATTATATTTCTGGCGTGCGGGTCACTCCAGAACACTGTAAAAGGTGAGTTATAATCGGTAAATATTTTGAGATGGAGGTCGCCATCTTGGATTTAGAACAGGTGCTAGATCTATTCAAATATGAAATAATCATGCAATCCATGACAGATGAGATTGAAAAAATAATTTTTTTTTGTTCAATTCCCAATTATGCTCTGGTAGATCTAGTTGTCTTTTTGTAGAATTTTCATTTGTAGACTGGAGTGAAAGGGATAACCTTGGGTACGCAGCTATAGTTGATGATATCCCGGTGTCATGCAGCGTCACTAGATATCCTATTGTCACATATTTAGTAAGACTCTGAACCATTTTCTCGATTAAAGTGGGTGTCCAGTGTCAACATATTTACAGTCATCGTGCTAGCCCATTCACAGAGTACTTTGAACAGTGTATGCCCTAAGGATCTGAGAGCTTCTGGTCAAAATGGCATTGCGGACCAGTTGCAATGTTATTTTCCTATTCCTAGTGAAACAATCAACTGATCTGTATCAAAAGTAACCTGGTAATGACAGCCCTTAGGGCATACACTGTAAAGTTAGTATACACATTGAAAGAGGAGGACGGGAAGGAGTCATTGATTCATTCCCCTTGAGTCTATTAGGCATGCATGTCCTTCCAAGTCCATGGTAGGAGATCATTAACATCAGTCGATCCTATGATAGCTCCTGAAAATCATTTTGATGATGTCCAGTGAAGTGCTTAAAGAAAGTTAGGATGCACCAGGTCCCATGATTCCTGCAAGGACATAACAGCTAACTGCATCTGCTCTCCCTCCTAAGGCCTCCAATTCCCAGGACATGTAGCTGAGCCTCGTTATTTTGTCAAGCACAAATGAATTAAGACTATTCTATGTTTTGCAGCTCAGTGTGTATGTGGTACAGATTGTGTGACAAACTGTCCTGCAGGATCCTACTGGGATGGTTCAAATTGTCAAACCTGTGAACAAGGACACTAGTAAGTGTAAAACATTTTTATACAAGTTTCAGGTTTGAGTTGAGTCTGAATCGTAACATGATAAAAGACGCAACAAAAACTATTCAAAAATAAACTCAATTAAAAAAAGGTCATTACCATAAAGTCATTGATGTATTTCTTATTATGACATAAACCCAGGTTTAAAGTAGGCCTAGTTTAATATTAATACTCTGTTAGGAAGTTTGTTGATCAATGGAGGCAAGGTTGTTATGGTAACCTGAGTAGAGGTAAATCAGCCGAAGTGTCGTCCAAGAGAACTAATAAAGCTATGGCGACAGTATGTCACATCTCTAGGCAAACATCTATAAATGGGGAGAAATCATTATTTACAATTAATTGCCTTTTTTCCCATAATAAATCCTGTTGCTATGAGAATTTTATTGAGATGTTTGGTTTTGTTCTAAGGTTGAAAAGCGAAGTAGTAATTAGAGTAACGTATTCAGTTACAATATAGAGTGTGTTTAATAATATATGATACATGAAACAGAGAGATATGACGGAAGCACCTAACAATGTATAGCTGTATATAGTACTTGAATTAATGGAATTTCATATCATTTATTTTTGTACTGGGAATGGAGATGTTAAGTGAACATCATGCAAAGATTTATCACATCAACCAGATGCACCTTTGAGTATACCCCAAGCAGTCACACAGAAGCACAAACCAAATATTTGAAAACTTGGTCCAAAAATTTATCTAAACCATCTATTTTAAGCTCAATATACTTCAATTATAACTTTGTAAAAAACAAACATGTCTCATTAAACAGATTACTGACATTTGTGCTACATGTCCCGGACTACTGCTCAATTCATGTTCTTTATCTTAGTTTAGATATCCATTCCCGAGCATTCCCCGTCTATTATTAAACAAATAAATTCAAGAAAAAGAAATCATCATTGAAGCTATTCTTGGAAAAACTGATTAAAAGTCAACATTATTTTTTTAATTCTACTTTCCTAATCCTTAAGATCAATGTTATTATCCACCTAGGTTTGATTGACTCCTTTTTCCTTCTATTTGTTCTGTTTGGGATTATCAATAAAACCAACAAATCTGTGATTGTCTCCAAGATATTGGAAAGCTGATATTATTTCATCATTTCCAGCCCTTCCAAGAGGGTAAATTCACCATCGTAATGCCATTAAAGTGTATTAATATTTATTTTACAAATGCTGACAAAATCATTGATAGCAATGGATTGATGGTATATGAAGATGGTTTCTGATTTCTGCATTAAATTGTATTTTGTACAATTCTCCTGTTTTCATCATATTTAATAAAAACATATTATTTTAAGCGAGGTGTGCAACTGCAAACTAATCGATAAATGGGTTAATTTGTTAAATACACAGGCATGCCCATAAACAATTAATCTTATTCTCTTATTAAAAGGTTCTAACTTTATCTGTTAAAATGCTGTTTGTGATGAATTTGAGTTCAAACTTCTAAGTGTGATCTCAACAGAATATTTTAGGTGTAGTTTACCATTGTCTCAGTTTGAAGTGTTATATCAAGTGACATGCACTAGATATACAAACAAACAGAACTTATCTTTTGTTTATCATGACAAAGTTCCTAGAAGTTTCTTATTCAGGTGTATATGCACCATTATTACATCACATTTCTTCTCAGTTCTGGAATGTCGCAAATGAATGTGAGGAATTATGCAGCGATAAATGTGATGTGTTTCCTAATGACATCCTATAATGTCTTGAAATGTTTCCAAAGTGAATGATCACCTTTACACATTTATAGTTTAATGCAGTGAAAAACCATACTGATGGTTCTATTACAATCCTAATTTAATTTTCTGAAAAAAAGAAAGAATTGTATATCTCATCAAATAGAGAAGTTATTGCAAATATAGAAGTTATTGCAAATATAGAAGTTATTGAAGATTTAATTGCAAAAAGGCTCAAGTTCAAAAGAATGAAAATTGCCAGTTTTAACGCTACTTGTTTTTCATCTGACATTCATTCTTTTTTTGTTATTTATAATGTGTAGATCTGATGAGGATGTCCTTCCTTTTATCGCATCTGTTTAATTACTATAAGTAGATAATAAAGGGTGATTTAGGGCCAGATGAGCAAGGAAATAGGGTAAATATCGATCCCTTAAAGATACTGATGAGCAGATTCACTGCATAGGCAATGTCATTAAAGGGACACAGCCTGCAATATATGATCAAATTCCCTAGAAAATAATTGATGCTAAAATTTTGAAACCCTGAAAGATAAAATGAGGTTTGATTGCTGACTGAAGATTATATTGCAAAACGAAATCCAAAAATAAACAATAAATATTTTCAGTCATTTTTTCTGTTCTTCACTATACACAAACTGAAGTCAAAGTTTTGGGAATATGAGCATTACTATAATGGCATTGAAGGAATGGTGTTCAGAATTCAAGGGATTTATCAAAGAGAGTGGTTTGCATGTGGACTCAATAATGTTGATGAAATATATGCAAGAATAATGTCAATATTCCTTCATCATCAATTATATTCAATCAAAGTGGACTATCATAGAAAACAGGTCTGACTGCCTAATTATTAACAATCGATTTATAATTCATCCCTTATTCAGTTCAATAACCTTACTACTAGTTTTCATAATATATTTCTTCTAAATTGTCACAGAGAGGCATGGGTTGATTGATGCGACATTATGTGACACTTAGCTTATGATAGAGCCAGTGCAGTTCGAAGTAAAATGACTTTGGAGAAGTTTTGATGTTGTTGTGGCGAAATCAATTGAATTTCAGCAGGGGCATTCATACATGCAATTATGTGTGAAGCATCTAATGATTTTCCTATTTCTCTGATTCTCCAATATTTATATCACAGTAATGACCACAGTACAATATTCAATTTACTCATATGAAAAGCTTTCAGTAAATGAAAAACTTCTACAAGGAATGAAACTAACTGTGTTTTACATGTACAATAACGTATATATGCAAATATCCATGAAGTTATTCTGATACATGTGTCATGGTTTTTATGATGACATGAACTGTGAAACTTTAAAGGTTGTATGTATGAATTTGTGCTTAAATGTGAAAATGTTTCGACTTTACCAAATAAGCATAGATTGTGTAAGTCTTGAAGAAATTTAATTAATATATAGACTTGAATGGTACATTAAAGATCTTCTTTTTATAAAAAAAATGAAATGGCACAGTAATACCAGAGAGTAATTTTTTTATACATACTGTATATTATAAAACTTAAACATGAGATTTTTCATCCGGCCTGGTTCTTGATATTTGAGGCTAGTACAAAATGTACATAGAATGTAAAGTGATTGACTATCAAATTTTCTATTTTTGTCTGACATTTCCAGAATTTTAGAAAAGGGCAAGAAAACAGGTCATTACTCTTTTGAGTAACAGTAAAGTTTTATTGTATTTGAGTGTATTTAAATGTTTTTTGAGGATATATATTCAAAGTATGAAAAAATTATGTTATTACTGAATTGAAGTTTCAAGGTTCTTGACTAATATAAAAAATGAAAGCACATTGGATAGAATCAGGCGAACAAGGAATATTTGCTTCAAAAGGCAATGTGCAAATATGTTCTTTTTCTGTTATAGCGACTGGTGCTTGTTGTGTTGACTTTCAGCTACTTTACCATTTGCACAGATTTGCAGGTCTATAGAATTTGTTGTCTTTGTAGAAGATGCTTTGAATCTGTATTTGAATACGACTAGTTGCATACAAAACAAAATTACACCGAAAATATCGATGAGGTTTTTCTGTTTTCTTTTCATTTTCTATTCCATTCACATGTTAGGGCAATTTTATTCATTTATGGAAAAAACTTCTGAGTTACTTTCAAGTTTTAATTTATTCAGGTTATTTTTCTACTGTTACCTAATGGTATATTTGACCCAGTCATCTGTCTTATAAACAGCCACAGTTTTGACAAGTATTCAAAGCATGTACATATGTATTATATTTGTGAAAACAATTAAAGTAAAGTTCTCTTGCTGCAATTGCAAGATTTAACTTAGAAAGATTCATTTAATGAGAGTATAATAGGAAACCCCCTAATCCCGGATTAATCCCAGATCAAAAAATTTAAGTGCCCTTGTCAGTGTATCCATCAAGAGAACACATAGTTATATAAAACTCTCTAGGGATAAGCCTTATCAAAGGAGAGTAATGCAAATACTGCATGTTTGCCTGCAAATATGAATTGCCAGTCTGGTTTTCTGGATACTTCAGGTGTACAATTTTCCTGAAATCCATCTTGTCAACAAGATCGCCATATCTGAAAGGTATTGCAAATATATACTGGACATTTCTGGTATTAGTAGAAATTTGTGTCAATATGGACAAGAGGTTAATTGTATAACTGTGAACATGGCATAACAATATGGTGACCCTGAAGAATAGATACAAATATTGATTCCTAATCTCTGACTAGAATAGACAAGTTAACAGTTTTAATAATTAGAGGACAGGGAGGCAATGTCGTCCATATGGGTAATTATCGGACAAATGAATGCAACCACTGAGAATCCGACAATTGCCTTCATGAACGACATTGCTCCCCTCTCCTCTAGATCTTAATGCCCAGTAGAACAGTAGCTGTGACAGCCTCTTGTGAGAGGTCAGACATAAGAAGTAAATGGCAGCTTCTTATGAAGGCATATACTTCTGCGACTCAAAATCTGATTGGGTCACTGAATTCATCCATGGTCCAAAGGTATTTCAATGAGCTGGGACAGTGATGCCCGATGATTGGCTGAATTCTCATTGTAATATTTGGAGAGTGTAGATGAATCACTCTTAAAAAGAAAAACCAGAGTATAGAATATGTGGATCTTTAAAATGCTTCATGTAATCAAAACTTGCAATTTTGTTGATTTGCCATTTAATAACGGTATTTAGAACTCCTCTCTCTCTGTGAAGAAAGATTCTGATATATTAGAATATAATGATGATTTTTTATGTATGAAAGCCAGTGATGGTTGTCGTTGACAAATAAGAAGTAATTTGGTGATGGGTTATGCCTGACATTTTTAGAAAGTAGTAGGCAATTATCACGACATTTTTATGCATCAAGACAACTTTCACAATAGTCAATGAAACCAAATTATCTCTCCAAAGCTCTTCACAATTTCAGGTACATGTACCTTCAAGTAGAATCTCTTATACTGTAGATCTCTTTGGAAGCTTATCTCTCCAAAGCTCTTCACAATTTCAGGTACATGTACCTTCAAGTAGAATCCCTTATACTGTAGATCTCTTTGGAAACTTATCTCTCCAAAGCTCTTCACAATTTCAGGTACATGTACCTTCAAGTAGAATCTCTTATACTGTAGATCTCTTTGGAAACTTATCTCTCCAAAGCTCTTCACAATTTCAGGTACATGTACCTTCAAGTAGAATCTCTTATACTGTAGATCTCTTTGGAAACTTATCTCTCCAAAGCTCTTCACAATTTCAGGTACATGTACCTTCAAGTAGAATCTCTTATACTGTAGATCTCTTTGGAAACTTCAGATAAAGAAGGACTCCGAATTAAATATAGAACATTGTTGTATGGTCTAACTCTTGGAAAAAGATTTCAATAAAGAACACATCTGACATCCTTCAAAATCAGTAGTTCAATTGATAAATATCGATTATTAATTGTCTTCGAGAATACAGTATTGTTTGAAATCAAATTGGGTAGCTTGCTGATATAATGAGGATTTTAGGTGGTGTTTGCATTATTTTCAAAAACGTGCCAAATATTTGAGTATTCAATGTCGAATGTATAACAATATTATAGTAGTGAAGTTTAACAATAGTCAAATCATGTATGACCTGATAGAGGGATTGATTTAATCTCCACTTATCCTTTAACAATATCCAGAACATAAACACAATTTTATTTCCTTTATGGCAGTATATTGGACAATGGAGAAATTAGATCTGGACAAATAGCTTGTCACTATGCTGCAGAGTTATTTTGGTTGCAAAGTTGAACTTATATAATTCCTTCAATGTACTCTAATGGAAGGAATTGTTTCTTTATTGACTCAATAATCCCACCCAAATAAATTATTCTGCTTTTTGTTTTTTTGTATACTTTCCAGATAACTTCACAATTTCTTGGTGTTTCTGAGAAATATTTATGAATGATCAGCCAGATGCAACCCTTATTATTTGCAGACTATAGTATTTCCAACTATTGTATCTAATTATACGACTTGGTGATTTTCTATGTAGGTTAGGGATGTTTCATACATATTTAATGAGTTATGTCATAATTAATAGAGAAATCCATATGAGTAATTACTGTATTGTACTATGAATACATGTGATATTGACTTTGGCTGTACTCTTTAGTTAGAGGTAATTTCTTAATCTAGCCTATATTTGATTAGAATACAAAGTCAGAAATCATTAAACATTGAAACTGCCATGAAATTTCACAAAAGCTACATTCCAGATTTTGTAAGCATTACAACTGTAAATAATCTGGTATAGTGAGAGGATAATACTGCTTAGTTGATTCAAACCAGGGTATATTAATTTCTATATGCAATGTCCCATACCCTTTGCATTCATTCGACATCATTTCTTAAAAGAGAGCTTCGTCTTAACTTTTTCAATTTACAATAAATCTCTGATCCCACCAGCCAATCCGAGTTCGTCGTTGAAATACGGACGACTTTCTATATGGTCATTTCGTCTGACATGCACGTGTTCCTTCAATTTCGCTGATTGGTTGAGAAAGAGTCATCGTGGTAGATTTGGAATGATTTATTACCCGGGCTGTCACAGGCACCAATCTTTGGGGCGCCAGGGGCGGGGCTGCTAAACTGTTAAGTCTATACTAGGCAGAGGGTAGTTTATTACTAGACTCTGCATGCAGGGTAAGTGTCCCATGGGAACTACTAAATTACAGGTACTGTGCTGTTTACCTGTGAAAGAATAAATTATTCTTCCAAATTCTGAATTGGTAATATAGGATAGCATTCCATTACAAAATTAGACGGAATTCCTAATTGATATTAATATAAATCAATGATTTTCCCATGCAGAATTTAAGCGATTTGCTTCTTCATGTTGCAGTTGAGAATTTAAAATTGTACCTTGTGTCCAGTTGAAATCCATAATCCGTCCATTTAAATTATTTATAAATTTTAACCATAAAAATTGATATTTTGACCATTGATAATTTGATCAAGTTTAGATACAGAGAATTTGGAAAATAGGAATTTATGCTGGAGAAAATTACTAGGAGGTATTGATCCTTGTTTATTGGGCTTAACTTGAAAGTGTCAAAGAGGAGATATGAAACTTTCCGATTTGGGTACATACCATTAATACATGTATGTAAAAGAAAGGATTTGATCCAGAGAGAGGATCTGAATGTACTAGTCTTGCAAACATGTCCTTAGAAACCCTTAATACATACAATCAATTTCACGTTGATATCAGCTCAGAAATATTATTCATTCAAATCGTTGTTCTTTATTGACGGAATTTAGATGCCGTTAGTCTGAAATAGATTAGATTTATTTTGTAGTAGAATGTTCTAGACTTTGTTAAGATACTTTCAGATTCCGATAACCTAACAAGGCAGCTAGAATGAATGTCAACTAAAGTTAAGTTGAATTTTAACCTCTCAAGATAATCAATATATGTCATCTTGTTTAAATCACTCTTACCAGACAATGAAATGATATACAGCTATTAACTGTTCTGTAATTTAATATGATTTAATCATCCAAGATTATTAAAAATTGGCCAAATCTCAAAATACTATTTTATGGAGCAAAAATATGTTAGAATATTGAGACAAAGAATTATAATATTATTGAAAAAGTGTTAACACATGTCAATATTTCCTGACATGGTGCTAAGTGTTATTAATACTTTGCTGATAAAATTATTGATTTTGGTCAAGTAGAAATCTTATGTTGTAGTCTTAGAGTCTTCATTAAATATCAGAAGTGCTTATTGTACCTCAAGGTCTATTGGAGGAATAAAAATATACCACAAAAGTATTGAAATGGTCACTCCAATAACTGTTTGAGTGCCATGCATAATTATTGGAGGACATAGAAAATTATGAAAATGCAATTTTTTTAAAATCATTATTCACCTATTTTTCAGCAAACTTGAATGGTATCATTGTTGTTATGTTTAAAACATTCAACCATTATTATCAAAATATTTATTTTTAACTTTTTCACCAATTAATTTGAGTGTTATTCCCAGAGCATAGAATAATAGACATAGGTTAGAAAGGCCAAGGTTAACTTCAAGCATGTAATATTTAAATCTTAAATTGACCTTAAACTATCATTCAAAATGGACACTAAATTCATACAGTAAAACACCTCTGTAAGTAGAACACCTCACAAGTGGAACACTTTTTTGTGGTCCCAGGGGAGTTCCTCTTACACACGTTCTACTTTATATGTAAAAACAACACTAAGAAGTCTCTAGAATAAACATTGTTTATTCACTTTTGGTAGCTATAATATATTTGAGGAGGCTATTGTTAAGTTGAGGGCTGAAGTGGTGTTAGTCAACAAAACTCTTTACATGTAACGCAGATACTTAAGAAAATTCAGTCATTTGTATTTTATCATTAAGTATTTGTTTGTTATTCAGTGGAATTCTGAAGGATTTAAATATTTAAAATGTGACAATTTTCTCATATTATATTATGACTCTCGTATTAGAGTGTATTTTTCAACAGTCCACAATAACATTCGGGAGATGTCATTGTGGCACTCATTGAAACCCATTTCCCATATTTTGTGCATTCCCATATTTTTTCGCATATTTTCTTCTGTGTTCGTTTATGGTTTCATCTTCTGAAAATTAAACACACTTTACTTTTCTTTTGTTTTCCAGTTGCCCTGGTGGTAGTAGTGCAAGAACTGAATGTTTAGCAGGGACTTACAATAGCAATACTGGTAGTTCATTGGCTTCTGCATGTCAGGTATGTACATGGTAGGCCAAAAATGATAATGTTTGAGAGACCTGGCATTTTTCTGTAATATCTTGAAATATAGCATAATTTAAAAAGCAGTCTAAGAACATGAAAATTTTTAGAAAAAAATTTACTCTTTGGATGTCCTCACACCGATTGATAAAACAATGTATTTATACTCCACATTCTATTTTGTATTTCAGGCATGCCCTGGGGGTACATATAGTGCTTCAAATGCAGCCACTGTTTGTGACCCTTGTCCTGCAGGAAAGGCATGCCCTGGAGGGACCTCACTACCATCAACATGTGTGGCTGGAACATCTGCATCTGGTGGGGCATCAAGTTGTACCTTGTGCCCTCCCGGATATAAATGTCCCGACCCCACAGTAGTCCCAGAGGCCTGTGCAGACGGCTATTACACCAGTGGATCTGGTATGTTCTTTTCAGTATTGCGATGTGATTGCAAAATGTGGTATAGTTATCAATTAACTATGAAGTGATCTCATACTTGTGGCATATCATTCCCCAAGTAATAGAAATGCATGCAATATACTTGGCAGTTCCATTTAATTTTTCAAATGACACTCTGATTTGCTATAATGTACATGTATGATATTGTGCCGTTAATCATTACAGTGTAAATACCTTTTTTACAAGGGGAAACAAAAAAGTAATATTAATCCAGTTGGAAAGGTATTATTTTACCTAAAGGAAGTGACTTTATATTGTGAATGATATATTTGTTTTTGTGTTCTTTCAGCCATTTAATTGCCAAAAATCAGAAAATGGAGAGAAAATTGATATTGCACTGTATATCAAAGCATTGTATATTAAAGCTACTTGAATGTGCTGAAATTGAAACTGCGCTAATTATTAAGTTTCACTGAATTTCAGGTCAGAGTGTCTGTACCCCATGTTCAGCAGGTTCTGAATGTCCCACTAAGACAGCAGAAAGTCAGTGTTCCCCTGGATATGCCAGCTCTGCAGCCAGTTTAACATGTACAGCGTGTACTGCAGGATACTATGCAGAGTCAGCAGGTATTTTGGAATTTTCCTACCAAAACCTGTTACTGAATGATAGGGAGTGTGTATATAATAGGGACCGTCAGTTTAAAGAGTTTTGATACAATGCTTTCCAAGTAATATATAAATAAGAGGAACCATTGGATTTCCTGGAGGAGGGTGATATGTCAAATTGACATTCATATTATGGCATTGTAATTCCAACAGTGCACAGCGTTCATTTGAGCAGTTAAAGTCCATATTCAGATGTCAGTTATATTTTATGGATTTTTGCCTTTATAATCATAACAATGGGCCACATTTGGGTATTGTATACTGACGTACTGAGGTATTTATTGATTTGTACAGTAAATCTGTCTAATCCAAATGACACAAGGACCGATATATAAAAATGTTAAGAATTGAAGGTCATCATATTTCAAAGCTTCTTAATATGTGAAGCAATGTGAGATAACAAAATATTGGAACAAAGAAAAGTGTTCACGCTAAGACATGTTCATATTAAAGAGGTGTTTGGGTATACATGTTTTACTGTAGTTGTTTTTCCTTTATTCCTTTAAGAATATTACTTTGCAAAAGTACATGTACTTTTGTCGTGAAGAGGAGGTTCTGAGTTGCATGATTTAGACTTTGATTTTTTATATTTTTTTCCTATTAAGTAATTGCAAATTCGATAATCTTAACATGTTTGCTTTAACAACCTGGACTGTTGTTTTTGTGATATTTTGGAAACTGAGATGTTTTTGATGTTTTCCATGGATAATTGATTTACTATTGAGTACTCCAATCAAGTGAAAAAGGATAATTTTATCCATCAAGGATATTACATGTATAAGTTGCAGATAGGTATACATGTAATGAAATCTTAGGTTTTACAAAATAGACAATCAAAACTAAGTGGAGGGGACATTAGCCACAGTTTGTAGTTGAACTTCAGTTATTCATCCCTTCAAAACCATTTGAAATCTCCAATTGCACCCAATTCTAGATTTAGTACTAGCGTCGCCATCTATCTCACTGAATCTGATATTTCCAGGTGCTACTAGTTGCCAGCAATGCCCAGCTGGCTCCAAGTGCCCTACGACTACTGCTAGCCCTACACCATGTCCTGCTGGAGAGATATCTGCTGCTGGTGCTACGTCATGTACACCTTGTAACTCAAGTAAGTGAAAGCAGTCAAACTCGTAGAGTCACATACTGGATTGAACAATACTTATATTGTACAAGCCAAAAATGTTTATTTGATTGACTGGCATTGATTAATAGCTCTAAACAAAGTGAATGACTGGTTACGTTTGTTGAATATACAGTATCACATTCTATCATGTAACTTCCAGTATAAACAAAAAATAAGTTTTCATTTTACTTCGTATTCAACAGAATGATTATCTGGCCTACTGTCCAAAAATATTTTGCTGCAAAATTCAAATAAGTTTACCATACACATATGTGGCTGATTAATAGTATTTTGTTGATATTTTACGCATTCGCATGACTGTATCCAATAAAAACAATCTTACGAATATTTTGCATGGATTTTTGTAATATTAAAGACTGTAACTACTAATACTTCAATAATCATTGGAAAACAACGATTATCATATATTATGTAAAAAGTTATTAACTGTACATAAATCATGTTGTCCTCTGCTATAGATGAGGTGACAAATTCTGCCCCTCAGACAACCTGTTTACAATGCCCTGCTGGAAAGGCATGCACTGACCCTACGTAAGTAGACATTTAAATCGTTTTAATATAAGATATGTCAATTGGATATATTTAGGTCCTGACCAGATGTGATTGTGAAACCAACACAGATAAATGGTTGTCTGATATTTTCGTGTTCACTATTTTAATTTCCTATAAAGATAATCAAAGTCAACAGTGAAAATATTTTAGTTTATTTTAAATATCAATTTAAACAATTGTTTCATTCGGCAAAAGACAGTTTTGATTCTCTTAGAGTGGTTTAGCTGAATGTCGACCTTTAATTAACCAGTATGAATAAAATGCTTTATCTGAGGTGCTAACAAATGACATTATGCTGCATGTACATGAATATGATTATCACTTGTAGATTGGCACCCTCAGACTGTACTAGTGGATACTACTCTCTCCTGGGAGATGCTGTCTGTACACAGTGTGAGGCTGGCAAATATTGCAGTTCTACATCCACTGTCTCTCAAGATTGCTCAGCAGGTACAACAGTCTAAAAGATATTCTAAATCATATTTTTAAACAACTAAACAAAAAACTTTTTTAAACAATATAATTCACATAATATAAAATATGCTTGTTACTGTAATGCGATTATCATCCGTATGTAAATAAAATCACATGTTGCTAAGTAACCAAATTAAATAAAATTCTGACTACTTGAAGTAAATTTGCATCATGCCATGGTACATATAATACCAAAAGGTAAGATTGCTACAACGGACCTTGCCACACCTGGTAAGGTCCAACTATTTTTTGGATCACCTCTCATACATATACATGGGAATTGAGTCACACCTGACCTTGCTTTCCTTATAAGATTATAATCATACCCCTGTCTCGCTCTTTAGGTCAGTACAGTGAAGCTGGGTGGATAGCCTGTGTGAACTGCCCTGCAGGCTTTAGCTGTGCCGATGCTGCTTCTATTCCCGTTCAGTGCACAGGAGGTACTTTCAGCCCAGCAGGAAGTAAGTAGATTTGCAGTCTCTTGATTCACAGCGTTTACATGTTTAGAAAGTCTCAGTTTGGAATACAGTCTACTGAGCCAATAATTTTTTATGGAAAATATAGAAACACCACCCAAATTGAATTATGAATATTCAAAAGAGGACATTTAAATCTACAATATGTAAAAATATCAAAATTATCTGAAGCAGGTGTAATATTGTGCAGTAGACCGATTCAATAAAAGATAAGTCTCAGTTTGGATAACAAAGTCTACTGGGCTAATAATTTTTTTAAACACTTTGAAACTTTGAAACATGCTGGTTTTATTTCCAATGACTTTAAAAATTAATTTTACGAATGCATATACATGAAGATATGTAAGATTGCATTTTTATGTTGTGTTACCAGGTAGGGTCATTATGATGATTAAAATAATTCAATAGGATATGATAAATGTCGTGTTCTTATTTTGTAGCCATGACATGTGATCCCTGTACTGCTGGGAATGCATGTCCTGCAGGGTCAGCCAGTGAGACTGCATGCACATCAGGATACTATGCACTTGCCGGTGCCTCTAGCTGTACCTTATGTGAGGCAGGAAATATGTGTCCATCAACAACTGCTTCTACAGCCTGCCCATCTGGGGAATATTCATTAGCAGGGGCAACAGCTTGTACTCCATGTCCCGCAGGTATAAGAACTTAAAATAATAAGTGAGAGTGACTGTGAAATTGGTACTGCACAAAAAGGCATAGTCATGTAGAATTGAAAAAATGAACAAACAGAGAGGATTGAAAGAGTGGCAGACTCAAGAGGGAGAGAGCCAGAAAATATTTGAAACGTGTGATGCATAATCTTATTTGGTGCTTTAACATGGTATATATTTTCTATTCAGGGTCCACATGTGCCAATACAGCATTGTCTCCAACATTATGTAATCCTGGTTACTATAACACTGACCCAACAGCCACTACCTGTACAGAATGCCCAGGGGGATATAAATGCCCTGACCCAACAACCAGCCCTACCGTGTGTCCAACAGGTTAGTCAGGAAAATATACTTCTTTATTTAACATTATGAAGAGAGAATTTCCGAGTAGCAATCTGTGTGTAATTAAATTGGAGAATCTTGTTAGATAATTATTTTGAAGATATATTCTTTGAGAAACAATTTCAAATGAGTACATTAAGAAATTCACATTTGACAACTGACGTTTAACAAATCTAAAGTGGAAGGCAGTTCATTCTAAGATTTTGGAGAACCATATAAAGAGGTAAAACGAGCATTACTAATGCAATAAATATAACAGTATTATGCAATGATTTGACAGTACTTGACTCGCCATTTTAGGTTACCTCAGCGCACCAGGCTCCACTGATTGTACTCGCTGTCCAGCTGGATTTGAATGCCCTGATAATACAGATCCTGCAAAGAATGCTGCTTGTGATCCTGGTACTTTCTCAACTGCTGGTGAGATGATATGTAACCCATGTCCCGCCGGATCTTTCTGTAGTTCAACAACGTAAGTGTTCTTTCATCACTTAGAATAATATCTTTTCAATGTTTACTTTAAATTAAAAGACAATTGCTTCTATTTCTCTACTTTTCTGTAATTATGAAAGTGATCGTCAGAAAAGTAAAGATAATGAAAGCTTTATTACTGCAGTATCACCTCAAAAATCATATTGATCCAAAATCTTGTTGAGACAAATTTGAAAAATAGGAATAAGAACATGTGAGCATCGTACAATGAAGTTTGTAGCTAAGTGTTATAAGAAAATATACACTTATTTTTCATCACAAATAATTTAATCCTTATTTCCTGGACTGGACACCCTGAATATCTGCTTCCTCCCTTGAAAATGAATAAATAAAAAAACATGATTTTCGCTCTCTTTTTATTCAGGTCTAGGAGAGCTATAAATTGCAACCCAGGGACATATTCCATAGAGAACTCTACTGCATGTACCGTCTGTCCAGCAGGAAAGATCTGTCCTTATACTGATGGTACTGGCATAGTCGATTGTCAGCCTGGAGAGTATTCAGCGGCACGTTCTATTACATGTACTAAATGCCCACCTGGAAAATACTGTCCTTTCACTAATAATGAAGTTCAGGTAGGATACATAAAGATGTACTTTGTAGAGTGTCCATAGTTTTTTTTGTAACTCATTCTGTTATTTAGAAAATCTTAAATCAATTTAATGTGTTAGAATGAGAACACCTATTTTGTATGTTTACTGAAGGAAAGTGCACATGTATTCACCGCAATAGAATGGAATATTTTGTATATATAAGCATGGTATATATATAATGCACAGTGGACCTGTGTAAGTGGAACATCCTTGGGACCACAAAAAAGTGTTCAACTTGCGAGATGTTCTACTTACAGAGGGTCATTAACATGGAGTCAGTGAACCTTTACCATCTATGCTGTATATATATCAGGCCCGTAGCCAGAATTTTCCAAGGGGGGGTTCACTTTGGCAAATTTGGCCAAAAATCACTCAAAAAATAGTCAGAATGGTGAAAAACTGCATGATTTTGAAAGAAATTTTGACCGGGGGGGGGGGGTCCCTGGCTACGGGCCTGTATATATGTATATTATGTATTGTGCTTCAGTATGATTGTCCATCAGGCACGTATGCCTTGGAAGGCCAGGATGCGTGTACTGAATGCCCACCAGGATTCTACTGCCCAGATAAGAATCAAGCACTTGAGATTGCATGCGAAGATGGATCATTCTCTGTTGGTAACAAATCATCATGCACTGTTTGTCCAGCTGGTTACTATTGTGAATTCAAAGACTCTGACAGCAGGTACTGTATGACTAGAGTATATATTTTCTCTTAATTTAATGTGGTTATAGCCAAGTAAACTTATACCATTTCTCACAGAATATGTTCTAGAGGAAGATTACATTCATTGTTAAAGATCACCATTACATCCTTTTGCCCCATTTTCTAAGAAGCTGCTTTTTGATCATGTGAATTCAAATCATGTCATTTTTATGTCACCACTTTGTTATTGTCTCCATTTTTTGTGATGTCATCTGGGGTTTGGCGTCTATAACAAATGGCAGGTGGTGACATTGTATGTTTATGCCTTGTTTAAAAAATGGTAAGAGAATTTAAAAGATCTGCTTGAAAAATCTAGACAGTTTTGAATAAAGATACTTTCATATCAGTTGAATTAGTGCTCATATCGAATTATGTTTTGCTCCAGAGTTGCCTGTGAATCGGGCGAATATGCCCTGGAGGGGTCAACTATCTGTGAAGTATGTCCTGAGGGGTACCAGTGCCCAAGTACAACTCAGGCTGGGACTATTTGCAATCCAGGGTTCTACAGTGAAGGTGGATCCACAAACTGTACAGGTTGTGAACCTGGGTTTAAGTGTACAACTACTGAAAGTAAGTGAAGCTTGTGTTTTTATTTTGTAATAAAAGCTCATATTATTACTTGAATTAAGACTGATACTCATACATGTCAAAAATAGAATAAACGATCTCTCAAGAGTTGTTGGTCGAGATTGACAGTCTTATGACTGAAATTAGCCAATCAGATACGTGCTTGCTAATACCTGGTGAAAACAAACCAACAAAAACATTTATGTACCTGTCACCTCAAAATCCCTGCAATTGATATTGCAGTGATACCATACAAGCAATCATACAACCTCTCCTTGTGGTATAGTATTTACTTTATTAAACTCTTGAATCCCAGTCTCTAAAATCGGTTGAAACCAGAGAATTTTTCATTTTTGCCACCTTTTGATATTTAACTACATTCATGATTCATATACAACTTTAAATGCTCAACTTAGTAAAATCAGACGGCGGAGATCATCAAGTTATGTTTAAATTGGATGAAAATTGTTCAAATAAGAGCAATTTTAGTGAAAAATTTTGTGACGGATTTTCTCGTCACCCTGGGTTTCAAGGTCATTTCTGAGGTGACGAGATATCTCGTCACTCCAGGTAGTCAAGAGGTTAATAAAAAACTCTTTGAAATAAATGTATCACTGTTACTTAAATTAAACAAAAATTCAATATATTTTTTCCAGTCTCAGCTCGTGCTGAGTGTGATCCAGGGACATATTCTACAGGACTTGCTCTGATCTGCAGCCCATGTGACGCAGGCTATATATGCCCTATGGCCTCTACAACTCCTCGTCCATCTGATGGACTCTGTAATCAAGGTGGATATTGTGATGGGAAAACGTTCTCCCCATGTCCTGCAGGAACTTATAATCCAAATAATGGCTCATCGACTGTCGATGAATGCTGGCCCTGTCCACCAGGTAAGTGGTTGATATGTAACAAATGTTCCTATGCACGAAAATGTATTCAATCAAAATGGAATATATGCAATATGGTATATCATTGATTCTCTACCTTGGTGTATACAATATGGTATATCATTGACTTTCTACTTTGGTGTACAATATGGGATATACTACAATTTTGAAAATGAGGCGAGAGAGGAATATGCAGTCTTTCTGTTTTGATCTTGTGATGTCTATTATTAAATTTAAAATTAAAAGTATTTATCTAGATTACCAGGTGTTCAAGTGATATAACTATTTTGGATGTGGCCATTAATAATGTGACTAGGTATTCTAAACAAGATATGGTCTTTTTTTCAGGATATTATTGCGAGGGACCAGGGGAGATCGCATATGAGGATTACCTGTGCCCGGAAGGACATTACTGTCTCCAAGGAACCACTGTCCGTACACAGTACCCTTGTCCAGGTAACGGTCCTAATTACTCGATTGAGGTGCCCAGTTCTACTGCATAGAAAATTTTCAATTTACTTAATTACTTAATTAATTATATACAGTATGACCTGTAATATGGAATACCTTTGTAAGTGGAACACCCCCATAAGTTGAAGACTGTTTCAAAGTTATGTTACCAATTTACTAATCCAATACAAACCTCTGAGTTGAGCACTACTCTGGGGCATCAATGTTCAATGTACATACGTTTTTTTATTTTATTTATTTATTTTTTTGTACATAAATTTTACTGTTTTACAGTTTACAGCTACAATGTATTTTATTCAAGGTGGTTCTTACTATAACCAAACTGGTGCCACCAACGTAGCTTTGTGTATCCCTTGCCCTGAGGCTAACTACTGTCCCGAGGGGTCTGTTCTACCTCTCGATTGCCCTGCTGGATTCTATTGTACTGGTGGTCAGTCCAGCGCATTCCAAAATGCCTGCCCAATTGGAACGTACAGTAACCAAACTGGTCTAACAAGTAAGATCACAATGCATTATTATAGGATTATTATAAAAAAACGCATATGTCATTTAAATCGTCAATGGCTGTCGTGAATTACTTGCAAAATTTTACGGCTTCAATCAATTTTTAATGGGCTGAAAGGAATGATGGGTGCTCAGCCAGAATATTTCATATTGATAAAATATTTGTATTGTTTGTTCATTTAAAAATAAAGACATTAAAATTCTTCAATGAATTATAACTTAAAAATATCTTTTGTTTAGCTGGCAACCAGTGTGTATTCTGTCCGGCTGGAAGTTATTGTCCTGCGGGAACCCAGGCAGAACCTCGTGTTACTCCAATACCATGTGAACCTGGACGCTACAATCCTGATGAAAAGGCTGGTCATCCACTAAACTGTAGGCTTTGTGATGCGGGTTTCACTTGCCCTAGGGTTGGACAGCACAGTGTTACAGACCCATGTATGGAAGGTGAGTTGTCATCATATCTGGCCAAGCTCTTCAAATTGTCAACAATTTGAATTGGATGTTAAAAATGGAAAGCTTTTGTAGAATATGCGAAAATGTATATTGTTTAGTAAAAGCCAGCCACCTTCCAAACAGAATGCAAGATTTCAATAATATGCATAATAATCTATGGTATTCTTGTTCCTCTAGGCCACTACTGTCCTAATGGCACGATAACTGCAGACCAGTATCCGTGTCAGCCTGGTACATTGACTGGGAGAGATGACTTGACATCCGCTGATGAGTGTGACCCTTGCCCTGCTGGCGTCTATTGTTCCTGGGGGACAGGTATGTATATTTGGTACATGTATATACAGTTTATGTTTATACTGAGCATACGTGTATATATATACTATTCGTGTATTTATTGTTCATGTATATACTGTTTGTTACTATTCGTGTATTTATTGTTCATGTATATACTGTTTGTCTACATACTGTGCATATATATATATATATTGTCCATGTAATATATACTTCTCATTCACATACTGTGGTTCATGTATACGATATTCATTTATTTACTGTGTATATGCTACTGTGTACATGTATGTGGTTCCTTTTATTTACCCGTTTTATAAGTTACAAAAAATCATGATGTTTAAATCTTCATCTGGTTTGCAATCAACTTTGAGATGACAAGCCCAGAATTTGATGAATAAATATATTGGAGCTTGTCTCTCAATAAATACCAAGTAAATAGTCCCAGAGGAGACAGTCAGATTGACGGCTACAATGCTTTAGAATGACAAGATGTTGTTTGAAATTAATAAGAGGTAAAACATTTAATCAACTTTGTTTTAGGTGTAACGATAAATCCACCCCAGCCATGTGCCCAGGGGCATTACTGCCCTGCCCAGACCCCCTCACCTGACCGCTACGATTGCCCCTCAGGGACCTATACATATGCCTCAAACTTGACAGATGCAAGCGAGTGTACACCTTGTGATCCTGGATACTACTGTGAAGGTATGTTACAAGTTTATTGTTTTACATATTTTACATACATGTTGTGCATATGATTGCAGGCTTTTCTAGTAAATGAAAGAATGAGCAAGATAATAAAATTAAAACATCATACTCAGAATAAAAGAGTAAAAGTGTACACTTGTGTGAGCAGACAATCTGCAAATAACTTGAAATATATGTCACTGATTTTTATGTCATCACCACAAGTGGTGTCATATTGTTATGGTCTCCTGACATTTTTTGGATGGTGTTCGGCATCTGTAACACATGGCAAGTGCTGACATATTGCTTGTTAATGCCTTGTTATTCAAATATTTGAATATGGCCATAGTAGGACAGAGAATATGGTAATGATATACCAGATACACAAATTACTAGTACATGATTCGCTGTATTGCTTTGTTTGCAGGTGGTCTTAAAGAGGTCTCTGGTATCTGTGTACGTGGCTACTACTGCCCAGAGGGTACAAAGTTGGCCACAGAGTTTGCTTGTCCAAATGGGACCTACAATGATGAAGAAGGCAAATCCGCTGTATCCGACTGTAAAAATTGTACACAAGGTAAAAAAATGAATCGGGCAGAGTTATACTTAATGAAAATGAGAATCACTTCTTTTAAACTTGATACTTAAAGAGATCCTAGAGCCAAGAGTGCAGCCAACAATGTGCCTTGTTTATTAATTGTTTCACTGTGCTTAAGTCTGGGAATCGGATATTCTCTAGGATGAAATTTTTTTAATAGTAAGTGAGGATCGTCATAATAATCAATTCATTTCATAAAGATCATATTTTACTTTGAAATGTTCATTGATATCAGCATGTTTAACATAGCTTATTGCCCGCTCTGAATCTTAAGAATTTTAATAAATGCTGATAGAAAAATGGTTAATACAAACAGAATAGAAAATTAGCATACATAAATTTTATATTTATATTTTCCAGGTCAATATTGTGAACATGGTGTGAGCGCCCCAGTGTCATGTCCTGAAGGTACATACATGCCTTATGGTATAGATCCTGCTACTCTAGGGACAACTGATGTTTACATAGGCCCAGGTAAGGTGCCTCATATGATTCAATATTTTCAAAATGTTATATTGTTACTTTTAAATTTATTTGAATGGTCATATGTTTCAAAAGAAGAGGGTTGGAGGGACCAGTTTTCGATTAAATTCTTCAAATCCCAAGATCCATTGGGGACAGGGATGGTGAGAGAATGCATAGACTTGTCTAATTAACTTATCTAATCCTTTGTAATGTTTACAGGTGACCCTGCCAGAAGGATATTTGACTGCTTGGAGTGTCCTGGAGGTAATTTCTGCTTGGGGAATACAATAACGCCTGCTGTCTGTAGTAAGGGTTACTACTCTAAACCTGGAAAGAGTGTCTGTGAAATATGTGAGATAGGGTAAGTACACGATATGGGCACCTGATAGGCATATGGTTACATATATAAATAGATTAGTTTCTTCTGCCACTTAAAGATAAGGATTGAGATGAAAGGATCATTAAGATCAAAAAGAACTACCGTAAGTTGAATCATGTTTAGCTTTAGTGTTCCAGGAAAGCCATATTATCTAGCTACCATTAGTATATGCATGTAAAGATCTTTGTAAATAATATTCATGCATTAGCTTCATACATACTTATGGCACATATAATTTACATTTTGAAAAGTAGGGAACTTTGAGGTGGTTCAAACCCATTTTACCTGAGTAGGTCCAGATTGTGAAGATGGCAAGTCTAGTTGGGTTGAACTTTAACAAATCAGGAAGATGGTGGATTGCCAATTAGCCAAGACTAGAATGATTCAGGCCTAGAATTTACTAGCATTTCAATTACATACATTAATAATTACACGCTCTTTGCAGACATTACTGTGATAGTGACACAACATCTTACACTGATATGATCACCAACAAGCAATGTCCCTGTGGCTCCATCTGTGATTATGGTCTCAAGGATGTCAATGATGCCATTCAATGTCCAGCAGGGCACTACTGTGAACAAGGTATGTTTTAAAACAATGCTGTTTTGGTTTTCAGAGGTATAAGGTAATGTATCAAAATATTGGCAATGTAACTTATTTATCACACATTTGGTGAGGTTTTACACCTGATAGGACAATAAACGTCCATTGGACTTCATTTTCATAGGTTCAATGGAAAGTTTTGATAATTTTCTCTGAAGTGTTTTTGAATTTTGAAATGTGAAAAAAATGAAAAGCTAACCAACATAAGTTCCCTCTGTACAGAAATTCAAGAAGTTTGTATGCATATTTTAAATGCTCGAATATTATGATGCCATTGTTAAAAAAAATTGTTATGAGAATACATGAGGGAGAGGGTTGAATAAGAGATGCTTTCTTTGTCCCTCAAAAAATGACAAAATGACTCATTTTCATAATGTAGGAGTAATTGAACCACACAAGTGTCCTGTGGGAACGATTCGTAGGACAACAGGAGGCTGCAATGTGACAGCTGACTGTTTGCCATGTGACGCAGGCTACTACTGTCTGGAAGGCTCTAGCACAACAACAGGGGAGTGTGAAGTGGGCTACTACTGTCCCCAACCCATTCCTAACCCATATGGGGCAATTCCAGCTGAAATTGGATCTTATGGTGCTAAGCAGGTATGCATACTTTGACAGAAAGATCCATTTTTCAGAAACTTTTAGCATTTTGGAAAAATATGGGTTATGGCTATGAAATATTTATCCTGCAATGACTGTTTCGCTTCCAAAATAAATTAAAGGTTGTATGTTAAAAATACGTAATGTAATGGTATGTCAAACCTAGTTGCTTGAATTCCACTCTTTAATCATTTTTAACTTATACGATTTGTAGGCACAATGTCCAGCAGGCACATACACCAATGTCACAGCTACACCAGACTTAGCTAGTTGTAATCAATGCCCCGCAGGCTACTATTGTGAGATAGGAACAGGACAGCCTGTAGACTGCCCTGCTGGCTCTTACTGTGTAGCTGGGGTTAGTGTTCCAGTTCCTTGTCCAATGGGAAGATATGGCAATTCCTCAAGTAAGTAACCTCTTGGATTTTCAGCTACAGGGTGGGGTTTATGGGTACAATGTTTGTTGACTTAGATATGCAAGTAGGTTTTTCTTTGATTGTTAACTTTCATCTAAGAAAACTGAGAAAACTTTTTGAAATTCAACATTTTGAAACCATAATATGTTGGTTATGGTCCTATATATTGCATAGCCCATTCATGTTTAACCACTAACTGGTATGCATACTTCCTAATATCTACCCTGATTCAGTTGTTTATTTTATATTTCATTGCTAGATCTTGGAGCCATGACTGACTGTAATGAATGTGATCCTGGCCAGTATTGTGATGCACCTGGTCTAGTCAGCCCTCGAGGGCCATGTGATCCTGGGTTTGTTTGTTATCTTGGTGCCAAGGAATCTGGGCCAATAGATGGCGTCACTGGAGAACTCTGCCCGGCAGGTGGATTTTGTGAATCGGGTAAGTCAGTTCAGTTTTCAAATGGTCTAAATTGTTAATGTTCATTTAACTATTTAGCTCACATGGTGAGCTATAGCTATCACTCACTTGTTTGGCATTTTTGTCACATGTTGCATATCTAAAATAAATCAACATAAAAGACGATATGAGTTTCAAGTTATTTACCATACATTTGCTTAATCGTATCGCTTGTATTTACAAACATACATTTGATTGAATTGTTTTGTATTGTAATGCATTACGGTTATATATTTATTGCCTACATGAATGAGAATGCATTTCCATTTAAGGAAGTTCATGATACCATGTTATGTGTTTCTAGGTTCGTATTATGCCAAGCCTTGTCCACAGGGTACATATAGTAATGTGACTGGGGCAGTGAACCATTATGACTGCTTTGACTGTGACCCTGGGTACTATTGTTCCTCAGTGGCCGGGGGTGAGCCGACTGGACAATGCTGGGGAGGATACTTCTGTACCGGGGGTGCTAAAACACCTCGGCAAAACATCACTCAACCTGGTATGTTGTGATCAATACAGTTTTGTTTTATAGTACTAAATATTCAACTCTGCAGTTTGGACTATTGTTATTGGATTTAAACTTGTGGTCTGCTATATTTCAGTAACATGAGTTTCCAGCAGGTCCAAGGAAAAGTACAACTCCTCAGATATAGTCAGTGGCAAATATTAGAGTGTTCATTATCAGGAACTCTGAAATTCTATACAAAATATTGTATTTCTTATGCTTCTCAGTTGCCAAATTGTCAATGTATATAAGTTGAATTGCAGTGTTGCATTTTAAGATCTGATTAGTTACGAATCCTGTTGTTGTTTTGCAGGTCATTATTCCCCCAATGGTTCTGTAACCCCTAGAGAGTGTGAAACAGGGACATACCAGCCATATGATCGCCAATCAGAATGCATCATTTGTGAGCCTGGATATTACTGTCCTGAAAAAGCCATGACAGATCATATCCATTGTCCTCCAGGGCAATATTGCCCAAATAATACTGTTGTTCCCCTTGATTGCCCTCCTGGCACGTACTCTAACATAACAAATGCTTATGATATAAGCCAATGTAATAACTGCCCACCTGGCCAATATTGTGCAAATCGTGGTGCAACAGAGCCATCTGGACCATGTGCTGCGGGCCATATCTGCTATGGGCTTGCCCTCTCCGATGACCCAGTGTATAATGATAATCCGAGTGGGAATAAGACAATTATTTTGTATGGAGATACATGTGCAGCTGGTCACTATTGTGTAGAAGGAACTGCAAATATGGAGCCATGTCCCCGTGGCATGTACTTACCGGATTTAGGTGCCACCAATATCTCGGATTGTTTACCGTGTGATCCTGGGCAATACTGTGATGGCATTGGGCTGAATGCCACCTCAGGTATATGGCTTTCACATCTAATTCACAATTCAGATAACAACAGGGGCGTTTTGTACTCTTTTTCATGATAATCATTTTGATAAAATCATTTTTATGACCATTATCTACAGTACATGTTCATTTATAAAATTTCACTATGTATCATTAGATTGTGTTCATGAAAAGTGAACTGGGAACATTTAATTATGCATTATCATTTTTGAATTTTAGGAGACTGTGATGCTGGCTATTACTGTGTAGGGGGCGCTTATCTAAAGGACCCATCTGATAATGCTACCACTGGCGACATCTGTCCATTAAACTACTACTGTCCTCAGGGCACTGAAAGTCCAAGGTTGTGTGCTATAGGATATATGGCTAACTACACTGGCATGGAGTTATGTAGTCTCTGTGCAGAAGGGTTTATATGTTATCCTGGACAGACACCACAAGCTTGCCCTGAAGGTAAGGGTTGTTCTTAAAACATGCAAAAATTACTCTAAAATAGTCAATGAATTTATCAATAATGAATATATTCCTCATGAAATTAACTTTCAATAAAATGATAGACAATTTTGCCATAAACTGTCATTTTGGTCTTTATGAACCAATCAGATGAGATGACCAAGGGCTCGTGTAAACTGTGTATTTCTTGTTTCTATTGTGACAACACAAATGATCCAGTGGTCCTCTACAAGGTTGGACGAGGGAAACATTTTCCTTGACCAACTTTTTTGACATTTTTGTATGAAATTGCAAATATTGTTTCAGGGTTCTATTGTCCTGCCAGTACGGTGTTGAAACCATTGACCGCTCCTACCCCCTGTTTGTCTGGGACCTACAACAACAGAACTGGTCTGGGGGCGGAGTCTGAATGCACACCATGTGATCCTGGAATGTACTGCTTTGCTGATGGTATGTTAACAACCGTGTAAAAGCTACTTTTGCATACAATCTGTTGTTTAAAAGTTTTGTATATTAAATTCACTGTTTCAGAATTGAAAAAGCCTATGATATGAAATGATTTGATATCATTAACTTGATATTAATTCACTGAGATCTTATATATTTTGTTTAAAAAATCAGATATGAATATTAGAGATTGCCTTTATCATTACAGGACTGACACAACCAACTGGCGAAATTAATGGAGGATATTGGTCACTTGAGGGTAGCGACACTCCAACCCCCAATACAGATCTTGACCCCCTCAAGGGATACTGTCCAAAGGGTTATTACTGCCCCCCAGGATCAGTCCAACCTCTACCATGCCCCGTTGGCACATACGGGTAGGTGTTTTCACTTATGAACATTTCTCATATAGTTTATTTATAGGTTTTTATTGTATGTTGATTCAGGTCAAAATTGAAAATTTAATTTTTTCCTCGTTCTGAATATCCAAACAGATGTACTAATCTAAATTATTCTGGTGCATCGCATAGAAATATATCACATCATTACTTGTAATATATCATTTGCATGATGTTTTAATTTCAGATACCAGATACAGTATGCTGACATCTCTAACTGTGATGCCTGTCCAGCAGGTTTATACTGTCCATATCAAAACATGACTGTTGACCCCACCAAACCACTAGACACTGAGCTACCTAAATGTAGTGCTGGCCATTACTGTGTTGGGAAGTCAAATGAACCAAACCCTGTCAACGAAACTCATGGGGATGAGTGTCCTACTGGTAACTTTTTTTGTTTATTTTATACAGTTTCATATAATGGTATTCATAATAAGTACCAGTTGGGCTAATTAGTATTCTGTCTATATCTATTTGCTTTTTTCTGTTCAGTAACTTCATGGCATAATGTTAAATTTCAGATGCAAAAGTCTATTTCATGAAAATATAACAATTTAAGGATGACATCTTAACCAGTTGATTTACTGGATTCATCTATTAAGGCATGAAAGTGGTTTCAATGTTCAATTTCAGGTCATTTTTGTGTTGAGGGGAGTAGTGCTCCATCACCATGTGTCCCAGGTACCTACCAGAACAATACCCGCCAAGCATCCTGTAAACCATGTCCTGCTGGATATTACTGCCTCCAGAACACATCAATACCATTTGAGTGTCCCCCAGGCCACTATTGTCTCGCGGAGGCAGTGGAGCCGTATACCAACCCATGTGTGATAGGCACCTTCAATAATCTCACAATGGCCTCAACTCCATTTTACTGTCAGGATTGTCTGCCTGGGTAAATATTGATAACATTTCATCAATTGTACAACTGCTTCTCCCTCTTAGCTACTCAAACTTCTAAAGTGAATATGTAGAAGAGGTTGAACGGTTTCTGGACAACTCGGACCCAGGACAAGTCGGACCCTGGACAACTCGGACCCAAGACATCTCGGACCCAAGACATCTCGGACCCAAGACAACTTGGACCCAAGACAACTCGGACCACTTTTTGAAATAATGATTTTTATCATTGTTTAGGTTTTTTTAGTCTTTGTTTTATGCTTATTAAATATATTACACATTGTAAATACATATTTTGTACTAATTTGATTAAAATGTTTTAATTTGACTTATTTGATGAAGATTAAGTAGAAGCTATTGAAGCTATAAACCAAAGACAACTCGGACCACTTTCTGAAATGTTAGTTTTTGTTAGGTACTTTTTTGTTTTCATAATATGGGATTATTTGTAAATGTTTAGCATGACACTGTTTAGATATAATGTGAATTTATATTTTGTGTTTACATGTAAAGATGAATAATTAACTTATTTGATGAGAGTTGAGAATACAACTTGTTATATAGAGGTGTCAATGAGTCTTTTCATACAGTTAATACCAACTCATATGGAAAATCAATAAGGAATTAAAAACAATAATACTTTTAATCCTAATCTCATTATCTCATTTAAACTCACCACCTTGAAGTCATATTAATAATCTCACTGAAAGACCTATGTCACAAAGAGATCAATTGAAAGTTAAAATTCTGTAAATCCTCAATTGTTTGATCATTCAATCTTAATTTCACTGAAAGATTGATGCCATATTGAGATCAATGAAAGAGTTTGTATTCTGTTAATCCTTAAGTTTTTTTGATAATTTAATCTTTATCTAACAGAAAGATTGAGGAATGTGTTTGTATTCTGTAAATCTTCTTTTTATCATTTAATTAAGAAATATAGACTGAACATCATGAAAACTCACCAAAATATTAAATTTATTTAAAACAATTACATCAAATTAACAGAATATTTGAATTCACAATATGTAAATGTGTCATACTAAACATAAAATAAGTAAAAACCGTATAACGATAAAAATCATAATTTCAAAAAGTGGTCCAAGTTGTCTTGGGTCTTTAGCTTCAATATTTTCACTCATTAATTAAGTTGATTTAAAACAATTACATCAAATTAACACAATATTTGAATTCAAAATATGTATAAAAAGTCAGACTAAACATAAAATAAAAACAATAAAAACCATATTATGATAAAAATCATAATTTCAAAAAGTGGTCCGAGTTGTCTTGGATCTTTAGCTTCAATATTTTCTTCTTAATTCTCATTAATTAAGTTGATTTTAAACAATTACATCAAATTAACACAATATTTGAATTCAAAATATATATAATATGTCATACTAAACATAAAATAAAAATAAAAACCATATCACGATAAAAATCATAATCTCAAAAAGTGGTCCGAGTTGTCTTGGGTCTTTAGCTTCAATATTTTCTTCTTAACTATCATCAAATAATAAGTTGATTTAAAACAATTTCATCAAATTAACACAATAAATGAATGCACAGTACATAATATATGTCATCTAAACATAAAACAAAAATTAAAACCACATATTATGATGTTAATATCATCATTTCAAAAAGTGGTCCGAGTTGTCCTGGGTCCGAGTTGTCTTGGGTCCGAGTTGTCTTGGGTCCGAGATGTCTTGGGTCCGAGTTGTCCAGGGTCCGAGTTGTCCTGGGTCCGAGTTGTCCGGTTACCAGGGTAACGACCACAAGAGGTTTTAGCGAAACAATAATTATTTTTCAAAGTTACTTTTAATGATTAAGAAAAAAATGATTTTAATTTTGTTGATCTTGATTGTAAGTTTTAATCTCTGTTTAAGTTTAGATATGGACATTTGATATTTCAGGCAATATTGTGAGATCCCTGGGTTAGAATACCCCACAGGACCATGTGCTGCTGGATGGTACTGTACCCTAGGGTCATCCTATGACAAACCTGTAGATGCAGCACAAGGAGGGAAGTGTCAAACGGGTTATTTCTGCCCCAATGGTTCTGTGGAGATGACCCCTTGTACACCAGGAATGTTCTGTGATGCACCTGGCCTCTGGGAACCAACAGGCAATTGCGATGCAGGTTACTTTTGTACATCAACAGCTGAAACCAGTACTCCAACAGATGGCACCACAGGTAACTTTCCTAAATGCCCAAATGTGTAGTTATGATTTTTGTAGATGTTTGAGAAGAATGTAATATGCAGTGTGTTTGCGATAGGATCTTATGGGAATTTTCAATCTGTTTTTCAACTATTTTTTTTGACTTGTATTTAGAGATCTATTTATTACTTATTTTCCAGGTAATGTTTGTCCCGAGGGTCAATATTGTGAAGCAGGAAGTGCCAATGGCACATACTGTCCCCCTGGAACCTGGCGTAACGAAACTACTGGTAAAAGTATAAACGACTGTCAAAACTGTACACAGGGCTCATACTGTGCTGGCTATGGGAACATTGCTGTCGATGGAGATTGCGACCCTGGGTACTATTGTCCTGAGGGAATGTCTTCTAGCACTCCTGCTGATTTCCCATGCCCTGTGGGTCATTATTGCCCATCAGGAAGTTATGAACCAATCAGATGTGAGTCTGGTTACTACCAGGATGAGACAACCAAGGGCTCGTGTAAACTGTGTATTTCTGGTTTCTATTGTGACAACACAATTGATCCAGTGGTCCTCTTCAATTCAACATATTGTCCTGCTGGTGAGTTCTCTTTGTAGATGATATTATACACTGTTAAGAAAGCCTTTACAGTTTGAAACTATGAATCTTTAAGTAGGAAAGGTAAATTATCTTACAATTATCATTTTTGTCTTTATGAACCAATCAGATGAGATAACCAAGGGCTCGTGTAAACTGTGTATTTCTGGTTTCTATTGTGACAACACAATTGATCCAGTGGTCCTCTTCAAAGTTGGACAAGGGAAATATTTCCCTTGACCAACTTTTTTGACATTTTTGATGTAAATATTCATTTAAAATGGTCAATTTGGAGGAATGTTTATCACATAATTACTGTTAATTTCAGGTTATTACTGTCCTGCTGGCACCCGCTATTCCAATGAGTTTCCCTGTCCCAGTGGAACATTTGGCAATGAAACTGGACTCCAGAATGAGGCAAATTGTACAGAGTGTCCCTGTGGCTATTACTGTGATCAGCCTGCCCAGACCACTTACTCAAAGATCTGCAATGCAGGGTAGGTTCTATGACAGTAAAACAAAAGTGGAACACCTTAAGTACCTCTAATAAAAGTGTTACTTGGGATGTGCTGCACTAACCATGAAGTTCATTTAACAATAAAATTAGCCAATTGGTCATGAAACTTCTTGGAGTGGAATATGATAAACTGAAAGCTGGCATAAATTAACATGTCAATCACCAAGTGTACATTCAAAGCATGAAAGAGTTCAAGTACATTGAAGTTCAGTGTTATAATATAATTCCTCCATTTGTTGTTTGCAGGTACTACTGTCGCAGTGGTGCAGCCTCTGGCACACCTCTACAGGGATACGAAGCTGATGAGTGCCCTGCTGGCTACTACTGCCCCATGCAGTCTTGTGAACCCCAGTCTTGTCCCATAGGAACATTCTCCAGCAGTACAAGACTCACAGATATTACTGAGTGTCTCAACTGTACTGCAGGTAAGTCACCATAATTAAGTTGATCTTCAGCAGTATCACTTGAGGGCTTTTCTATTGGTTTACTGTAGAAAGTGTTGCAAAATATGAACTCTGGAGACACACTGCTTTATTGTCACATTTTCTTATTGGAGATAAAACAATCAGAGACTTCACATTTTCCTTGAGTTATCAGCATATCAGAAATACATCTTTTGTTTCTAGGCTATTACTGTGGCAATCAGAGTTTGATAGCTCCCAGTGGGGAATGTGACGCAGGGTATTACTGCCCTGGCAGTGCAACAACCCCTGACTTCATAGTCTGCCCCGAAGGTCACTACTGCACTGAAGGTACAGCCAACCCCATTAAGTGCCCAGTTGGGACATACAGCAATATAACTGGACTGAAAAATGATACAGAATGTTTCCCTTGTCCTGGAGGCTGGTATTGTGAGACTGAGGGTCTCTTAGAACCAACAGGAAGATGTGATCCTGGATACTATTGTCCAATAGGATCAGTATGGAGTGGTACCCCAGCGACTGTCTGCCCAGTTGGTCATTACTGTCCCGAGGGAACAGGCCCAGATCCTATCCCCTGCAAAAACAACAGCTATGTGAACCACACCCAGGCTACTGAGTGCTACCTCTGTCCCCAGGGATATTACTGTGTTGCATCAGGTCAGAATGCAATTTGCCCAATGGGGTACTATTGCCCTGCAGGGACTGGGCTAGACTGGCAGGCTTGTCCCAGAGGAACATACAGTGACCAGGAGGGCAATTATGAGGAAGCCCAGTGTAAACCATGCCCAGAGGGCAAGTACTGCGATGGAGAACATCTAGCAGCACCCTCAGGTAAATTCCTTGAAATTCTTTCTCAGGTCACCTGTAAATGAATAGATTGAGATTCTGTTGATTAATAAACAAGGCATGATTCATTCCAGCTCCAAAATGTGGTCTGGACATTTGTATGTTAAATCATTCCAAATAAAACCTGAATTGAAAAGATAATTTAAAAATCTAAATGCTCTTGTTACTGACCTCTTATATTACAGGGGATTGTGCTGCAGGCCATTGGTGTAACTCTGGAGTTGATAGGGAGTTTCCAAATGGCATCAACCAAACAGCTCCTTTAAACAACAGTTGCTATGACGACAGAGCTGTAGGGTATGGTGGTATATGTCCTGTAGGCCACTATTGTCCAACAGGAAGTGTCAACCCAGAGCCCTGTCCCAATGGAACATATGCCAATGTGGAGGGCTTAGGTCTATGCATTATTTGTCCTAAGGGTAAGTAAAAGCATTTCTACCACTGTGATTGAGCATTCATAATTGAGCAGAAAGATAGAATTTGACCTTTGCAATGACAAATATCTGAATTGGTTACTATAAAAAGTATAGTTCATCCGAGTAAATGGATGAATTTTCTGGAAATTACTTTGGAGACTCATCTCAAGAGTTACTTGTCCTTGAATGGTAACTTATCTTTGGTGACTTGTCTCAAGAATAACTTGTCGATGGTTCAACTTGTTTTTGGTAGCTTATCTTAAAATGGCTTGCCTTTGGAAAACTCTGCATAAGTGCTTTTCAACATTCACCAGATGTTTTGTTTCACTGTAGGTTACTACTGCCCGAGTGGTGCTGTGAACTACACTGACTATGATTGCCCCAGTGGACACTACTGTCCAGATGGCACTGAGGCATGGAACCAGTACCCATGTGCTGCTGGCAAATACAACAACATAACTCAGCGGACTAAAGTTGAAGACTGCTTAGATTGTCCAGGTAGGTACTGTTTTTAGTCAAATTATGTATTTTATTGAGTCTGGGAAAAACTGAGAACAAGCAATTTAAGAAATAAAATTGGCAGTCAGGATATTTTGTTGCTTTGAGAGTAGGTAACAGTGTTACAAACATTAACGGGGGTGGAGGGCATTAACATAGACATTGAAATCTTAATTGGATATTTTCTTATCCTACCTTGTCTGTCTTGCATTTCTATAAACCTATGACTCCCATTTTCATTCAGGTGGCCAGTACTGTGAACAAACAGGCCTGACAACACCAACTGGCCTCTGTAAGGCAGGCTATTACTGCACTGGCGGATCAGCCACTGACCAGCCCCCCACTGCTTACTGTGTAGCTGGAGAATACTGCCCTGAGGGATCACACATACAAACACCATGTGACCCTGGCTGGTATTGCGCTACTGATTATCTTGGAGCAATGTCTGGCCAGTGTTTTGGAGGATACTACTGCACATCATCAGCTACTATGCCTAACCCAAATGATGGCACCACTGGTATGTACAAAGCAACAGCTATTATGTCATTGTAAATCCAAATAGTGGGGCTAATTGCATGATAGTTAACTAACTGTTTTCAGCTTTTTAGTGTTAGGTACCAAAATAATGGCAATTTTTCAATAAATAAACCATTTATATTGGAGTTGACCAAATTGTCTAGTATCACAATTTTTGTTATTTTACACTTGTATTCTGCTATTGACCACTGCTCAATATGACTCCTACAACTTACTTAAAAGTTTGTATAATTTGTTATTTCAGGAGATATTTGTCCTCATGGAGCATTCTGTCCCAATGGTACAGCTGCCCCTCAACTCTGTCAGGCTGGTTACTACCTCAACAGCACTGGCAATGATGACGTCTCAGACTGTGAACTCTGCACTGCGGGCTTTTATTGCGCTGGAAGTGGGAATGATGTCCCTACTGGCCTTTGTTCCGCCGGATATTACTGTCCTGGGGGTCAAGATGATGATACCCCCACTGGGTATAACTGCACGGAAGGTAAGTGGCTCAGATAGCAAACTATGTGCACTTTTTTGATGATCCAATTTCTCAACTGATTTCGAATACACCTCAATTAGAGGCAAGATAATTTTAAAATTCTCATGTTGGTACACGAGCTCAGTTGTTTAAAAAATTTAACGATTATTGCATATTTGTTTCTACTTAATTGTCATTTGTATTATTAGGCCACTATTGTCCCACTGGAAGTGATGCTCCTATACGGTGTCCTTCTGGCTCATACCAGGACCAACTGGGCATGGCATACTGCAAGGATTGTCCACAAGGCTTCTATTGTGACAACACAATGGCACCAGTCATACTCTACAATTCTTCATATTGTCCCATGGGTGAGTTAGTATAAAGTATCACAAATATTCATAAACTGTCACATTTTATTTTTGTCACACTTTGGGATATTATAATGTGACAGTGATCATGATTGTGGTTTTGATTGAGTAGCGTCCTTGATTCATTAATTCAGTCATTGATAGGACATGAGCAAAATGAAACAATTGCTAAGGTACAATTAGAATATAAAACTTTTTTGTCCTTTCATCGCATGAGATGTTATATTTTATGAAATGAAAAATAATTCTGAAACATTTCTTTACAGAAGCATCGAAGAATATAATAAATTACAGTCTAATAGACAGTTACCTTAATTAGTTCACTTTTTATTTGATAGGCTACTATTGCGAAGTGAACACAACGTTTGCAACAGAGAATCCCTGTCCTGTAGGGACATTCAACAACCAAACCCATGCATATGGTATACAGTTCTGTCAGCCATGTACAGGAGGAATGTATTGTGAGACACAAGGACTCCCTGATCCTACAGGGCCATGTGACCCTGGTAAGTGATACTTTACCCATTCAATCATTATGCAGGGGTATCATCAGAATCTTCATTCTTTACTGTGTTTGATGCAACAGAAGATACAAATAACAATAGCTTTGCCACGTTTAATCAAGAACTCAAAAATATCAATTAAATGTCAATATGAGACGAGCAATAAAGATAATCGAACTGAATTGAATATTTTACATTACAGGTTACTTCTGTGCTTCTGGGTCAGATAGTGCCACACCCTCCCTTGGTGCAAGTGCTGATGAGTGCCCCACAGGTCATTATTGCCCCCAACAGTCCTCTGCCCCACTAGCATGTCCCCCAGGGACATACAACAGTGCTACTCGGAGGACATCTATGGGAGACTGTCAAAACTGCACTGGTGGGAATTACTGTCCAGAGTGGAATATGACTGCAGTAGGTTCACCCTGCGATGCTGGTATGTTGCTTTAATTTATTTGGTATCCATGGCTTCTTTGATTAAAAGCAAAATTTCACAAATGATGGAGTATGATACAAGGCTAAGCTGATTTCAATCAAAACCCCTACTCTCTTGGTTAAACCTTGGAATTTAGTGCTTTCCAGGAATTTACAGTTTTTTTCTTTCATTTTGAGAAAAGAGGGGAAAACCTTTCTAGAGGTTAATCTTTACATAGAGATTCTGGGATATTTTCTCTAATTTTGACATCAATTTTTGTAATTTTAGAATAGAAAAATATGTTAAAAGTGCACAGACCTCCAAATAGACAATATATGAGATAAATGCATGTTTAAATATAAATATTAGCAAATTTCTCTTTCATAAGGCTACTACTGCGAGAGTGGGGCAGATGTTGCCACATACACTGAGTGTACTCCTGGGTCTTACTGTCCAAAGGGGAGCACACTCCCTACACCATGCCCTGCTGGGACATTTTCTAATACGGCTGGCTTACAGGAGGAGGCTCAATGCACTAACTGTACTGGAGGATATTACTGTCCTGATACAGGTATAATCCTCATTTATTATACCTTGTTTTATAGCCCTTCAGATTTTTGCAGTTTATATCCTATTTTGTTCTTATCTTCTCTGGCAGCTTGTTTTTTGAACAAGAATTTTATAGGTGTTTTATGAAAAAAGTTTGCCAATGCAAATGATGTCTGAGTTTTTAATGTCAATTAATTGAATTAATTATTTTTACACCCAAGGATTTAAAATAATTTCAGATATGAATTAAATGTCCAATGACCTACTATTTATTGTTTAGTAACAACAACATATTTGTTTTGTAGGTATGACAGCAGCTGTGGATGAATGCTGGGGAGGCTACTACTGCCCTAGTGGTATAGATGTCCCTAATCCCGCTGACCTCTTGTGCCCAAGAGGCATGCACTGCCCCAATGGCAGTGAAATATATAAGGAATGCTCCCCTGGTTTCTATGCCAACCAGACAGGTGCTGCCATCTGTGAGACATGTCCTGATGGCTATTATTGTCTTCCTGTTCAGCCTGAGAATGCAACTCTCAATGTCCAGCCATGTCCTCAAGGCTATTTCTGCCCAACAGGTAGGCCTTTCTATTACTAATAAATTACTTTTCTTCTTGATACGCTTTGCAAAATTGAGTTAGAAATAACACCAGTTATATGATTTGGAACTTAAGAATATTTTAATGAAGTTAATTTTTTACAAAGTCTTTTTAGAAAATGTAAAATACTGAATAATATGGTTTGGATAGAACTTTGAAAAATCACTAAGTTTTCTACTGTCAAGTTAATTCTGTCTCATTTAAAAGTTTAATATATTTTGTGACTAACAGGTACTGCACTAGACTGGCATGCATGTCCCCAGGGCACATACAGTGACCAGGAAGGATTGTACAGCACTGCACAATGCAAGCCCTGCCCTGGTGGGAAATACTGTGCCTCTGAACACCTCAGTGCACCTACAGCTGACTGTTCAGCAGGTATGTGGCAATATAAGAAAATTATAGAAGGAACCCAAGGGTCCATGAATCTCAACCACATGGGCACAATTGACCTGACTTGCATCCCATTGAGTTTTTTGACACCTAATAATAAAAAATGAAGGTTTTAAATTCTTTGAATTAATTTGTAGTTTTTCATCTGAATCATTATTATTATATAGAATCTACTGCTGAATTGGAAATTACTGAAATATGAATGATTTTTCTGTCTTCAAGAATGTAGAACATTTTTGCATACTTTTAGGTTATTACTGTACATCTGGTGTTGATCGTCCAAACCCTAGCACAGGCAATGACACTTTTAATGACACCTGTGCCTGTCCCCGGCAGTCACTTCATACAGGAGTGGGAGACATATGTCCCCTGGGTCACTATTGTCCCCTAGGGTCAACGGTGCCTTTACCCTGTCTTGCTGGGACATATGCAGACACAGAAGGACAACATACATGTAAACAATGCCCAGAGGGATACTACTGTATGGCTAATAGCACAGATTTCACTTCCCAGGAATGCCCCACAGGTACAAGCTAATTGTTATCATCAACCAGCATAAATGGAGTTTCAGACAAAAGTGCGTTAATGGGACATATTAATGATATCATTTGATAAAATGTGTGAAAGCAATCCAGAAATGGCTCACAATATGGCAAAGACACAAATAACCACCAATTTCAGAAATTGATTTTTTGAAGGTTTTTTGACAATGTAAGAAGACCACCAAAATTAAAAAAGTATGTCTGTGTACAACTTGAAATAATTGCATTTGTAACTTTTTCAGGTCACTTCTGTCCCAATGGCACAGCAAGCCAATATGAGAATCCTTGCCCTCCGGGAACCTACAATGCTTTACCCCGGGGCACATCAGAAACAGACTGTCAAGATTGCCAGGGAGGAGAGTACTGTGAGGGTCAAGGTAATTCTGCAGCTACAGGAAATTGTTCTGCTGGATGGTTTTGTAGCGGTGGAGCTGATAGGCCAAACACAACAACACATGGTGGGGAGTGCCAACCAGGATATTACTGTCCAGAAGGTAACACAAGTTGATTAAGAAAAGGATGCTCACTTCAAACTGTAGTATAAAGGGATATAAATAAATGTCATACAAATATTCCCATACATACTAAATCGCTAATAAAAAAGATTTTGTGGACGATAATGATTGTTGCATTGACTATTACATGTAGCTCATAGTTAAAAAACCAAGGATTATACAAATGTGAATAATTGCGATCTACTTTTTGTACTTCATTTGCATCTATACAATTACATTTAACAATGATACAACAGAATATGATCAATGTTTGGATATTTTCAGGCTCAATGAGTCCAATTCCTTGCCCCGGTGGAGAATTCTGTGCCACAAGTGGTCTTGCTACACCCACAGGTCTATGCTCTGCCGGGCATTACTGCACCCTGAAGGCCATATCTGCCACCCCCTCCGGGGACTCTACTGGAGACATCTGTCCCCCTGGATACTACTGTCCTGAACAATCATCCTACCCCATACCCTGTAGCCCTGGCACATACAGCCCTAGCTCTGGGAATATGAACATCACTGACTGTCTTGCCTGTAGCCTGGGAGAATATTGTGCCAGTTACAATCTGACTCAAACAACAGGTTTGTGTATTTGAACATGAGTACATTAAATTGAATACATTGAACTTTAGTATATTAAACTCGAATTCTCAATAAAATTATCATTCACAGTATATCACAACATAATAGGTAAACTAGCAATATGATTTGTATTAAGATACACAGTTAAAAAGGATTTTTGAAAAGCAAGAACTGTACTTTTCATTTAGAAAACACCCAATATTAGATGTAGATTGATTCATTATGATTCATTATAAGTCCACCCGCTATGGCTCAGAGGCAGAGTCAAGGTTACCAATATTGCTTGGCCCCGGGTTCGATTCCCGGTTCAGACAAGTTTGTTTGTGCGTTATGTAATTCTGGGTGTTTGACTGAGTGGTTCACGACTCGTATAAAAGGCTGTGGTGTGTACCTGTATGTCTGTGTACCCGTGCACATAAAAGAACACAGGGCTCCTCCAAGGAGGGGTTTCTGGCTCTGTCTTCGAGTGTAAAATACGTAAAATACGGAATATACCAATGAGGTATTGCTCGCCAAATATGGTGGTAACCAAGATATAATAATAATAATAATAATAATAAGTATCGTTCAACGTTATCATGGTTTACTTCATTTTACTTTGCACTTACAGGTAACTGCAGTGCCGGTTTCTACTGCCCCCAGGGTGAGATCACTGACAACCCCCATCCTTGCCCCATGGGCTACTACTGTCCTGAGGCCACATATGACCCATTCATTTGTGACAGTGGCTGGTATCAAGACAACACTGGCCAGAGTGATTGCAAGTTATGCCCCGAGGGCTACTATTGTGATAACAGTAATGGTGCTGTGGTGATAAATGAAACAGTGACATGTCCAGCTGGATTCTTCTGTCCTCCTGGTGAGTGAAAATCTAGCATAATTCACTCTCAACTAATAATCGTTAAGATGGCTTTTTTGTTAATTAAAAGTTTTTATTCTTTTTAATCATAGAAATAACTGATGCATCACTTGTTTATATTACACAAGCTAACTTCAGCTACTTTCATATTGAAGTAAAGACTTACAAAATGTTCTCCACATTTTTATCTTGATTTGTAAAAGTATGCCACACTTTTAATCAAAGCACAAAGCAGCATACATTACTAATGCATCGTCCGGCATTATTCAAACTTTTACATTTGCATTTCTGTAAATAACAAGACCTCAACCAACTGATTGTTTATTTTAGGTACGAAAAGAGCTGATCAATGGCCCTGTCCTCTGGGCACATTCGGCAATGACACAGGATATAACGATAGCTCCAACTGTAGCCCTTGTCTAGGAGGAATGTACTGTGGAATTGTCGGACAGACATGGCCAACTGGATATTGCAAGGCTGGATATTTCTGCCATCGTTATGCAGAGATCGCTTCACCTAATCAAACCACTGACGCTAATATTTGTCCAGAAGGTAAAGTTAAGGATTGAAATGAATTCTGAAAATTTCAGATATTCATTTTATCTTGATCGCTACTGGATTATATCTGGATTAAATGATAACTCTCCATAAAAGAGTAAATTTAAAAAGGCATGCATTACTTATTGATCACCCCTCATCTTTTTATCTGCAGGCTCTTACTGTTTGGAAGGCACAGACAATCCCAGTCCATGTCCTGTAGGAACATTTGGGGCTATAGAGGGACTGCGAAACTCCAGTGAATGTACACCATGCACTGCAGGAAAATATTGCGACATACAAGGAATCACTTCAGTCACAGGTGAGTGAAGTACACTGTTCTCACATTGCTTTTATAGACATTCATACATAGATCATCGAGTCACTAGTAGAATGCTTGTACCAACTTTTCTATGCATTAGATGATTTGATAGTTTTAGACATGATGTCACACATTTGATTTTACATTTGAAATGACTTACGGGTGTGGTGAAAAATAATACTGGTATTTGCCCAGACCCTTCCTTACATCATATGAACACAGTTTACAGTTATTGAATTACTTAATTGTTTTTGCAATTTTATGTATTATTTACTAATCAATGTATTTGCATTTATTCACATTTACACAGTTGCTGAGAGTGAGTACACATCATGATTTTGATTCACATCTATATTTGCTTGCTTCTTTTCCTTACTTTAATATTTCATTTATCATAACATTTTCAGTCTATTCTTTCAACAATTGAAACAATTGATATTGTAAAATCTGATTGAAATTTTAATCCTGAAGGCATCATTAAAGCATATTACTTCAAGGCAACCCTCTCAAAACAAGTTTTATTCAAAAGTTCTGTTTTGTTAAATATCATTCATATCTCATTTCTATCTTTCCATGTTGTCAAAGTTTTCCTCATCTTACCTTCGTGTTATGATTATACTGAAGTGTTTTGTTGTCCCTGCATGCTTAAATTCCTGATAACAAGTTTGAGTAACTGTTAGTTAAGAAGTGATACCTTGGTGATGGGTTTGGTTATTAGAAAAAGAACATACATATACCATACGAAATACTAGCCACTGGGGATTGTTCCTCCACAGTATTAATATATTTTCTATGAATCTTAAATATATCCTTAATGAATCTTTATGTATCTTCAATTAATCTCAATTTATCCTAAATGAATCCTCTTGATCAATATGGTGTGCTATTAATGGAATTTTCCCAATAACCTTTTGATTAAAATACTTGCAACATTCAAGATTGTTTTGCAAAATGGTTCAAGATCCACAGTTGAATATGAGTGTAAATAAACTCTCTCAGTGGTTCATGAAAAGCTGACTGTTAATTTGTGTTACAGGGGATTGCTATGCTGGCTATTATTGTGAAGAAGGGAGTACTGTGGCAAGGCAAGCCCTATGTACCCCAGGCCACTTTTGTCCTACAGGCAGCGATATACCCACACGCTGCCCAGAGGTAAGAACGACTCATATGATATAGCAAATCTGTTTATTGAGTGATACTTATTTTTCCTCACAGTTCAGCTGTGACATTGTATATGTCTGTAAATATCCTTATTCTATAGAGCTACTATACTTGTAATACAATGTACTATTGTATATTTCCAGGGTACATTCAATCCATACTGGGGTTTGAACTCCACCGACCAATGTACACCATGCACACAGGGTCAGTACTGTGACACAGAGGGTATGAATGTCACATCAGGACCCTGTGAGGCAGGTTACTACTGTCCGCCTGGACAGAATTCCTCAAGACCAACTGATTACCCCTGCCCTGTAGCATATTACTGCCCCGTGAATTCATCCGAGCCGCTACCCTGCCAGAATGGGACATACATGAACCATACCCATGCTGAAGTCTGTGATATATGCCCAGAGGGATGGTGAGTTTATGTCAAAATATCTGAAAATCGTTACTCACAAAAGTGATGTTAACAAAACTTAATTTGATGTCTCTGTATTGCTCTATCAATTATCAAAGTGACTGATGCGTTTAAGTGAGTTTAAATCTCAGTAATTGTTTAATCTGAAATTATTTTACTCAGCATTTAAAACCAAGTCTTCTTGAAATATTCATTGAGATTACTTGAAGATTTAGACAAACAGTGAAACCTGTACAGATGTATATCTAAACACCTCTCTAATCCAAACACTTTCTCCGATTGACTCAGATGTTTTTAAAACCTTGCAATATGAACACCTCTTAATCTGACCACTTTTGGACAAGATTGAAATGATTGTAAATCAGAGTGATTTATGAATATGAATACTGACTATTTCCCACATGACAACATTATTTATTTCAGGTACTGCACCAGTGGTGATCTGGTCCAGTTGTGTCCTGAAGGATACTACTGCCCTGAAGGTACAGGGGTCAACTGGATCCCTTGTCCAAGAGGAACATTCAGTAACGAGACTGGTCTAGCCCGAGAGGACCAATGTGAGTCCTGTCTAGGGGGGTCATACTGTGAGACCCTGCGGGCCACAGCTCCTAAGGCATTGTGCTCTGCAGGGTACTATTGTGAGTATGGAACAGATAGAGCTACACCTACAAATGGAAATGCTACTCTCATCAATGGGACGTGTCAAGTACCAGGTTAGTTTTAACCCAGACCTCTTCAGTAAAGTTTTTTTCCATAGTTTTCATTATATTTTGGGTATACCATAAGGTGCAATTTCATATGAATCCATTTTATGATACATGTATGTACATGATGAACCCTTTTTGAATAACTTTCTAAACTGAAATGAAAAAATCACCTCAAATGCTTATTAGATTTGCATGCTAAGTTGCAGAAAAATTAGAATACATGAATTACATTTGTTAACTCCTTCAATCTTTACTTAAACTTGCTTTCTGTTATCAGTAGTAGTTATTCAGTTTACCCTAATGATTCTTGTACAAACAGATCACTAAAATGTTATGCATCACACTAGGTGGTGAAACAGGTGTTGGGGGTGTGTGCCCTGAAGGCAGCTACTGTCCAATAGGAACGACTACACCACTGCCATGCGGTGCTGGCACCTATAGTAATGTCACAGGACTAGCAACATGTTATCAGTGCCCTGCAGGATATTACTGTCTTGATGGTTAGTAAAATAACAATATGTTGAAATGAAAATTTGTAGCTCTGACTCCCCTATCAGACATGACAAAGGAAAAGCTTCTGTTTTAGTATTCCTCAAATATACACGTTGGCCTGATGGATGATTCTATTGTATTTGATCTCTGTGTATTATAGTTAATTTTGTGTATTTTAGGCAACTGGAAAGTGTCAAATCAATGAAGTTTTTTTAATGGAAGAATTTTCTTTCTTTTTTTCCACCTATGAATAAACATCACTCTCTATAATTTCAAGGCGATGTAACATTCATGGATACTCCATGTCCTGAGGGTCATTACTGCTTGGCGGGAACATCCTCACCCTCCCAGTACCCTTGTCCCCCAGGAACTTACTTCAACACCACAGGGGCCCAGACCATAGATGATTGTATAGCGTGTCCCGGGGGCTACTACTGTGAAATACCTGGCTTGGCTCAGCCCACTGGTCTCTGTGATCCTGGTGAGTGGCTAAGTATAAAATACATATGTATTATATAATATGTGGTACAATATATTGCTGAGATAAAAGTCTGACTAATTGAGCTATAGAATCAATTTTCACATAATTCCGACATTATATTCTGATATGAATGTATAATACACTGATATACACATTTATTGATTTGCACATTTATAGGGTGGTACTGTACTCTTAACTCAAGTTCTGCGCAGAGTGTGACTGAGGGTGGGGAGTGCCAACCTGGCTTTTACTGTCCCCAGGGTGCTTATGCCCCCATACAATGTGATCCAGGCACCTACTGTGAAATTACTGGCCTAGATGCACCTACGGGCAACTGTACAGCAGGTATGTAATTTATGGCCTTGCATCGGAGAATGGTATGTTACATGCTATGCTTATACATGTACTCATATGTACAGTGTTTTGATTCTGACATCATATTTGAAGTCGAGATTGATGCAAAATTGATGTGTTCACCCTATGCAGACAGAGCCTGTGGGAAATATTGGGTGCGGCGCAAATGAGCGGAGGGTGCGGAGCTAACGGTCATTTTCGAATTTAAAATTGGGATATTTCTGAAACTAAGCCGTTTTGGGACTTCAAATATACCAAGATATGTGTATTTAACACCAAATATCAATAAAATTGTGAAAATAGTAGTGCAATTCATTTCATAGCGACGCAGTATGCCTTAAACATTTCCCAGACCTATATATTTTGAAATTATCCTTTTAATACTGAGTCCCCAACATTCATAAAAAATGGTGTTCAAGATACACTACCCATGCAAATTATTTTTTGCATCTTGGAAGCCAGGCAGTATCTGTGTGATTTTATAAAAATTCGGAAATGTTCTTCAGATATGAGCCCCCTCTAAATATTGGGTGCGGAGGTACGTTTATGGAGCTGCTCCGCACCCAATATTTAGAGGGGGCTCATATCTGAAAAACATTTCCGAATTTTTATAAAATCACACAGATACTGCCTGGCTTCCAAGATGCAAAAATAATTTGTATAGATAGTGTACCTTGAACACCATTTTTTATGAATGCTGGGGACTCAGTATTAAAAGGATAATTTCAAAATATATAGGTCTGGGAAAGGTTTAAGGCACACTGCGTCGCTATAGAATGAATTGTGCTACTATTTTCACAATTGTATTGATATTTGGTGTCAAATACACATATCTTGGTATATTTGAAGTCCCAAAACGGCTTAGTTTCAGAAATATCCCAAATTTAAATTCAAAAATGACCGTTAGCTCCGCACCCTCCGCTCATTTGCTCCGCACCCAATATTTCCCACAGGCTCTGTCTGCATAGGGTGGTGTTGTGTATAGATATTTAATAATTGTCCAAGATATCTCATTATTGTATGTTTTTTCTCCAGGCTATTACTGTGTCCTGGAATCATCAACAGCTACACCCACTGACAACACCACAGGTGCGGAATGTCCCCTGGGGCATTACTGTCCCGAGGGGTCATCGAGTCCCACTCCCTGTCCCCCAGGCTACTTCCTTGATGCAACTCAACAAGATGAACCAAGTGATTGTAAACTCTGCACTGGAGGAATGTACTGTACAGGAATGGGGGATGAGACACCTGTTGCAAACTGTGACAATGGCTACTATTGTCCAGGTGGCCAGAATAATTCTGCTCCACATGAGCTCAGGTGAGTGAAATATGTCCTTGAATTTAATCTGCTTTTTACAAAATATCCACCAACATTTACTGACCCAAAAAATGTAAAAGGGGCACAAAGTGTGACGCATGGTTATGCAAGAACTCATGTCTCTAGCTGAGTTTCTCTTGAAATTGATCCCCGAAGACAAACTCTCATTACGTATCCTCCAAGCACAATTTAACAGTGATTTAGTCATGTGCTTTGTTATGCATACTTGATTTCTGATTTTTATCATATGTACTTTCAATTGTTAATTGTATTCTATTTTTGTACTTTATGTCATAAAATAATGTGAATCTACATTTAAATATGGGTGATAAAATGCAATGCGCAATTGTTGTTCCAGATGCCCAATTGGCCACTACTGTCCCTCAGGCACTGATGCCCCAATACGTTGTGAGAATGGGACTTACCAGGATCAGGAGACCCAACATACATGCAAGACATGCCCAGCTGGCTATTTCTGTGACAACACTATGGGAATTGTTGTACTGGATAACTCTACCACTATATGTCCCATGGGCTACTATTGCCCAGAAGGCACAAGGTTTAACAATGAGTTCCCTTGCCCTATTGGAACATTCAACAACCGCACTGGTAAGTGTTTGAATAACTCCTAAATTATTCCAAAAGTTTAGTGTTTTTCCAGCTAGTGAAGCTTGCCACAAAAGATTTCTATCTCACATTTCGTCTCTAGTAATTGTATTAAGTGAATGTTTGTGCTTGGAAATACTCCACCGAGACATTCATTCACTTCTGATATTTGTTGGATATTCTGAATCTGATATTCATCTAACATTGCCCCAGTTTATTGATTTCTGTATTTCTGATTTGTAGGACTCTCTGATAGCAGCCAATGTAGTCCCTGTTCAGGTGGCTTTTACTGCCCTACCCCTGGTATGGTCACCCCAGTACAGCCCTGTGCTGCTGGCTACTTCTGTAAGACCCTTGCTGAGACTGCCTCACCAAACCAAGGTATACATTAACACTGATTTTAAGATTGAGTTTTTTTGTTGGTGCTTTTTTTATGTCCCCACCACATAGTGTGGGGCCATATTGTCGGCCTAGGCGCGTCCGTCTGTCTGTCCGTCTGTCTGTCTGTCCGTCCGTCCGTATGTCTGTCTGTCTGTCCGTCCGTACGTCTGGCAGTTTTCTCCAAAACCGCTACAGATATCACCTTCAAATTTTCAGGGATAACTTATGAATGCATACAGATGTGGATGAAAAAAATTTAACTCGATACCTACTTCCTGTCGGCCATTTTGAAGTCAAATGCTAAAATCCTTGTCTGCAAACTTTAAGAAAAACGGCTTCACAGTTGCTTTTAAAACTTTAACATCTTGTTCAGCTCACTTCATTCTACATCTGATTAGGTTTTGGACATGTTAGCTCAGTCATGTCAGCCATTTTGAATGTTTTAAGAAAAGTTAGCGCGCGATAATACTTTGTATCATATTGAATGGTGTTTTTGAGTTTTCATACTTTAACTATTTAGTAGCTTTATAAATAATTTCAGGTGTACTTTGTTGTAAAAGCCGATGTTATTGTTAACAGTAGTTATTTGTGATAATTTTGTAAAAGGAAATCAGCAAAAACTCATAATCACATTTTTATTGTCGGCTATTTTGGTTTTTTCCGTCCTGAAATCTTGTCTGTCTACACGTTTTCAGGTGAACCGTTTGGTAGATCAATTTCAAATTTTCAGGGATGATTCTTAGTATGAAAATCTAGATCTGATAAGTTTTTTGGCGTTCTGGGTAAATGTCAAGGCAGCCATTTTGGATTTTCCGTCCTAAAATCTTGTCTCTAAAGTCTTGTCTACGCATTTCCAGGTGAACCGTTTGTTAGATCAATTTCAAATTTTCAGGGATGATTCATAGTATGAAAATCTAGATCTGATTAGTTTTTTGGCATTCTGGATAAATGTCAAAGCAGCCATTTTGGATTTTCCGTCTTAAAATCTTGCCCGTAAAGTCTTGTCTACACGTTTTTAGGTGAACCGTTTGGTAGATCAATTTCAAATTTTCAGGGATGATTCATAGTATGAAAATCTAGATCTGCTTAGTTTATGGGCATTCTGGGTAAATGTCAAGGCAGCCATTTTGGATTTTCTGTCCTAAAATCTTGTCTGTAAAGTCTTGTTTACTTGTTTTCTGGTTAGCTGTGTGACGGATCAATTTCAAATTTTCAGGGGTGGTTCTTAGTATGAAAATCTAGAACTGACTAATTTTTTGGCATTCTGGGTAAATTTCAAGGTGGCCATTTTGGATTTTCCGTCCTCAAATTGTGTCGGTAAAGTCTTGTCTACTCATTTTTAGGATAACCATTTGTCGGGATCACCCATAGGTGGGGACATTTTGTACACATTTGTGTTCTTGTGTTTAACTGTTTTTATTATTGAAAAGCAAAACTAATCAGTAATATTTGAAGAAAATATTATTGCTTTACTTTATGAATCTATTCGTCAAGCTGTTAATTTTGACATATAAAATCTACAGGTACTGATGCTAATATCTGTGTTGTGGGTCACTACTGTATAGAGGGCACCACCGATCCTGCCCCCTGCCCCAAGGGAGCCTACAATAATGAAACAGGTCTAGAGGCTGAGAGTGACTGTGTACAGTGTCCTGCTGGTAGTTATTGTGATCAAGTGGCAATGCTACAACCGTCAGGACTCTGCTCTGAAGGGTATGTTTGATGTACATCATGCAAATGTTTAAAGTATTGAATAAGAATAAGTCTGGAAAGATGATTTTCTAAGCAAAATTACAGTATATTACACAATTACAAATAAAGCAATTCTAATATCAGTCCCATAGTTCACTGTTTTAGCATTTTTGCTTGTCTAGGTTTCACCCATTTTTTTTCCTGTTGAAAAGGTTTTTATTTAGAATTTCTGTTTCATTTATGAAGTCTTAAGTTATTTGTTCTTAATATATCATGTCAAGATTATTAATATCCAGTAAATGTTGAAAGTTCTGCATTTACTTTCTCATTTCATGTTCAAGTTCAAAGATTTAAAAAAATCTCAAATCTGTTAATTAAAGGTACTACTGTGAGATAGCTTCTGAGAATGCTACCTCCATTATATGCCCCGTGGGCCACTATTGTGTAGAAGGATCCAGTGAACCAGAGCCATGTCCAGCAGGAACCTATAGTAACAGTGTAGGCAACCCCAATGTAACTATGTGTAGACCGTGTGATGCAGGAATGTACTGCAATGAAACAGGCAAGAATTTAATCTTAATTTCTCAAATTAACACCAGCCATCATATGCCATCCTAAGTTACTTATGTAAGAGAAATATCTAAGACAGCTAATTAAAGGATATTTCTATACAAGAAGTGAATAGTAAACCTTTAATCAAGCCAATTATTTATCATTTATTATGCTAGTTAGGTACCAAAAGGCAAAATGTTTGGTGCAGAATAAATGAGATATATATGAGGAAGACCTTATTTTGTCAAAATGGCATCAGTAATGTGAATGAAAAAATGTTTCTCAATTTTTTTTGATAAATTTCAGGAATGTCAGCACCAACTGGAGATTGTGACGCTGGATTTTACTGCCCTGGTGGCAATTCAGTGGCGACACCTATTGATACTCCTTGTGTCATTGGGCTTCATTGCCCACCAGGGAGCCCCAGCCCAGTGCCATGTGACCCAGGCACCTATACAAATCTCACTCAAGCTTCTGTATGTCTTGAATGTCCTGCTGGTTTCTACTGTGTTCCTGAGGAGGTGGTTGCAGGTAATGATAAGAATTAAAATCCATTCAGTGGACGCACCAAATCACACGTATTCTAAATAATTGATTCTTGGTTGACATGCAGACAGTGATTACCCATCCTAAAATGAAAACACGTTCTGTTTGCAGGGAACTCAAGTGCAGGTCACAGATTGTGTCCCAGAGGTTTCTACTGTCCTGCAGGTACAGGAGCCAACTGGACAGCATGCCCAGCAGGGACTTTCAGCAACACACTAGGCCTTGAAGATGTTTCCCAGTGTCTACAGTGTACAGGTGAGTCTAGACCTGTTTCTATGGCAATATTTCCAAATAATTGGGAGAGAGCTAATGCATTATTATGTCACAACCACATGTGGTGATCTCCAACTTTTTTGGTGTCTGTTACAAATAACATAGGTGGTGACATTTTGCATGTTAATGCCACATTACAGACTAGTCATAAGATATTGTTTGTGTTAGAAAAATGAGGATGATTGAAAATATATTACCAACTTAATATACACTCATGCTGGATCTTTCCAATTATTCTTAATAGGTGGTAAATACTGTGATGGCACCAACCGCACAACGGTGAGTGGCGATTGCGACCCAGGCTATTACTGCACCTCAGGTGTAGATACCCCTACACCAGATGGCGTTGTCAACACAGGAACTGGAGATATTTGTCCAGTAGGACATTTCTGCCCAGGTGCAACTGTCCTACCTGAGGGCTGTGCTGCAGGGACCTACCAGGTTAGTACACAATGATTTGAGAGCTTATGTGCCTTGCCCTAAGGTATTTATTACTCAATACATTGTATAATACCTGATCTGAGGTGTATATTACAATTTGAACATTAAAACTCACCAAACTTTTGCAAAATCGTAACTTCTTTTCTTCCGGTGCACTGAACCAAACACTTAGTACAGATCAGGTGTTGTATCAATGAATACCGGTTGAAATATTGACTTCGTTCAAAGTTTATAGAAGGCGTTAATACAGTCATGTTCTCTATCCTAGCCAATGTTTGATAGACTCATTCCCAAACTTTTCATTGGGTCTTTGATTTTGTTTAGGATTTGACCACACAACCATTGTGTAAGACATGTGAACCCGGCTACTACTGTGTGGCTAACTCCACCACATATACCACCCAGCCCTGCCCCGCAGGTCATTACTGCCCCGCTGGCACTGAATACGACAAACAGTTCAAGTGCCCCCAAGGAACATTCAATAACATGACAGGTAAGTGGGATTTATGAAATCTAGTTTTATTTTCAGGATTTTGAATTTCAGGATTTTTTATTGTGCAGAACAAACAACACTGTATTTCCGAGTAATGATAAAATTGGTGGGGGTTTAATTTTCACTTGGCTTATTAATATTTGGGAATTGTGTTGAAAAGAAGCATGGATTCACTGAAAAAGGTTAATGCTTTTTGTATGTGGGGGAGGGTAGATACTTGGGCTGTCATTTTAGCAATAATTTAATAGCTTTTAGGAGGTACAGTGGAAATGCTTTACAGATGTACTGCATTGTATTAATTCTTGACCAGAGAGTGAATTTTGCAAATTACATGTATATGTATTTCAAACTCTGTATAATTTTGATGTGTGGAATTTGTTTTATAAATTATGATTTTTTGGGGAGTTTTTAGGTAGTTCTGCAATCCGCACTTTCACAAAAAAAATTCTGAAAAATCATTTCAATGTAAAACATGCGAAAGATATTACCATTCACCATTAATTTCATTGATATTTGGTAATGAGAACAATCTGCGTAAAGAATTCTTAAACACACGGAACTACCTAAAGCAAAGACTGTTCAATAGTTTTTATGATTTTCATATGAACAGAATGTTGCAGATGAATTTCATGAAAGTTATTGAACACTCTTTGTGTCATAAAATTGCATGCTCTGAGTGAATTATTATTTAAATGCATGTTTTAATTTATTTTCACATTTGGAATGAAAAACACTTTAACATTATATAAGTTTGGAGTTATTTTTAAATTCATACAGTGTTATGTTTGGTAAAAGGCAACCAACATTGGACATAATTAAACATCTGCTTTTCTGACAGTTTCAAGGAATATGTCAAATTAATAATGTCAGTTTTTGAAATATATTACCGGAGTTAATAATCTTCCACTTAATAGGTGAATTATTTCTATACCAATAAAATATCATTGTCCCAATTGTAAAATCAGTATTTTCTTAACTCTTGAAGTTGACCTCCTTAGAACATTCATAAAGCAGATCTTTAATGAAAAGTCTGAAATAATATTATGAATACATCTAGGTGCATTGTCTAAAGATTGCAGTTAAAAATGGCACTAATATAATACATATGAGCTGATATAAAGCTGAGTGGTTATAGAAAGCACTGTATCAAATTCTGTACAATAAGCATTCACCAATTTAAAAAATCAGCTATTTTTTCCCAAAAGAAATACATCATAGAGCAGGTCCATGTGCCCAATGGGTGCTTATTGTTTTGAATATGGTACAGTATAAACTTGCTATGTGCATAACATTCTGCCGTACATGTGGTTTTAACAGTCTTCAGATTTCCCATAATTCTCAACTGAGGGGTTCAGTCTAAGAATAGAACCCATACAGTCATGTGTTAGACCATTAATGGCAACGGCGTCCATATATAGATGTCTCTGTGCTGGTAAAAGGGAAAACTGGAGCTTCTGTCGATTTTGACCCTACATGCCTGAGTATATTATAAACATCACAAGAATTCAAATGTGTAAAAAGTGGAGATATACAAGAAGTAAAGTAATTCAAAAATTACTATTATCCCATCTGTCAACCTTTTTAAATGATTTGCTTTACTGAAACAACTAAATCCTGGACACTTTCTTTCCAACTACATTCAAACTTGATTGAAGAGATTTCAGTTTGAAGAATTGTAAGGCTCAAGTGATATTATAGAGCAAAGAAGCTAGGCATGTAGGATCAGGTTGTAGTTTATGTTAACACCAGGCACGTCACTGCATGTGTTGTTTGTTGTTCTAAAGTTCAAGTGAGCAATACTTCATGCACCCCCTGTACTCCTGGCTGGTACTGCGCCAATGATGGGATGTCGCAGGAAACATCGGAATGTGACCCAGGATGGTATTGTACTGTGGGATCCTGGCTCCCACAGCCCTCAGCTCCTGAGGGAGACATGTGTCTAGCAGGTATGGTATCACGACCCACTCACATGTCACTATATAAAACAATGTTTTCATATGTTGTTCTTGTCCATGCATGTGTTTGCATTTTTAATGTTTGTGGAATTTTCTAACATTTGCACTTTAACGTAATGTTTTTGATTTTTCATAATTTTTATTTAAGACATCATGTTACACCTGTATATTGGAGATAAAATGTATATGATTGTGTGATCCCATGTTTACTCATTTCCATTGTTTAATTAAAATACAATGTATAGAGTGAAGCTCTTTAAATGTCACTTCCCATTTTGAAAACATATCCTTTGTTTTCTTGTAATTAAACAATTTATATAAATATATGTTAGATTTAATATCACTCTCAAGTTGAGACCCTGCTTCCTTCAACCCTGCTTTTTGAAGAACCCTGCTTTTTGAAAGAATGAAATACATATTTTTACCATCCAAATTGTTTGAACCATTTCCATCCTTCCCCTTCGGCCTTCCCCATCCTTTTCCCTCCTGAAAACTGACTAATATCGAATAATAAAAGTATACCAATTTGAAAAACTGAAAATATTAGTAAGAAATCATACTTTAATTTAAAGTCATTTTTTGCATCATTGAAAATGATGAGACAGGTCATTAATATGGTGTTAACAGACCATAATGATGAATTTCCTAGCTTTGCTAGTCCCCTCTCAATATATGAATTCTCAATCCACATGTGCGAATGCGTCAAATGAATTATACAAATATGATCAAAAGGCACTTCTTTATTTACTTATACACTGATTGGGAAAAGTTTCAAGGATCTACTGACTGGAGAATGTTTTGTAGGTGCCTATTGTCCCCAGGGTAGCTCAGCTCCTCGTACATGTGACCCAGGACAATATTGTGATGTGGATGCCATGGCAACACCTAGAGGGCCCTGTGCTGCAGGATACTATTGTACCAATGGATCTATGACAGCGACACCTACTGGACTTGGAGGTAAAATAATACTTCAACCCTGCATCTAAAAAGTGTCTTAAACACTGCTGGAAAAGGCTGCAAGAAGTTGTTGAGAAATCTAAACTATTTTAACCAATGCAAATTGTTGGATTTGCTATCTTTATATGAAAGTTCATTTGTAGCAATGATAACCAAATTTGGCACATCATTGAACCATGGTATAACATATTGTTTGTTGAAGTTATAGTTAATTTGCTTACCTCACATCATCAGTATCTATAGATAAGCCATTTCCTGTATGCAATGACTGGCATTCCCCACAGTTTTTTGGTAAAAATTCATACTAACGTTTTTACATTGAAGGTGATGAATGTAGTGCAGGTCACTATTGTGTAGAGGGCAGTTATATGGAAGCCCCCTGCCCCCCAGGTACATACCTACCAAGCACTAGGGCTGAAAACATCACATATTGTATCCCATGTACAGCTGGCTCTTACTGCAATGACAGTGGACTTAGCATGCCTGAAGGACTTTGTGATCCAGGTAAGAGGAACTATGTAGACTATGGTAATGGAGACCATATGAGAGAATGTAAATGTAACATGTACTACAGTGGTCCTTATCTTCACCTGTATTTTGTGAAATTGCAAAGGTCCACTATACTATTTAGAATAACATTACACAATGATCTAGACTTGGTTTATTAACTATGATATCCAAATTGGTTATAAAATGATATATACTCTGCATTTTCTTAAAATAATTGAGTCTTTTATGTTTATTTTGTAGGGTTTTTCTGTCCTGAGGGTCAGACTGTTCCCCACCCTAATGCTTACCCCTGTTCCCCTGGGTACTACTGTGAGACTGGCTCCCCCATGGAGACAATCTGTCCCTCGGGAACCTACCAGGATGAAGCACAGCAGAGCACTTGTAAATGGTGCCTCCCAGGTTACTATTGCGACAATAGTGCAAGCCCTGTAGTGAATGTCACATTGTATGTTTGCCCTGAAGGACACTATTGCCCCAATGCCACCACAAGTGCAACTCAGTTCCCATGCCCAGCTGGGACATTTAACAATGATACTGGGCTGAGTGACTCTAACCAGTGCTTGCCCTGTCTCGGGGGATACTATTGTGCAGGTAATAATAAATATTTTATAATTTACATATAAAGTATCCAATGATTTTTACATGACGTGTAATTGATTTTCACATACCTAGTTGTCTCACTGATCATTCTAATCTTTTTTTAAAAACCACTGGCCAAATGATAAAAGAAAAGGTAGTGTTAGATGTAGGATGATCATTTTATAAATGATGCAAATAAAGGAAATTGATTCGATGCTTATGATTGTAAGTCTTGTAAGATTAGCACCAGAGATTAGACATAGAGGGGTGTTGTTTAACTCTCCACTTTGACCCCCAGTGATTTGTACTTTCTGTCTTTACTTACCCATGTATCTGCCTTACTTTCACTCACCAATTTGTTTTTTTTGTTGTTTTCAGGAGGAGGTATCGTGTACCCAACAACCCCCTGCAGTGCAGGCTACTACTGCAGACAAGGGGCAGAGAGTGCCACACCAACACAAGACTCTAACGCTCATGAGTGCCCTGTAGGCTACTACTGCCCAGAGCAGACAGCTGAACCAATAGCTTGCCCCGCTGGCACATTCTCCAACAATACCAGACTGCAGAATGTCACTGATTGTACACAGTGTACCCAAGGTAGGCAGGCCTGTAGCTAGTTTTTGCCAAGGGGGTTCACTTTTCAAAAGAGATGAAAGCCTATGTATAATGATGTACTACTAATAGAATAAGAAAACCTAAGACATGCCAAAGTTAGACAAGAGTTTTATAATGGAATAGATAAATAAAATAGAAATCTATTAGTATGGAATTTGGGAATATTTTGAATTTGAATTTCTATAATCCCCTTTCTCTTTCCATTAGTAGATAAGAGAGGGCCTGCTTTATCAGAATGTCCTATAAATGTAATTATTGTTGTTTCTCCAGGCTGGTATTGTGATAATATTGCACTTACGGAACCAACTGCCGAATGCCATGCTGGGTACTTCTGTATAGAGGGCGCCAGCACTGCAGAGAGGGAGGTGTGCCCAAGTGGCAAATACTGCCCAATTGGAACCCACTCACCATACAGGTAAACCATGGAATATACTCATACACTGCATTAGGTTAAATAACATTCATTTAACATTAGTTTTAGTTTTATGTGAAAGTAATTTCACTTTGATGATGATAAAAAAGGTCCAACAATCACTAAACCATTGACTGCTAGACAAGAACATAATATGATATGATAATGTGTGATTGCTGTTTTTTTCATAATTTTAAGTTGTAATTAAAAGAGGGAAATCATACCTTAATTACTTTTTGGAAAAAACTGCCTTTGTTAAAGTAATTAATCATAATATTGAAATGCAATTTAGTGCAATAATCTTTTTGGAAGTTCAGATGCCCCACTTATACATATTGCTGCTATATATTAAGTGTTTATTGATTTAGATGTCCTGCTGGTACATACTCCAACAACACTCACTTGGAGGCAGACTCTGACTGTACCAATTGTACTGCAGGATGGTACTGCCAACAGACAGGCCTGACAGCACCTGAAGACCAATGTCAACAGGGCTACTACTGCCCCGAGGGTTAGTTTAAAGTATTAGGGCATCATATGTTTTAAAATCCATTAAAAGTGACGATTATCTTTCATTTAAGATGCCTATGTCATGGGAGTTTAGATGATAAATGACCTAAATAAGTTTATTCTACATTCTTATTTAGATATACTTGTAATAGATCATTTTGAATTAAGCTTTCCAATTACACATGAAGGACTGATATCACAGATTCATATCTGTATTTCTTTTTTCGGACAGGATCTGCTACGCCAAATCCAATTGTGTGTCCTCTTGGGCTGCATTGTCCCACAGGCTCAGCTGTTCCCCAAGATTGTGCCCCGGGGTATTACACCAACACTACAGGGGCCTGGACCTGTGATATTTGTCCCGATGGATTCTATTGTGTACCCGAGAATGTAACAGCGGGAGAACCTGCTACAGGGTACCATGATTGCCCCGCAGGATATTACTGCCCCAGTGGAACATATCTTAATTGGCAACCATGTCCCAAAGGAACATATAGCGACCAGACTAATTTATATAGGGTAAGTGAGTGACCACTCAGTTTTAGTACCTTGCCAAAGTCTTTATAATTTTTTTATTCTAACTTTCTATCCATAAATCAAATAGTAATAATCATACATATGAGCGACTTTGTTAAAAAACATTATAAGCTACTTTGACAATAATAAAAATAAGAAAATAACGAGAGCTTAAGTGATCTGATAAAAATACTATAATGTGTCAAAAGTCTGCCTGGGGTCCCTCAACACAGTTCCTGATAAACACTGCACTTAACCTCAAAACATCAATATTTTGCTCATATGAGAGTCTTTATATCATAAGTGAGAAGAAAAACTTTCGCTATTCATGACAGTCATTTTACTTTTGAGGTCAGAAATGCAAATTATACACTATACTGTAATTTCATACTTCTTTACATTTATTTTAGGTAAGGCTGGTGTAATTTTCAAATTGAAAGCTTTCAGTTCAATTTATAAATTCTTTAGTCATGCTCACATATATTGTTGATAATGGGTTGCACCAGATTAAGCTATTATAGTCTATTACACTTGGAGTATTGGTCATTACAGGTTGAACAGTGCAGAGACTGTGATGGAGGCTACTATTGTAACATTGAAGCTGCCACCAATGTGACATCCTTCTGTGCTGCTGGTCACTACTGTGAATCAGGGGTAGACCGCTCAAACCCAGATAATGCCCAAGTCAACAGCACATATCCTGCAAACTGTCCACTCCTTGGAGGACATACAGGCTATGGGGATGTATGCCCTCGTGGCAATAAATGCCCTCTGGGGAGTGCTCTCCCTGAAGGCTGCCCACCCGGGACATACCAAGACCAGGAAGGCCAGAGTGTTTGTATCACATGCCCTGAAGGTCATTATTGTACTGCCAACTCTACAGACTACTCAGATAAGCCATGTCCTAGTGGTTATTACTGCCCCGAAGGTACAACAAGGGCTGATGAATTTCCTTGCCAAGCTGGCAGTTTTAATCCATTCACGATGCAGACCAATGAGACGGCTTGTAAGCCATGTACACCTGGTTACTACTGTCTCACAAGTTCACTGTCAGCACCTACAAATAACTGCTCGTAAGTAACATTCTGTGAGAAATTCAATATTGTCATTTCTAGCTCACATGGTGAGCTATTGCGATCACTCACTTGTCCATCTGTCTGTCTGTCCGTCCATCTATCTGTCTGTCTGTCTGTCTGTCAACAATTGGCCCATTTTAAAGCCTCTGTCAATAGGATTCACATTTTAAGTTATTATCAATATAGAAAACTTCCCTATGACTCCTGGCTCAAAAGATTGCCTATTTTCAAAATGGTCGCCATTTTTGTCTCGCGAAATTCACTTTTGGCCCATTTTCTAGCTATACAAATAATTTCAGGTGTCCTGCATTGTAAAAAGCCATGTCACAGTAAAGAGTGTATGAGATAATTTTGTTACAAAAAATCAGCAAAAAATTATATCCATTTTTTATCTTCAGCCATTTAGTTAACATTGATTTGTCCATCTGTCTCATGAAATCCACTTCTGGACAATTTGCCCCAAAACTTCTGTCGATAGGATTCCCATTTTAAGTTATTTTTGTTCAACATCAATACAAAAAATCCCCTATGACTCCTGGTTCAAAAGCGTTACTATTTTCAAGATGGTTGGCATTTTTGTCTTGCTAAATTCACTTTTGAACCATTTGCAAGCTTTACAAATAATTTCAGGTGTCCTGCATCGTAAAAATCCATGTCACTGTAAAGAGAAGTTGTATGAAATAATTTTGTTACAAAAAATAGGCAAAAAATGTTTTCCATTTTTTTTTTTATTTTCTGCCACTTTAGCCATCATCCATTTTTGAGCAACACCATGTGAGCCAAGTACCCACGTACTATTTATTAAAAATGCAAAACCAGTGGGAAGTAGAATTAACAGGGATGTAGTCAATATTTCAAAATGATTGAAAATGCAAGCTAGCAAATAGATTAGAGGTTCGACACAAAATGATGATAAACGTTCACAGTGTTGTATTAAATTTACTTTTTACAAACTTAAAAATCATTCCCAGTTGTATGATCAAAAATTGCTTGCCATCAAACAAACGTAATACAAAATCCACTTGTAATGATTCATGATGAAAATATACACAAAGGAATACTGCCTTGTTCTAGGGCTGGCTGGTACTGTTCTGGAGGAGCGACCCAACCTATGCCAACAAACCCCAGTGAAGGGGGTAAATGTATGCCTGGAGAGTATTGCCCTGACACCAGTGAGGCCCCCATACCATGTACAGAGGGCATGTATTGCCCTAATGAGAAGATGGCAGCTCCTATGGCCGACTGTACACAGGGTGAGGGCTATTTTCACTAACACCTTGATATCTCTAATTAGTCTAAAATATTCCTGAATTCAACATGTTCAATGTAGCCCAGTGAGATATCAAAATCAATAATTCAACTGAATTTTTTCACTTACTTGAGTATTAGGTATATTTACAAAGTAAATAATTTATTAATCCCTCTTAAATATATAATTTTGTAGGATATTACTGCACTCTTGGAGCCACACATCACAGTCCAACTGATAACATCACAGGAAATGTATGCCCCACCGGGCACTATTGTCCAACAGGCAGCAAGGCTGGAATAGCTTGCCCAATAGGTAAGCCTCTTCAACAATCACTAACTAATTCCAATCTATCAGAGACTATAACAAAATTTTCAATAGACATGGATCATTTCCTATTCATCATGCTAGGCCTAAAAAGGCAATATCAAATTGATTGGGTAAAGGAAAGTTAAATAATTTATAGCAGTTTAATTTAAATTCAATAAATAAAAGGAAACTGCAGTTCATAGCAAACCCAGGAGTACTTCTGTGCAGCATGCCAAATATTTTTGATCACATGTGTTACACTGTTCAATCAGGGAGTGGGGAATATGACTGAAATGTTAAACTACAAGCTATTTCTCAGATTCAGTAATACAGGTCTATATATTTTTTTGAATTTAGGCTACTACCTTGACACAGAGATGAACAGCCAACCAACAGACTGCAAAATCTGTACAAAGGGCAAATACTGTGCGAGTGAGGGTCTAACTAACCCAACAGGGGACTGTCAACAGGGGTATTACTGCCCAGAGGGTCAGGATACTGCGACACCTAGTAACTATACATGTCCTGAGGGTTCCTTTTGTGTCAATGGATCTGGAGATCCAGCACCTTGTCCATCAGGGACTTACCAGGTAAAGAGGTGTTCTTTTCAAAATTTGAAATTAATTGAAAATTTTTGCTGAACTAGTTAGTGAATAATAAATCATTTTTGTGATCTGTATTTTCATCTAACCTTTTGAGTTTGATAATTATACCAGTTGAAATGTTTTCAGGAATATGAATTAGTACTTTATTGTAGATGATAATGTACATCATGAATTGTAAATACATATATAATATGTACAGGTTAAAAATATGTTCCTTATATCAGTGCTTTCAGTAGGCTTGTCCAAAAGTGCTTCCCTGGGACGGATTGATTTTACAAAATCGCGTCCCCCCTCAAAAAAGTGCGTACCCATGAAAAAAGGTTCCCGGGAATTCAAAGTCACATTTTTGCACTGAACGAAAAAAATTGATGAAAAGTTTGCATCAGTTTTGTTAATTTTTGGCCCAGATCAGTGTACTACACACGTCTAGTAGGTCATTAAATGATGCAGATACCTTCATTAGAAAGAGATAACTAATTTTCAACCATTAAATACAATTTTTCTTCGCGTATTTCAAGGCAATTTGCTATTGACTTTGATCGCTCAGAAAGTTTCACTAGGAGCAATCTCCGTGAGATTCCATTTTTTGGTTCATTTATTTGCGCATGCGCAGCAAATCCAGCAATTTGATTAGTTAAAATTATTAAGACGCATGCGCGATTAATAATCTCGGCCAATCATAGGACTCGTACCGATTACCGCTCGGAAATCAACTACTAGTGATTGTCCAATCACGTACCTCATACTATTTTGATCGGAAATCAACTTCCGGGAAAGAAACTCCGAAAGAAAATTCTATTTCTTTTAGAAATAGAATATCCTTCGTTTACTTAGCGGATTCTGACCAAATAAAAGACTGAAGGTAAGATCTTTATCAATACATTCATCCAGAGTTAATTTTTTTGATATGACCTGCACTGCGTCCAAGTGACCCCTCATTTTCATTGTTTGGGGTCCCTATAATAAAAACCGGGTCCTCTCCATTATGGGACGGCGTTAATTAAAGCACAGCTTATATCCTATTATTTCATGAAAGTAAAAAATCAATCAAATTTTCAGGATACTCCAGGACAATGGACTTGCAAAACATGCCCTGCTGGGTTCTATTGTAACGCCACCTATGGTCCAGTTGTTTTCTACACTAGTTACATCTGTCCAGAGGGCTACTACTGCCCTCTTGGAACAGGGTACGCAGAGGAGAATCCATGCCCCAGAGGGACTTTCAATAATAGGACTGGTATGTACACATTTTTGCCTTCCTCAAAATAAATATGAAAAGATAAAAATAAATAAATGAATAAATAAGAAAAGATAAAAATAAAACTACGGATAGTATTACATTTCTTCAGGTCTCCAAGCAGAGTCTGAGTGTACACCATGTGTTGGGGGTATGGCCTGTGATGTTCAGGGGCTCAGTGATCCTATTAGGCCATGTGCCCAAGGTTACTTCTGTCGCCAGGGTGCCAACATGACAACACCTAACTTAGGTAAGTTTCGCAGGATCAGAACCAAATATTCAGAAGAAGAATCTATTTTAGGGAGCAGACTATAAAGAAACAAATATTGACTTATCATTCCTTAAACTGGAAAGCAAGTCAAGATTTCAGATGTGGAGTGTTAAATTCAGTATTTTTTGAAAATAAAATGAGATCCTTTATATTATCATGCTCATTGTGTAATACGTCTAAGTACACTGTTGCGTAGCAGCCATTTTGAAACAATGCCAAGTTACTGACAAAATTAACATAGTGACTTTGTCTCCAGGTGCCAATGCAGATGACTGTCCCCCAGGCTCTTATTGTCCCGAGGGCTCAGACTTTCCCACACCCTGTCCTGAGGGAACATACAGTAATGCATACAACCTCCATGCAGAGATCCAATGTTTGAACTGCACAGGAGGCTACTACTGTAATGAGACTGGACTCACAGTTGTCACAGGGCCCTGTTTACCTGGATATTACTGCCCTGTTGGCTCTAAGAGAGCTGATGAAGTACCCTGCACGGAGGGTTACTATTGTGAACTGGCTACATTAGACCCAGCACCCTGCCCCAATGGTACCTACTCAAATATAACACTATTGAGTGATATATCACAGTGTACAGATTGCACCCCTGGCTACTACTGTAATGGACTAGGACTTGTTGAAGTCTCTGGACCTTGCAAAGCAGGTATAGCATTTCTACATGATATTGGTTATCTTGTCTTTTTATACTTTTATTTACACACACAACATAGTTCTATACTTATACATAAGTACTGAACTTATAAATTATAACTAATCAGAATATTTTTGTTGAAATATAATTAGAGGTTATGTCACTATGACGTGAAATATGCCTGAGTTCTCCCAATATAGGCCGACCTTGGGAGGCTCTATATTTGGGCAAGAACGAAGGCATATTTCACGTCATAGTGACATAACTGATGTATTACATGCCTTTGTTCCCATGGTTACTTTGTATCAATGACTTGACGTCATGATATTATCATGGTTATTAAAGAAATCTAATATCAAAACGAGGTAAGCGGGCTATATCGGGGTAATCGGGCAATATCGGTGGATATAGCTCGCTAACTTTCCCATTGACTTCCATACAAATGCTTCGCTAGGTATGTAATACTACATTGTAGTCACTAATGAAAGAGAAATAATCACTGAAATATTTCTTATTTTTAGGTTACTATTGTCCACTTGGCTCAAGCCTAGAGACTGAGATCATTTGCCCCGAGGGTCAGCACTGTCCTCAAGGTAGCGCTACCCCCAAGGATTGTCCCCCAGGCTCATACACAGATAGCCAGGGGGAGAGCAGTTGTATTGAGTGCCCCGAGGGATACTATTGCATCCCAGAGAATGTCATACCAGGAGATCCTTCTTCTGTCATGGTTTCATGCCCAGAAGGTAAATTCAACTTAACTTTCAATCAAATAACGTTTTGAGTCAACCGCAAGAAACCAGTGATTTGCTATTGCAAGAGTATATGACCTTGAGTCTCCCTGTTGTGAAATCTTATTGATTTAAGTCATCTGCAAGATGCCAGTTATCTGTGACTGCAAGAAGATTTGACCTTGAATTTGTCTGTCGTGACCTTTTAGACCTTAAAATGCCTCCATAAAATTATCAACAGATAGATTTGTAAAAAATTACCTATTTCATTAAAGTTTGGTAACTAAAACTATAATCATGGATCTTCAATAATTATTCTTCTTAAAATTCACTATTTAGTGTAATACAGTACTTAACTTGTCTTACAGGTTTCTACTGCCCCAATGGCACATCCTATGATTGGCAGTCATGTCCTAGTGGTACATACAGCAATGTTAGAGGCCTAGCTGAGGCTGTTCAGTGCACTCCCTGTGACGCTGGCTGGTACTGCCAAGGTAAGCTCATTATATGGTAAATGAGGTACAAGTGGAAAACTTTCTAAATAAGCTAGGATTATTAATATTGTATAAATTGTTATACTATTAAAATTACTGTACTTTATGATATGACTATGGCTACTGCTGCTATCATTGCAGATATACTTTCATGATATTGTATATGGTGAATAATTGTCCACGTTCATTCCAGCAAAATTGAAATATATAATGTAGATTATTCATCATAGAAAATGATTATATTGTCGTCTTACAGGGAACAATCTGACCTCTCCCACCGGCCAATGTGACTCTGGCTTTTGGTGTCTCTCTGGTGCAGATAGAGCAAACCCATACATGGTGAATGGCAGTCAATGTCCAACCAACACTGTACACCCAATAATCGGTGGCATGTAAGTCATTTTATTCTTTGTTTTGCTTGTCAATGAAATTGATCTCATACTTTAACTGGCCTTGAACTAATCCATATTTGACCAGGTCTATATTAATCTGATTTATACATGAACAAGTCTTTAAGTTGGGTTTGCATGTCGTTTCCAGTTGTCCCCCTGGAGCTGAGTGTATCGTTGGTACGAGCACCCCTGTGGCGTGTCTTGCTGGGTACTACCAAGATCTCACCACACAGAATGACTGCAAGGACTGTCCCGCAGGCTACTGGTGCTATGCAAACACAACAGACTATACACCCAATGTATGCCCCGCGGGCTATTATTGTGAACTGAACACACCAGATCCTCTGTATACTCCATGTCCTAATGGAACCTTCAATAATGTGACTGGTAGGCCTAGTCTTGCTGATTGTCTGCCCTGTAGCCCAGGGATGTACTGTCATGGACCTGGTAATGCCTACCCTACAGGGGAATGTGCTGAGGGTTGGTACTGTACAAACGGATCTGCTGATGCCATGGTGAGAACATTTTCAATGTTTTGATTTGTTATGTCACCACCAAAATGGTGACATATTGTTATGGTCTCCGTGTTATGGCGTCCGGCGGTTGGAGGTTGGCGTCCGGCGGTTGGAGGTTGGCGTCTGTAACAATTTCTTACAACTTCCTATAACTTAACAAATACTGTTTAGACTGACTTCAATTTTTTTCTAAATCATCTACATGTTCTCAGAAGTTCAAATCTGACTTTAGATTTGACATTTGACCTTCAATGACCTTCTCAAGGTCAAAAAGGTCTTTTTTCAACTTGCTTCACATTGACTAGATTTTTTTTCAAAATCATCTACATGTTCTCAGAAATTCAAATCTGACTTTAGATTTGACTTTAGATTTGACATTTGACCTTCAAATCTGACTTTAGATTTGACATTTGACCTTCAATGACCTTCTCAAGGTCAAAAAAGGTCAAAAAGGTCTGTTTTCAACTTGCTTCAAATTGACAAAAAATTTTTTTCAAAATCATCTACGTGTTCTCAGAAATTCAAATCTGACTTAAGATTTGACTTAAGATCTGACATTTGACCTTCAATGACCTTCTCAAGGTCAAAAAAGGTCAAAAAGGTCTGTTTTCAACTTGCTTCAAATTGACTAAAATTTTTTTTCAAAATCATCTACGTGTTCTCAGAAATTCAAATCTGACTTTAGATTTGACTTAAGATTTTACATTTGACCTTCAATGACCTTCTCAAAGTCAAAAAAGGTCAAAAAGGTCTTTTTTCAACTTGCTTCAAATTGACTAAAAAAATTTTTCAAAATCATCTACGTGTTCTCAGAAATTCAAATCTGACTTTAGATTTGACTTAAGATTTGACATTTGACCTTCAATGACCTTCTCAAGGTCAAAAAAGGTCTTTTTTTCAACTTGCTTCAAATTGACTAATTTTTTTTTTCAAAATCATCTACATGTTCTCAGAAATTCAAATCTGACTTTAGATTTGACATTTGACCTTTAATGACCTTCTCAAGGTCAAAAAAGGTCAAAAAGGTCTGTTTTCAACTTGCTTCAAATTGACCAAATTTTTTTTTCAAAATCATCTACATCTTTTCAGAAGTTCAAATCTGACTTTAGATTTGACCTTCAATGACCTTCTCAAGGTCAAAAAGGTCTTTTTTCAACTTGCTTCAAATTGACTAATTTTTTTTTCAAAATCATCTACATGTTCTCAGAAGTTCTTCTTAAGGTCAAAAGGTATTGTCCAACTTGCTTTAAATTGACCAAATTGTTTTAGGTGGTGACATTTTGTCATGTTAATGCCTTGTTATCCATTTTTGACTCTGATAAACTCACTTTTACTAGGATGGAAAAGTGAAAAGCAATAAACCAACAGTTTGAACTTGGTATTCTGGCCTCTATTAAAATGGAAGAATAGTAATTAGGTTGTAAATTGATCAAATGTTATTCAAAATGACCCCCTTGAATTACTTACATAACATGGTGAATAATCTTGATAAGCAAATAATTCAAATCTACTTATATCTTGGTTTTCCAGACAACATCAGATGGTGGTGAGTGTCAGCCAGGCACATACTGTCCCCAAGGCTCCTATGAACCTATACCTTGTACAGCTGGCAGTTTCTGTAACATCAGTGGTCTAGCCCTCCCTGTGGCCCTATGTGACCCTGGATACTACTGCCCTATAGGATCAGTATTGCCTACGGAGGTTGACTGCCCTGTTGGTCATTTCTGTCCACAAGGTAGCGATATCCCCGAGCCTTGTAGAAATGGAACATATGGCCCGGGAACTCGCCTGACATCACAGGCTGATTGCACACCATGTGACGCTGGCTCATACTGCAATGAAACTGGTGCTAGTAGCGTCTCTGGTGATTGTGACCCTGGTATGTAATAGGAATTTTTTTTTGATTTTATTTCTCATCATTGGGAAGGGGATTCAAATTTACAATGTGGTCTAAAATTACAGTTGAGAATTTATATGAAAGAATATAATATTAAAGAATCAAGCGCTCTGAGGCCTTTTTAAAACCATGGGCTGTGATTCTTTTAATATTAATGTTTTTGATTTTTATGTGTTTGGTGTTTGGTTGGTGTTTGGCAGTCAGCATTCGGTGGTCTTTGTCTGTAACAAATGGCAAGTGGTGGAATTTTGCATGTTAATGCCTTGTTGTATAATGTATGAGTATATTGTGTTTTAGGTTACTACTGTCCCCCAGGACAGACTAGCCCCACCCCCTTTGACTACCCATGTACAGCAGGACACTTCTGCCTTACCAAATCCCCCCTCCCTACCATCTGTCCATCAGGAACATACCAGAATGAACTTGGAAAATATGATTGTAAAACATGTCCAGAAGGTGAGCATGGAATAACGTATATTTTTTTTATTGTTTTAACCACCCTTGATTTTACACCCGAATTTTATATATGTTATTTAAAACAATGACATTTACAACAGTAAAGGATGAATCCAAAGTGTTTTACACATAATCATTCTCACTCATGTTAAGTATTTCACACTAGTTTCTTTTAATTTCTTTTAACCATCAGAAGTGATAATGTGTAGATATCATTACCAAACGTCATATAAGAAATGTCTTCTTACTGTTATTGTTTGAAGTTAAATTTTATATTAAGAATTTTTTGATTTGTAGTATTTTCTGTTGTTTATTTTAACAAAATGCAAAGGCCTTTATTACATTGCGTTCCATAGGCTTTGCGTGACAATAGATATTTAATAATTAAAATCTCTTTTTCTAGGTTACTTCTGTGACAACAGCTTTGGTCCAGTGACTGATCTATCCAATAGTTCCTGTCCAACAGGGCATTATTGTTTAAGTGGCACTACATTCTCAACACAATACCCATGTCCACCAAGTACCTTTAATAACTTGACCCGAAAGGTCAGCGCTGACCAGTGCATGGATTGTCCCCCAAAATACTACTGTCTTGGGGGTCTTGGAGAACCCCATGGATTCTGCGCCCCTGGGTATGGACTTAAATCTTTTTACATATCATGATATATTAATAATCCAATATTTATGTTGAAAAGTGTTGTTTATTTATTATATTATCAATAGGGCAGGTTGAATATTTATGTTTCATTTAAGTATATCACATCAGGTTAGAACTCAAAATATTCTTGTCAATGTCTATTAGACCGAAACTAGTTTCTTATTCTAGAATTGTGGATTAAACATTTATGTTTTTCTTGAAATAAATCCATTGATATATAATTTCAGTGTTATACATTTTTCTGAAACATGCATTAAGAATAAACAATGTTTGTTTGCAGTAAACATTTATCTCTTTGTCACATTTTTGACAAAAGGAATAACTCATTCACTTTATATTTACATATCACATTCCTATCATTTCAGATACTACTGTAATGGAAGTCAATCTCAAGTGAATCCCCCAGATTTTATATGCCCCATAGGGAACTACTGTCCTGAGGGTAGTGACCGGCCTACACCCTGTCCCGAGGGTACTATGTCTAATGGACTCGGAAATACCAACTTTAGCGACTGTGATCCTTGTAAGCCTGGCAGATACTGCACACCTCTCAGCTCTCAGAATGGTAAGCTTTTCAATATTATTCATGAAAAGATTCAGGATTGAATTTTTGCCTCTTTCACAATTCTATTTCCTTGGCCTTGTAGCAAGTGAAACAGGAGCTTGATGCAGGAGCATTCAATAAATTATTTTTGTTGACTTAAATTATTTTTAACACCTTTTTAGTTTGGTTCAAACTTTTCTGATCTTCTGTAATAGATGAAAGTTACTTTTCCTTATTTATTCAGTTCTTGCACATGTACTGTTTATTTTTTTTGAGTTTTTAATGGAACCACTAGACTGTTTATTTCTTTTCTGTGTGTATCTATACACTTTTAGGTTCAGAATGGCATATAACCAGTAAGTTATGCATGGGTATACCAAATCTATTTTCTGCATGAATCTTCATACTGCATGAGTAAACTTGTGTACATATTATGATATTATGATATGCTATTATTCACGTTTTGGTGCTCTTCAAAACTGTTTAGACAGATGATTCGTAAGATCGCATGTGATTACTTATTATATTGTTATACTGTGGATGCTATTTGGGAACACTATGTTATCATTTCTGCTGGTTATAATTATTTCTTTTAATTCTAAGTAGTAGAAGTGCATGTTCTTTATTATCTTATATGTAGTGATATTTAAGTTTAGTATTATTTATAATAACATCTGCTGTCTTCCATACTAGCATGCAAAATTCTCACGGTGTCCATATGACAATCTTTCAATTAAAGTAACTGTCTTTATAACTACTCCCTTTCTACCCCTCTGACCTGTTGACTTAAAGGGGGATCAAAGGATAGACTGTGTAAAATGTTTGAAATAATGCTAAAAAATATGCCTTTACAATCCTAAAATTTTTTTCTGAAATGTATTAAATAGGTTATTGAGGAATTACGATGCAGAAATTGAGTTTTTTGCCACATTATTTAAAAATCAAGGATAATCAAATTTGAACAGATGGACTTTCAGATGTTCTGATAAAAACATTGTGAAGTCATATTGAACTCGCAATGCAAAGACAACGGAAATGCAACATGACAATGCCTTGCCATATAGGTTCATACCAGGGAGTCAAATTAACATGATTAATCATATGCATGTACACTGTACATGTACATAGATCATAATGCCTCATGAACAAAGGATGAATCAAAAAAAATTTTGTTAGCAGATCTTTATTTCAAATAATTTTAAAGATTCACACTCTGATTATGATTTTTTCCTCTCCATCTCTTCATTTCATACAGTTAACTGTTTTCTATCGAAATGTAGGATCACTGGTAGGAGTTGTGAAGTCCCAGTTCTCAAACACATACCAAGAACCATCAGATGGCCTGGGGTTGCTTGGTACTGTACAGTTAGCACCATAGTCGTCGTAATGACTAGGTGACCAATCTCCAAATTGACAGTATCCAAACTAAAAAAAATATGAATATTATCATACTGTATTATTTGCTTCCTTTGAATATGATACCCCAACATGCATTAATCTTAATTTCAAAATGTATCACTTGGTGAATAGAAATAATATTACAGTTTGTGCCTGAACTATATGGTTATGTGTGTACTTACATCATAATAAACTGATTCGTCTAGACCTAGCTTGAGAGGACAGTCATTGCCTGTCAGTTGGACTGCAAATAAAGGTTAAATACATTTAATTTTGGGTGGATCGATGGAATTCTTTGAGTGAGTTAAACAATATGTACACTGGCGGGTCTGGGAGGGGGGCAGGGGGGGGGGTGGCCCAGGGGGGGGAATAAAATGGCCAGATTAATGGGCCTTTTTGGGCTTAAATGGGCTTTTAGAGCCTTATTTTTTAATTTTTGGTCAAATTATCAAGAAAATAGGCCTTTAATGTTCAGAATTTGAGGCCACTTTTTGGTTTTAGGTGTCCACATTTTTTTAAAACACAATCACATAATTTTTTTTTATACTTCAAATATGCCCCCCGCTCTTGTTGGTTCCCAGATCCACCCCTGATATATATGTAATGTTTACAAATCTCTCATATTTGTTCCATTGATACATAATATAACATGTATTCATTAAATGGACTCTTTTTAAGATGTTAATAACATCAGCATTTTTTCATAGGCTGATGTTAAAGCCATAACAATTAACATAGCACGGTATCAAGTCTAAACTAGTATGTGTACATACAAGATCCTGGCAACATGTATGTGTTGTCCTCACTGCTAATTGATCCATCTGTGTATGTTACACCATTCACAACTTTCATTTTGTTATCTTGAACAGTTATGACAAACCATTGATATTCAACATCCTCATTCGCAGGAACTGAGGGTGTCTGCAAATTATAGGATGAAGAATATTACACTCTGTTTTGCTAAAAAAAGTTAAAAGTGCAAAACGATTAAAATATGAATTCATGACATCACTTAAATGCAGTTGGCACATAAAAAGCAGTTCAGTTCAATACAACCTTCTCATTTCATTCCAATTCATTGTGTCATGCCTGATGCACATTCAAAATTGTAATTAATATTTCTTGCAATTTTTTATGAATGATTAATTTTCACAGAGTTAATTCAGTACTTACAACAGTAACATTGAATCGTCTACTATTCAATACTCCAAAGAGCTCCACATCCCCATTATCCAGCACGTTCATATTGATATGAATCGTTCGTCCCTCTCCTGGTCCGTTAGTTGTAAATCTTCCTGAGAAATCAGCTTCAACTTTTCCAAAAATTGCACCACTTCTTCCCAAATAAAATTTCTGAGTTGCTGGTATCGTTGCAGGATTACCTCTGTTTCCGCTGCACCTGAGTATTCCAAGTGATCCATTGACCCTGCAGTGTCCTTTATTCATAAATGTGGAATCATCGGCAGTGAGAGGTCTAGGATTTTCAAAGTCCCAGTGTGTACAGGCACAATCAGCTGCAACAAGAAAATTTGTCTTATAATTCACAAAACTGTTCATCTTCTGAACACAGGGCTTTAGTTATCATCTATGAGAATAAAGATGGAGCAAAGTAGATTATACCTAGAGCCCTGCATCTGAAGGGTGAAAACAGTTTTATTGAGATTTTCCATCCTAAGTAAAATATTTTGATCAACTTGATGGTCAAGCAGGCCTCTTGCTTCTCAATAAGCATTTTATGGTCGAATTGACTATGTGCCTTATATGCTTTTATGTTTCATCTGATTTTCATTATTTCTGTTTACGGGGAAATAAAACAAAAATCTATTCATCAGACAAATGCTATTAAACAAGAATCAAAACTTCAGTGTCCTGTCCTAGTATGTGTGTTATTCTGGAGCATTTAATCGTCAATATAGAATTGAAATATAATACTCACTCTTTGGATGTTCACATGCGCAATACTTCAGACTGAATGTACCAACTGGACATTTTCTCACTTCATTGTCACACTCGGGTATTTTATATTTAGTAGGATCTGCGCTACTTCTCACATATTTTGGTCCAAAACCACTTGTGTGGTTATCGTATTTTTCACCATTCAGGCAGCATTCGTTTCTCTCTGTATCAGCCATACATGGTGCTTTTGGTATTTGGTACATCATAGCTACAAAACACAAAGCACAATTTTTTTTATTATCATCTTTAAATAAATTATCATCTTTAAAAATAAGAGTGTTCAAATCTATTCTGTTTCTGATGTTGACATATCTATTGTGGAATATGTAGTTGTGTTAAAGCTTGAAGAATGCTCCCTCTTTTGGTATACTGGTCAATGTTTATGTAATTTGTAATAATATGTTTTAAGAATGAACCATTGTTAACAGCCCACCATGTAATATATTCATTACCACATTGTCCATTTATTGTTGAATTACATGAACCAGAGACCCAATCCCAATCGCATGCACACAAATCACTGTTCCAAAAAGTTCCATCCATGCATCTTCTAGGATAAGCTTTCCTTTTATTCATATCACATTGATAGTAGAAACAACAAGGGTCATCTTCCTTCTGATAATAGCCAGTCTTACATAAACCTAGGGAAATTAGAAAATGTACATTTAAAAGGAATTTAAGTATTATACCAGATATTGCATAATGAATATATAAAAACTATTGAGGCTTTCAGACTTTGTATGTATTATGTAGCATATTTTTTCGACCAGTACTATTTTTTGGTTCATACAATGAGACTATGCTAGTTGCCCAAGTGTTGCCCATAGTTCTAGGAATACAGTGTTTGGTGTACATTTTATGTTCATCCATCAAATTTATATAATCACAGTTTTTCTAATTTTCCCTTTTTAAGAAATAGCAATTTGACGTGGTCACATTTTTTAAACACTTCTTTGCACTTCTGAGTTACTTTACTAATTTTCAAACTTTGTTTACTACTTTGGGGCTTGAAAGAATGTACTCACTGCTATCTGAAACATCCTCAGCTGTAAAAGAAAATATATTATATTATATATTATATATTTCTGATACATGTACATGTTTTTTAAAGGCATTTATCACACTTTAAAGCTTTGTGAGCTTAATTCCCAAATCTTTATGAGTATTTTTATTGCATTTTGGAAAAGCGCTATACTGTTATTGTCTTATCCTGCTAGGCTTGTGTTCTTAGTGGGAGGGGGTCCCATAAATTGTGTCATCAAAATTCCAGGAAAACCACTCATAAGAGCAGACTAGCACCAAGATCTGATTAGGGTTTTTGCATGCTGGGTAAATTAGATGACAAACATTTTGCTCTTTAAATTGTAATATTTATCACTGTGTCATGTTGATTTTCATTTTATACCTTTGTTTATTCATGTTTCTTATTAATCTAAAGTTGTTATTTCCAAAAGTAAAATACTTACTCATCAGCATAGGATATTCATCGATTGCATATGCAACACTGCACAGGGTGAAGAGGACAAAATACAGCAACATCTACAATCAATTTATTTATTGATTGCAGTTTGGATTTGGATTCACAAAACTAAGCAATCAAAGGACCATAGTGCAGTGCAAATTATTATATGGAAAGCCCGTAGCCAGCTTTTACCAGGAGGGGAATTGCTTTTTTCTAGGGGGGAGCTTTTTCACAATTTTGGCTAAAAATCATGCGAAAAATTCTCAGAATGGTGAAAAACTGCATGATTTTGAAAGAAGTTCTGTCCAGGGGGGGGGGAGCTTCCATTCCCCAGCTCCCCCTCTGGCTACGGGCCTGGAAAGATACAAACATGTTAGAGACTCAATTTGTAGTTGCTAGCAAATGGTTGACTTAGTGTATGTTGATGTCTTTCTGCCATGTTATTTCTGAAGCTATGGTCTCGAAATAAATATGACTGAATCAGCTGTCAAAAGTTAACAACCATACTACACATTGAAGGAATGAAAATATGCAAAAGTTGCCATTCTTCAAAATGTGAAAAGTAACCACTAGATAAGGCAAATACATTTCTGAATGAGTTGAATACAGAACCCCGATGATTGTATTAACAAGGATGTACAATAATTTGAAAATAAGGAGTATGATTTTGACACATTACTGCATCAATTCAGATGATAGTGTGAAATAAGTGTAATGGCAGTTTGTTTTATTCTACGTATACCTTTATTATTATATGTTTACATGTTCAAAGATGTAGATGCTTATCATATTACACCAATCAAATTGTGGAAATAAATGTTCCTAGTTTGAGAGAACTTTCCAAATACCATCCTTTATGTCGCAAAACGAGAAAAACACCATACACATGTACTGTGACAAAATGATCAAATTTTCCTCTATTTATTATGACAAACATTTTAGTTTGATTTGATCACATTTTAAATACTTTTTTAGTTGATATTTTATCAAACAAAATATAGCTGTATGTACAGAATACAAAGTAATTTCAATATGAATCAGTGTATTAAGGTAACCCAGCATTGTTATCATGAAATAGAAGTTGAAGTAGTAATAAATGAAAAAGAGCAAAAAGCCCATTTTTCCAAAATTGTTTTAAAGTATTCAAAGAGTGTTCCTACCTTGTATGTATTCCTGATCAGTGGATGGTATTGTTGTCTCAGCGGTTGGCTCTTATATTGAATCTTTTTGGGGTTGGGGAACATCACATGAGTGATAAATGGGTCATAAATGTCATCAGTCAGTCAAATGTGACATATTTTGCATGTTTTTTTACTGTAGCATGACCATAAAGGGAGTCACCCATAGTTAAACCTGTCTTATTTGAACAATAGAAGGACTGAGAGAAATATATTATTGTATTAAATAAAACATGATAAATAAAAAAAAAAAAAAAAAAAGAGAAAATATTCATATACTGTTTAGAGCAGCTGGTTTAGAGGTTTAACTGTACTTTATCAAGTCTTTTATGTCAAAATTGACATCAGGCATTAATTCATTGTAATTAATCATCTGATGACATAATTATCATATTGTTATACATATCTATGTTTATGCATATATTATATTGTTAGATTCAAAAATGGATCAGATAATTTGAGACAGAAAGAGGATTTTAGGATTTAGCTTTTCCAAATCATTAATTCATTTGTAAGGGGATTGAAAAACAGATTTGTCAAAGCTGGGAATTAAATTTCAAAGAAGATTTTCAATAAAAGTTTGTTGCTTTATCAAATACTTGATAGATTTTTAATGATACAATAGTTGTCTTTTTCTATCAATGAGATACAGGGGGAAAATATGGAGAGTTGAATTGACACTATTCATCTGATTTGATTTTTTATTTTCTTTTGAGTAGACCAAACGAAGAGATCATGTCCTCATCCACTCCTTTTGTTTCATAGATATAGTTGTCCAGTGTTTATCAATTATTTTTGTGACTTAAAAGTGACTTTTGGACAAGTGTTTACATGTTTGTTTGTCATATAAATGTCCTCAAAGGAGATTTATTACATTTCATCATTTCATGCTTTGTCCATATGGTCAGTTTCCTTTATTATCAAATGTATACTTTTTTTAATATTTTCTATTACAATTTCATATATACTGTAGTGTAAAGTTGTTATATTTCATGGATATTGGTAATTGCTGGGATATCAGAAATATTAAATTGATATTCACTCCTAGTCCTAATTTTCTGCAACGAGGACTTCTGCAACGAGGACTTCTGCAATCCATTGACAAACTAATTCTCCAAATGGATATGCCCAATTCCCATTTCAATACCTTACACAATCTATTTCAATACATGCACTTAACTGAACTACAGTGTATGTTAATTCTTTCCAGGCATCAGTCTTCCGTGCAGCGCAGGGTTCATCTGTCTGATTGGCTCTAACGTGCCCAACCCCACAGATACAGTGAAAGGCTATATTTGCCCCGTAGGACACAAATGTCTTGAGGGAGCGGTTGTTGAGACACCATGTGACAAGGGAACTTATCAACCCCAAACTGGACAAGGTATGTAGTTCTAATCTACCAGACCCTCTCTCACAACCTGGTAATTTAAGTTTAGAGCAGCTGCAATGGTTTTAAATTTAACATGCTGTCTTGCACTTTGTAATATTTGACCAATAAATAAATTGATTTGCCATCTAATTAAATTTTGGCAGGATTGGCAAGACATACAACTAAATGTGCTCTTTGACCTTTCAGATGATTTTGACCTTTAAATAAGGCCCTGACCTATACATATGTAAATATATGACCTTGACCTTTTAATGTGACCTTGTTGGTCTTTATTATAGGAGCTTGTCTATCATGCCCTGCTGGAACTACATGTCCTGACCAAGGCATGAATGAGACTGTCATATGCCCCCCAGGGTTCTACTGTCCAAATGGGACATACACTAATGGCATGCCTTGCCCACTAGGTTAGTGTACATGATTTGCATGTTTTATTAGAAGTAGATGGGCTATTGCAAATATTTTCTTGATTTTTTTCTTGATTGTATTATTTACATGTATCATTTTACTAAAATGCTGGAATAATATCATAATTTGAAGGTATTGGTCTCTCGTATAACAGAATAATGTACCAACAGAAAGGCACTTTTGTTTTGCTTTGTATGGATCAAGTTTGAAGAAAAACAGTGCAGTATGAGACTCACAATCCTTGATTTTCAAGCATTTTATAGGTCTAAAATTCAAAATAACAGTTTTAAATGTGCATGGTTGGACTCGCATGAACATGATACAGTCCAATATGCTTTTACTCTTCATTATAATTGAATTAATTTTTTAATGTTCAACTAAATTTTATTCATGAATATTTTCATAGTATTCATGAACTCAGTATTACGCAGTATTAGCAATAATAGGATCAATGCATTAGCTAATGTAGAAATGGAATAAAACAGGAACAACAAAGATGAAACATTGTTGTATGTTTATTCAGCCTGTTTGTGCTCGGATACCTGGAACCAATGAATTAAATTATAAAATATGTGTTCTACATCTATTTCAGGAACCTTTAACCGGAACCAATGAATTAAATTATAAAATGTGTGTTCTACATCTATTTCAGGAACCTTTAACCAGCATACTGGACTGTCTGTACAAGAAGATTGCCAACTCTGTCCATCAGGTCAATTTTGTGATGAAACTGGACTCGTTGCCCCCGCTGGCAACTGTAGTGCTGGGTATCTATGTATAGAGGGCGCTGTTCACCCTGGTCCTAATGATGGGGTAAATGGACTTTGCCCAATTGGACATTACTGTGAAGAAGGTATGTTGTTTGTATGTTGCTCATCCCTCATCTCATCAACTGGCTCATGATTTTTTTATTTATATTTACGGTACAGGTATTAACTTTATACCATATTTTCTTTAGGAACACTAAATGCAACAGCATGCCCTATGGGTTATATGAACCCAAATGTTGGAGGAGAGAGCGTGGCTGACTGTATGCCATGCCTTCCTGGCCAATTCTGTGGTGAAACTGGACTATCAAGCCCCAGTGGTCTTTGCAGAGAGAGATACTACTGTCCAGATAGTGAACCTACACAGGTGTCCAAGCCAACAAGCTTTGCATGCCCCGCTGGCTATTATTGCCCCAATGGCACTGGACTTCCTATTGCCTGTGAACCTGGTGAGTACAAGAAGATTGAAACATAAACTTGAGAACTAATCGGTTTCATTTAGAAATCAGAGCATTCTTCAAATATTATTGAAAACCTTGAATAAGGTGATGAGATGTTTTATGCCTTGGTGGTACTTCATGATACAGTTTTGTTTTTGTTGCTTGTTTTCTCAGGTACCTACCAACCCAACCAGGGCTCCATTGATTGTTTACCCTGCCCTGCTAGATATTACTGCCTAAAGAACAGTAGCACTCCAGAAATATGTCCCAGGTACTCCTACTGCCCCAATGGTACAGTGACACCTATATTGTGCCCAGATGGAACCTACACAGAAAACTCCACTGTGGGGCTCTCAGATGCCAGTCAATGTGAACAGTGCCCAGCAGGTATAGTAGAATTTTATTCGTAAAAAAGTACAACTTGCTTGTTCTACCGATTTGAAGATAGGGCTACTAAATGTAGCTTGAAAAGTCAGAGAATTTTGTTTCGCTGAGATTAAATTAATCAAGTAAAACTAAATGCTATTGTTTAATTTTTTTTAACTATGACAGAACTTCAGAAAAGTTAACAGTTTATGGTTACTTGCTGTAGTCTCAAACCTTGTGGTAATGACCAATTTGAAAGCATTTGGTGGTGATATAGCCTTGATAATGATATAGCTTCAAAGTTTGTGTTAAAGGGGCAATAAGGCTTGTAGAGAGAAAATAGGAAAATTTTAACTTTTTCTGAGCTATCAAGGCAACAGTTGGCTTAACATCTTCTTCGACATACCTATTTTCTTAAAATGTATGGATAAACTATCAATTTCGGCATTAAAAAGTGTAAATTCAGTTCAAAGCTTCAAAAAGGGGACGTCCACTTTTATATTTTTAAGATCCACCATGTTTCAAGAGGAATATAAGCTCAAATAATGATTATCTAGGGGGTTTCTTTGTAGAAAATAAAAATAGATGTTAGTCTTGATAAAATGTCCAAACTTAAATATATTTTGACACTGGTCCATGATCGTTGAATGGCCCCTCTGCACTACTTGTTGCACCTTTAAGTTACATGTAATTGATATACATGTATATCAAGATTTTTGTTAATGATATACCTTCATTCATTATTGTAGGTAAATACTGTGTTGATGGTACAGCTACTGGAGACTGCCAGGCAGGACATTGGTGCAAGAAGGGTAATGCAATACCCAACCCATATGGCAATGATACCAATGAAGGCGAACTTTGTCCATATGGTTTCTATTGTGAAGCAGGTACCCCAATCAATTTCTTTATTAATTTTGCTTATTTATATATCACCTTTGTCAAATTAAAAATAGTATTTAGAAACAGGCTTTAAACTGTTATCCTATTATTAAAGTTCAGGGAATATTTCCAACAAGAACACATACACTGTATGCTTTATTTTTAAAATGATTGAAAACATACTGAAATGCATATCACATTATTTATGTTCCAGGCTGTATATCTCCCAGGGCCTGTCCCCCAGGCAGAGTCATCAACAAAGTGGGTGCCACAGGTCCCCATGAGTGCACAATATGTCCGCCAGGGCGTATCTGCCCGGAAAATGCCACTATCTCAGAGCCCTGTCTTCCTGGCTACTACTGCCCAGGGGCTGGAGTCATCACTGCATGTCCACGAAGAACTTACAATGAGATGTCAGGAGGTGTGTTTATATGACATTCGAAATACCATATGTATAGGTGTTGTATTGAAATATTTGAAAATGAAACTTCACTGAGGGAAACCATGAAAACTAGAGAAAAATGTAAACCATTTGCTGGAAGATATTAAAATAATACCTTATTTACCCTACACATGGTCACAAAGTAATGTTATGGGCTCATTTTGTTCAAAGTAGATTTTGTTGCCCAAGAAAACATGCATGCATAATTACCGAAAATATAAAATTGTAGTATTCAGGATCTGATGACTGTGTTTTAATTTGAAAACATTAATTTTAGGAATGAATCTGACTGACTGTTTACCTTGTCCGGCTGGCTATTTCTGTGATTGGGAGGCTATGGCCAACTACTCCATCAGCCCCTGCCCCCCAGGTTGGTACTGCACTGAAGCCACTGATGCACCTGACCCCTGCCCCCCTGGGACCTACCGTGGTGAGGAGGCAGCAGGGTCTATCGCAGAGTGTCATACTTGTCCCGCAGGCTACTACTGCCCCGAAACAAATGCCACCTTGGAGGGAACACAATGTGATGAGGGATACTTCTGTCCACCTGGTTCACAAAATCAAACCATATGCCAAGCAGGTGAGTGTATTGCATGTCCAGTAGAATAGATACTCAGATTATATATGCTGGTAGAAATGTGTTAATCTCTAAAATTGAATCTCTAAATATCAGGATAAAGATAGATGCATGCATGAAGTACGTTAATGTTTTTACAGGTCAATAGATTTTTGTCCGACCTGTTATGATTTTCTCATTGCCTTTCAGGATATTACTGTAACAGATCTATGACCCAGGAGCCATGTCTGTGCGGCTATTACTGTCCCGAGGCCTCCTCTTCCCCCCAGCCCTGTCCCCCTGGCCATTACTGTGGGGGTGAGGATAGTAGTTCAGTGTGTGATAACAGTGTTATAGGTAAGATATTGTGATGATATGTATATATTGAAAAATTCTTAAAGCTTTTAGAAAAGTGCTGCTTTGCATATTTATTGTTTGCTAGTAATTTACAGCATTATATTAGTTCAGATTCATTGTATTAAAACTGTTGAACATGAAAAATAAAGTAATATAAGCTCTTCTCAGGGATAGCATGTCAGTATTGGCTGTGTCCAGTCATTATGGTAACAAAGCAATTATAAGACTGTTGGTGCATAAATTGAAGGAGGCTGTTGTGACAACTTTCAAACGTCAGTTAGTCCTGCTATGCTTGAACCCATTGACTGCACACAAACGATGATGTCTCAGTGAAACCCTGCACTCTTATTTTTTATTATGCTTATTATCATGCACTAACTTATTATCATGCACTAGCTTATTATCATGCACTAGCTTATTATCATATACTAGCTTATTATTCTATTTCACCTTGTCTAGTTGCAAAAGGAATAGGTAAGAGTTGTGACTCAGCTATTATAGGAATATGAATATTAGTTTTGTAACTATCCCTCTTGATACTCAGTCCTTTTCTCACTTTGAAGAAGAAAGGAGTTAACCATTGAAATTCTTTTTCCTTCATTTCACTAAACTTTAATATGTATTACTCCATTTTAATCTGGGAGAGCAGAGAGAATTAAAAGTTTATATTCATTGGAATATTATTGCCTCTCAGAAGTCATTTTTATGTCATCACCAGAAATGTTGACATTGTTGTATAGTCTACATTTTTTGTGGATGGCTGTTGGTGTTCGGGGTCTGTAACAAATGGCATGGCATCTGTAATAAATGGCAGGTGGTGACATTTTGTATGATAATGCCTTGTTCAGATTGTATTTCCATGTTTAAAACACATTTTAAATCATGATTTTAATATTCTTTCCTTGCTTAATAATACTTTATTCCATACTTTTTAATGCTACAAATATTTTCAATAATCAACATTAAATGTTTTCCAGTAACAGCATTAAAAAATACCTCAATAAACAAAATTATACATAACTATATTGATTTATAACAAATAAAATCCAATTAAGTGTGATGCTCTAAATACTTGTAATAGGGACCTTAATAATCTTTCTCGGGATTTTTTCTGATAACACAGAAACCAATTACCAGATTTTCACATTTTATATGCTAATGCCTTGTGGTCATAAGACTTCTGGCCGGGAATTTGATAATGGCATATGCTACACATCATGGCGAAAAGTGATGATTTTCTCCACTTTTTCCTGGTAATTTCTCACATGTTATGTCCAAAATGACTAGGAATTCAATAAAATGTATTTTGTTCTGTGGGATTTGCTACTCCACAGAGTTGCTGTTTTCTAGCTTTTTACTCGACCATGTAGTTAAAGCATTAGTTCATGTATTGTTATTCTGTAGATAGTTAACACTTTGTGTGACTCACTTTTGAAGGGTAGTATCTTCTTGAAACTAGCTAGTGTCTCAGAGTGACTCACATTTGGAGGAAAATAAATTCTACTCTTTTGCTGAATGAGATTCTTTTTATTGAGAGAAAATACAAATTATGTTTTGAGATAATGTGAATATTTAAACAATCTCTTATTTCCTTGTGCATACATTATGTATTAGGGTGTGCTAAATTGTGCTAAAATAATTAAGATTCGTTTCATTAGGTTTTATAAAGATTCATCAAGTGTATATTTAACATCTTCTCTTTCTTTAGACCTTAGTGTTCCAAATGAATAAACAAAATAAACTTTTTATGTTATATTTTAGGTGCTATTGAACCAATAAAATGTCCTCTCGGTCATCGAGAGATGGATGGGTCACCAAGGTGGTCGTTTGGAGATACTTGTGAGATATGTCGCTCTGGTTATTATGGTAATCATCCAGAAAGGGCAGAGTGTAGGCCATGTCGAGCTGGAGTCGTTTGTAAAGAGGGCGCCATTACAGATCAGCCAATGGGAAATGATACGCAAGCTAGCTTTGAATATACCCATTCATATCCATGTCCCCATGGTTACTATTGTCCTGAGAACAGCTCATTCCCCACCCCCTGTCCTGAGGGTACCTTTAACCCTAGTGAATATAAAGGTTCAGTACAGGATTGTTTGCCATGTGGAGTGGATCATTTCAACCATCTTTATGCCCAAACTGGTTGTTTCCCATGTGGAGGAGAGGCCAAACAACCTGACATTGGCCAACCAACTTGTTTGTGTACAGGTACTGTATATTATTGTCTCTCTCTGTCTGTTACTGGCTCTCATACAAAAATTGGCCAGTTGTATATTTCGTCCCTGGGGCTATTTAAAAAAAGAAGTTGTGTTCCATGTTTTTTGGCTCATTTTAATATGCATTAAAGTTACTAAGTACATTTCCCCAAAAATTGTTGGTTTTATGAAATACTTTATAAAAAGGTCCATTAAATTTTGGAGAAAATCAATGACAAAGATGATGTTCAGAGACATTTTGGGAATGGAAGGGTGGTCAGTCTAATACATAATTAAATGAATTACATTTTGAGACTATATTATAACCTGGTTCCTAATATTTTAAGTAACTGGCCATTATTTTTTAGGAGCAGGCCGTGACTTCCAACACAGTGATCGTCAATGTCCCTGCAAGGCAGGATATAACATTCTGCAAGGTCGTGAAACTGATTGTGTCAAGGACGTCTATGACATCTGCCTAGAGGGCACCACTAGGACCCAGTCCGGTCTATGTTATGATGACGATCAATGGAGAACACACTGCACTGAGAATGTGAGTCTTAGCAATTTTTAGAGTAACTTTAAAGGCCTTCAAATGTTTAATTCTAGTTGAATTTTTTTTCTTTTTTTAGCTAGTAGAAGTACAAATTGAAAAGTTTGATGCATTTCATTTTAAGATCTTAATTTAAATATGGTATTTAATAAAATATGTGCTTTAACAGTTATGATGAAACATAAATAAAAATGAGTTATATTTACAACCCAGGAATGCCATGAATTATTTACATGTATAATTCCATACAGGTTTGTGGTGGGGCTGATGCCTACATTGGCTTTGATGCATTGCTTGGACTCTGTAAATGCAAAGTGGATGATCTTGAACTGATATGTGACCTAGAGTGCAGGATTGCACAGCGTATGAGAATCAAACTGGTCTGTCCCCAGAGGCCTGAACCCAGTTACATTGTAGTCTCAAATTCTGATAACAGCCATAGAGTAAGGGCAACATTTTAGTACTTATGTGTTTCTTATAGATGCTACATTTAGATATCTATTTTTTGAGAGCCTCGGGACTTTTTCCCCTTTGTTGGATAAACTATTTAACATTTAAATTGCTTCACCATCCACTCATTTGCATCAATTATTGTATAAGTGGTAATTTTGCCTAATCATTTAATTTGCCTATTTCCTAATTTTTGCCAGTTTCGGAAAATTAAATGTCGGAAATATTGTCTTTATAATGTTATCCAATGGGAGGTTTCTTGTCATTAGGAAAATTAAAATTAGGAAAATGATGAAATTTGACCATTCGGAAAATTAACCACTCGGATTAAATACCACTTATACAGTATGGGAAAAATGACATATATGAACCAGTCCTTTATTTCTTCACAAATCTATGTAATCCACTAATTGGACATCTTATTATACAATTTTGAAACCAAATTTTTTTATGTACTTTTATAATGTTTATTGTAATCATTTCAGCACTAAATGATGATTCTGTCAACTATTCATGCAATTTATCCTTCTGATCCTGTGTGAACCAACTTTTATATATAATGTTTGTTTTACTTTCCATAAACAGTATGAGATCCCAAGTTTGAATCTGCGTAGTTGCATTAACTACCGCAATGCCATCTCCGATGATCAATGTGACGGAAGAGAAAACACAGAAATCCCAATACATTTTACAGTGATGGAGCCGGCTGGCTTCGTAGGAGTTTACGATCCGAATCCTGCTTCCATACAACAGATTTTGGAAGATAACAGTAAAGGAAACTTCACTGGTAATTATAGTGGTGGCGAAGTTGGTGCAAATAGACGTCGTCTGTTGACGACAACGAATCTACCTGCAGGGACATTCACAGGTATTCAGAATCCTACTGTATGCTTGAAGTATGGAGAGACCATGTTCTTCTATGTTTCTAATGACAACTACCCAGTGTATGACAGGTAAGAACAGGCATTGTAGTGAAAATAATAACAAAGAGTTTAATGTGTATTTCACAGTAATGTATCTATGGTAACCAGTAGAACTTGGGGATGTTTTGAATATAATTTGATTTTGCTTTGTAGCCCTCATTTGCTTGTAAAAGTTGCCTTGATTTCTTTCTTCCAGGGACAATCTTTACAATACAAACCAGGCATTTGACTATGGAGGCTTCCGAGAATTAGCTGAGGCACAGTCTCAGATCTCCACGGCAACCACACTATTCTCATATCGCTTCAATGACCCGGGTGTCTATTCCTTCCATCACAGTACCGACACTAACAAGAAAATGGTAATTCTTCAGAAAACATATTTTACATTGTTACTTTAAATTATCAATGAATACAAATATTCTGATGATGTCCAAAATAAAAAAACAACTTAAAGAACACCTTAAGGATAGAAATATATGGCCAGATATTTAATTTTTTATGATGTTTTTTTTGGGACACCCGATATAGTGTAAGAACTATGTTCTAGCATAGCTGCAGTCCATGGTTATAGGCATATTGAACATGTTGAAGTCTATACCGTTCAATTAATATAGTAAATATATAAGTCACAGGCCAGTCCTTGCTCTAGCCACCTCTTCCATCTCTTTGTATGAGCCTACTTAAGAAACATGATATGAATTATAGTATGTGAGAGTGATGGCGGAATTTGCCCAGTGTGCAGAAGATGGCCCATTCTTCCCAACAACACCACGCTCAGTCATCCAGAATGGCATGTCTATAGACCAGGATATATTGAAGGCACCTGACTGGGCTTTGATCTTGATCCTGCTGGGAGCAGCCCTCATGTGTATGGTTATACTTGTGATAGCTTTGGTGAGTTCCGTTACATATTATTTAAGTCTTACATTCCATGATCTAATTTCTATTAGAATGTAAGCACCACAAGTGCTGACATATTGTATAGTCTCCAGCTTTTTGTGGATGGTGTCTTGTGTTGGCAATCAGTGGTCGACATCTAACAAATGGCAGGTGGTGACATTTTGCATCTTAATGCCTCGTTTCCTTTTGCATGTTAATGCCTCGTTTCATTTTGCATGTTAATGCCTCGTTTTATTAATGATACTTTAATAATTATTTTGAATAAATATACCAATACCATAGACATTGCATTGTACAAGTACAGATTATAGTAAAAATAGGAAAAGAATATTTATAGAGTTAAGTATACTGTTGTATATTTATAACTTTTTTTGACTGCTGCATTTTGTGTGCTCTTATATTAAACTTAAGTTGAATGAGATGTTAATATTGATTGCAAGAAATGGGATTATACATGTATTAAAATCAATTCTTTTAGATTCTGTTCCGTAAATACGGCTGGATGAAGACCTCTTACATCTTCCCAAGATATCGTCGCCTGGCTGAGAAGTACAACTTTGATGATTATGCTTCTAAGGGGTCCACGGTCCATCCTGTAAAGAAATACCATAGAAACCTAGAAGCTCTTGAGCATGTGGCTGGTGGTGGTGGAACATCTGACCCCAATGCTGTCAATGCTATCTTAGATGGTGAGCCTCTTTAAATACAATGAGTGTTGACTCATTAGTGATATGAAAGTGTTAGCTTAATCTTTTAAGTAATTTTGGGAAGGGGCAAACATTACTTATGCCTAAAATGTCACTCTAGATTCTGTTACAATTAAGTAATTTTTTTTACACAAATGTTATTTCTGTTGCCAGTAGCTTCAATGTTGATGGGAGGGGGAGTATTACTTCATTACATAACTTTCCCAAAGTTGATTTGACATTAAGATTCAGCCTCATATTACATTGTGGTAAGTCGCACCTTCTCATGCAACAAAGAGAATGAGTATCAGAATGCTCTTACTGTATATAACATGTGTTTACAGCCCAAGGTGTTGAGGTTAAGGGAGATGAGTTCTGGGACTATGATGCGCAAGTGGACCTTGAGGCATTCAATGCTGCCACCATGTATGACACACTGGCCAAACAGTCAAGGGACATCACACAGAATCTTGGCAAACAGAAAGATGAGGTTAGTCCGAAATGGAGTTTTCCTGTTTTTTCAATTTATTCTATGTTAAAAATATATTGTTGAAATTGCTGCCTAGCTCCTTTCATTTGGTCTTTTGAGTTGTTTTGTTTCTTGGTGTTGCTTATAGTTTCAGATACATGTATCTGTGGAACCCATTTAACATTTTGATTTCATATTTCATTAAGAATTTTTATTATAACTCTTTATAAAAAGTGTTGTGTTCAGTATAGTCCACATATTTCATGTACTTATATGATGTAACTGCTCTCTCCACAGGCCAAGTCCATGTACCAGAAAGTCAATCACCAGACTGAGTCACTCAAAGGACTCTGGGCAGCCAAGTTGAACCTGAAGGGCAGGGCAAGCATGGCTACACAAGAGGACATAGCCAAGTATGAGGTGAAGCTGGAGGAATTGGAAATTGAGTTGGAAAGACGTAAAGAACTTGGAACAAGATTTGAGGCTATATTACAACGTCAGCAGAATCTTATAGAGGATGACGAACTGGATAGAGAGAAGCATCAGGTTTGTTTGATTGAATTTATCCTAACTCAATTCATTCATTGTATTTTCATATGTGAGTACCTTGTTGCTCACTTTCATTAGGAAAGGGCTCCAATTTTTCAAAGGGGTCTAATTCTTTGGGGGAATTTAAAATATTTCAAAATTGAAAAAAAGTGGGTCAGAATAATGTATGTATTATCAAATACTGTTACATCATATATTTAAGGAATAAAGACCGAGATTCTATGATTTATGGCGCAATATATGACCGAAAATTTTATTCTGTTCATTGTTAAAAGACCGAAATCGTGTAGTTACTCCTTTCATTAATATTTACAACCTTTTATTCAGGTCAATTATGAGGCAGCACTGCGTGAAGGTCAGAGACAATTGAATGAGCATAGTGAGAGATTACAACGTGGTCAGATCTTGAAGGATGGAGAACTTGACACCCAGCAACATGCGAGATTGTGTGGAAGAGTTGGTCATCTCATACAGAGGATGTCCAATGAAATCAATGAGGAGTGCCAGAGATTGGGCGCATGGGGTGTACTGGGACAAGGTATCCTTTGCTGATTTACCTAATTTATATTTACCCATTAACATGTTTATATTTATTGATACTATGTCTCATTATGGCCCCTTAGTGTTGATAAATGTGTTTCTAATCTCAATCCGTCAAGTTGAATCCAGAATGTTCTATTTAGTTCAATTCGAGTGGAAACCAATGTGGAGTTACTTGTATCAATGGTCTGTCATTTCTCAACCTGACTCAATGTTTGGTATACATATTTTGAGCCTATATCGACTTGAACCACCCCTGACCCACCTCACCTGAACATTGGAAATTTTTAATGATTTATTCTTTTGATAAACTAACAATTTCTTGTATAAAGTTGCGTATTATCAGAAGACCAACAATGAAACAAAAATGTATATTTAGCTTAACTCTTGCAGGGACTGGAGGGACGCTAGTCTTCAATAACTCAAGTGATCCTATTGAACGTGACCAACTCCTAGGTCCAGACCAGAGCATTCTAGCACCAGATGTAGTACACTTGAACCCTGTTACTGGACTCATTGAACCAAATGCTGGTGCCACCATGATGCTAGGTAATGGCAGCCTCATAATGGTACCCCCAGGCTGCTTCGTGCACCCTCAGACAGGAAAGGTGTTGCCCATAAATGGTAACGTGGCATATGATCCCGTGACATCTAGACTTGTCTTCACCACAGATTCTGCTACAGGTCAGTGCAAAGCCATTTTCAGAAGAATTATAGTCAGAATTTTGTTTGGGATATTTGAAAAATAATGTTTTTAGTGTCTACTTAAAAATCAATTTAGCTCATATCACTTTGGTGTTAAATCACTTTTCATTTTTCAAAAAATGTTTTCCACCATACTGAGGCTAATAATGCTCTGAGGCCAAACTTATGTTTTATTATTTGTAAACTGAAATGCAATTATATACATGTACTATTTTTAATTTAGGTGAAGCATGTCGCAGTGACGACCCACTCATCCCATATGTACCTTACCCCGTTAACCCAACCACCTCACTTCCTGTTGTCACCAAGATCAAACCTCTGGAACGCAAGAGTGACATGAAATACTGTGCCCCTGTTCCCGACCCTATCACAGGACTTCATTGTCCTATAGTTGGTGCCACTATTGACCCAAGTAATGGGGCTGTTCTACCAGTTGCTGGCACCCACACAGACCCGATAACTGGTCTACCAATCCCTATAGAGATAGGCTCTCTTATGATTGATCCTGTCTCTGAACAACCTGTGCCGATCCTTGGAGTCACTCTAGATGCTCATTCAGGTAATGAGGCATATACTTGTATTATGTAGGAACCATTAATTTGTAAACCATAAATGTTCAATAACTCAAGTCAGTTCTGACTTGCTTATAACATGTATAACTGAAGATTTTTATTCAAAATTGTCACCATTTCAGAATAAGTATATTGTCATGGACACATATCTCATATATTTAATATGCTGATGTCATACTTTTCCTTTCATGTCTCCTAGGTGATGTGGTACCTGTTGGTGGCACAAGATCTGGTAGTCATAGTGATATTCCCATCGTACCTGGTGATACATTCGTTGAACCACTCAGCGGTAAAGTTGTTCGCGTCAACACAGGATTCCTTAATAATAATGAGGTGGTGCCATCTGCTGGAGGTTACATGGCACTGCTGGAGGCAAACGTCCTGGCATGTGAGGCTAGGGTCACTGACGCCCTGCGCGAGTACAAAGATGCAATTAACAGTAAGCTATGCATTTTCATGGCAAGCATTTTAACTAACAGACACCTTTGCAGAGAACTAAAACACAGATCAATCAGTTGTGGAGAACCATGCATGAATTACATTAAGGGACGGAGTGAATACTTTATTTGGATATTGTCTCAAAACAGAGTTACATGTACTGACCCCTCCTTTCCTCAAAAAAGTCAAATCTAACATTGGTTTCTTTCAATTTGTAACATAAAAATTCCATACTTGTGTACACATGTTCTTATTGACACAATATAATAAGAAACCATATATTTTAAGGTGTACATAATAAGGACGAAGGCACATCTCTAAACACACGTCATGAACAGAATGTGCTTGACACTGCACTGAGAGAACTCAGCAAGGCTCGCACACGTATGAAGACATACTGGATTCGCTCAGGACAAGATCTTCAAAGGAGACGGGAAAGAGCCAACATACTCTCAGCCACTGGAGGTTCACCAGGTATGACTTTAAACATTTTTTTTTGTAAAAGTTAAAAATTATAAGTGTTTTGTTTAATTTTTTCTTCAAACAAAAAAACTTTTTCCTGAGAGGATCAATGTTGTTTTGTGAAAGAACTGATATAGAAAATAAATCTTCTCACATGTTACTACGTTTATCAAAAATGTTGTCTTGGACTAAAGACTAGACTAGTCTGTATCAGTGTGACTTAATGGTGTTAATTGTGTATATTCCAGGCATGTATGAGTTCACACTGACTGGTCAGCTACTGCCTGTATTGATTGGTACCACCATGGTAGACCCTGATGGTTCTGGCCAGGATGTTGCAATACTTGGTGCTGAGAAAGACAGATTCTCTGGTAAGATTCGACCTCTAGGTGGCACCACGGAAGATCCAGAAGGAAGGGGGTTAGTACCCATAATGCTCGGTGAAATGGCTGTTGATCCTGTCACAGGAGACCTCAGTCCAATCACAGGGGTACGTGTGAGTAACGAAACACAGACTGTTGTACCTGTTACTTTAGCCTCTGGGGGCCATAAGAAGAAGAAAGCTCCATTGGGTGCGACTGCGATGTTAGAGGAAGAGGTGGTGGCAAGGAGGAGCTACTGGAGACGTCAACGACAGAGGGAGGATGAACTAACTGAAAAGGAGTTCCTACTCTCATTAAAACTGATCACCGACCTGGAGGGCATAACATCCAATATGGTGGAGAAGGCCTTAAATGACATCCTGGAGAAATCAGCTGAACTTGGAGAAGCCTCCAAACGTGAAACAACACGCAAGTCTGACTCTGAGCAGGAGTTTGCATCTGTGTTTCCCCCTGAGGTAGTCAGTGTGCTAACATATGGTGACATGCCTGAGAGAGAACACGAGGAAGCTCACCAAACTGCACACAAGAAATTTGTTGAAGTCATCCGTAAGTTCTTCAACAAACTCCAGGCTGAAGAAGAGAAATACAAAGACAGGCTCTCAGAGCTTGAAGGTGCTATGAATCCTGATGCTGAACATGTTGTTAAACAACGCTACATGCAAGCCAAACAAAGACTTCAGGGTGAACTTCAAGATCAGATTATGGGACGTGTAGAAGCTTTAGATGAGGAACATTCAGGCTTGGAGTACTGCAGACAACGTAGTGAGCTACTGTGCCTGGAGGCCAAGGTTGTCCTAATGCGTTCTTCTGTTCTTGCTGGGGATTATGATGCTAAAGTACCAGGAGTGTATGGTGAATGTGATCTAAGCTCCTCTAGCTCTGAGTCTGAGCTCATTCCATTATTGAAGCAACTCATTGAGATGTTAAGCACTGGTGGGCCATTTGTCTTGTCAACTGAACTTCTGCAAGTGCTCCAAGGTAGGCCAGGAGTGAATGTTGCGCAGATCCAGCAACAAATGGAGGCTGCCCAGGCTACTGGAGGTCTCACTCCAGCTCCTGGGGGGTTCACAGGTCAAGTTACCCAAGTCGGGGTGAATCCAATGGCTCAAGGCCCCAATGTGATTACTACAGTACCTCTACAGAGATCAGCTGATGGTGGCACCACTAAGACTGACTATACAATCATTGACCAGAATGCCCTAAAAGCTCCAACGGAAAATGAATCTGAGAGTGATATTAAAGAAAGGCAAAAACAACTTCTTGATAAACAAACATTTGAAGCAGCCAAACTTGAGAATTCACTTAAAGATAATGAAATCCAATCTATTAATGGATTAGTTCAAGACTATGAAAAGAGAAAGGATGAGACTATTAAGAGCACACAAGAAGAGTTAAAGAAGAAGCTTTCTGAAGCTCAGACACAGGAAGAAAAAGAAAGATTATTGATGGAATATGCCCACCAACTCCAAAGATCCAATGACAAATTGGATGCAGAGAAGCAGCGACAGATGGCCAACCTTCGTAAGAAACTTCTGGATGAGAGACGACAGAAGAAGAAAGAGCTCCATAGGAACCATATCACTGAGGCAAAATCTCTGGGACTTCCTGCTGACACTGTACCAGACATGTACATCCCAACACATGATGAACTGGATCATGACCTGAAGCTCCTTACTCAACAACAGGAGAAACTTCTAGCTGAAATGCGACTTGCAGCTGCACAACAAAACGACAATGTAGATATTGATCCTGAAATGGAAGAACGAATCAGAGCTCTAAGACTGCAATCTCCTGGTGCAGAAGATCTTATCAATGACCTCAAATCTAAGATCAATACAAGCAACAGCCGGGCCATTAACATGAAGGATAAACTCCGTGCACGTAAAGAGAGACACCGCAGTGCAAAGAAGGTATCTGATGAGGAACTGGCTGGCTTAAATGAGGATGAGAAGCAGGAGCTACTTGCTACCTTACAGAACCAGTGTGAGGCTACCAGAATGAAGGAAGAACAAGCTCTTCTAATGACACTGCAATCTCTGGAACAGGTGAGGAATGCTTTATACAAAGATGTAATTTGAAATTTCATTGTCAAACATTGTGTTAACACAACATGTATTAACTATATTTCTGGCCATGCTTTCCTACAGGATGACCATCGACGCGAGGAAGAGCGTCGTCTTCGTGATTTACTGAAAGACAAGTCAGCTGAGGAGCGAGACAGGCTACTAGCTCAGTATGATGCTGAGACACTTGCGATGGAACAAGCCTTGGATAATCAAAAGGCTAGCCAACAAGATAAACTCCTGGCTAAGTTAGCAGCACGTAAACGCATGAAAGAGGAGCTGGCCAAGGAGAAGGCTGTTAACAAGGAACTTGATAGGATAACACAGAAACAGGTTTTTTCACATCAAGATATCCTCTTTGTAGAGTATTACTGGCTGTCTTTAGTATTATTAGTATTATTGGGAAAGGGGAATAAACATATTTTAAAAGCATGAGAGATTTACAGGTACTTGCAATTGCTTCATTAGAGTTTTTGACAACAAGCAAAAGGAAAAACAAACAAAATTATTGGAAAATATAATTTTAACATGGAATCTGAAATAAGAGTTGATTCAGGGAAAAATAACTTGACAAAATTGCCTGCTGCTAATGAAGCCCTTGCAAGTACATAGTGTACGATTGCATGGTTCATATTGGCTTTGAAACGAGTGTAAATAGTTACATGCAGAATGTTGGAATGTAAAATGTGACAATGATAGATGAATATGCTATTACTATTGTAACCATATGCTTCATTGTTTTTGCTTCTAGGGCGAGGAAGAACGTGTAAGTTGTCTGTTTGAGTGATATGTACATAAAACTAACAATTGTCACATTCCTTACCATCTTCCTTTACATGATTTTAGACAATTTCAAAAATTCATTTTTTTCTTGAAAGCATTACTATAGCGGTGTTTTTTGTTGCTGTTTTTTTATAATTTTTTTCCTTACAATGTTTTTTCATAATAGTGTTTACAAAATTTCATGGAATAAACATAATTTAACTAGAATAATGGAAAATCAACAGAAGTACACAACTTACAAAGGAGTGGTATCGATATGGAGAACTTTTTGAACACACGTTTCTCTTAAACCAGTCATAAAAAAATCTAAAAATTTAACACATCGTCAATTTAATGGTCATCTTTTGAATGGTAACAATATAATTTGAAAAATATATATATACTTTCATCTATATTGTTTTAGAAAACACATCAAACACTTGTTTTGTTCTTGGTATCATGTTTCCAGAGTGAAATGAAACATCTTTCCGAACCTCATTGGAACAAAATGACATAAACACAACATGTTTAGGTCTCTCAATATTGTAATTGTACAAAGGAAATTTTGATTGATTTTAAAAAAGTATCTTGTTAATGAAATAAAGGGTTTATCTTGATTTTTATCTATTTTGGGGGGATTTTGTTTTAATTTTTTGAATACTTTTTAAAATCAACCAAAAATTTGTAACTATAATATTGAGAGGTCTAAAAACATGTTGTATATGCTATTTTGTTCCAACAAGGTTCGGAAAGACATTTTATTTCATTCTCAAGAATTGGTAGAAAGGAGCAAAAACAATTGCACTAAAAAAGCAAAAGATGTTAACAAAAACAGTTATATAAAATATTTCTAAATAGTTTTTGCATTAAATTGTTGTCAATCAAGTCAACATTACATAAAATACATGTACCATGTTTTTTTACAGAATGTTTTCAATGATTGGTTTAAGAGAAAAACAGTTCTCCATATCGATACCAATCCTTTCGAATTTGTAACCATTTTTTAACCAGAATAATAATTATGTTTTGTACTTTATTAACAAATATTTCACATAATACTAGAAGTTATTCAATGATTTGTTGTACAGAAATATACTGAATACATTTTGCCTTATGGAATATGGTGCCATGGGTGTAGCAAAATATTTTCTATATTTTATGAGAAATCATTGAATAATATTTTATTCAATAAATATTTGAGATATATGGTGTTTTATTGGTTTCATCAGAAATGTCTTTTCCTAACAAGCATTTTGACATTATTTAAAAATGAACACTTTTGTTTGTATCACTTGTTGTTATGGTGTGTCAAGTACATGTGTTTTTATGTGTCAAGTACATGTGTTTTTATGTGTCAAATACATGTATTATCGAATGAGTCAGACAAGCTCACTCAAATGCTCCATCCAGATGTTGTTGAAACTTGGACTACTATTTGAAAAGTTTATTTACAGTTCTTTGAAAAGTTTTTTTCCATTTATTTCATTTTTGGGAGTGGTTTATATCTCACTTTCTCCCATTCATTAAAACATCAGTATTGAGATTAAAATAGATATTAACATCCATTACCCATAAGATTTAATGAAGGCTTATTCCTTCACTTTTGTATGAAACCTTATTATCAATTGATACAACTGCTTTGAATGAAACTATTCTATTGATTTGAAAATTCTACATATACTGCTCTATATTTCCATTTCAAAAATGAAGTTTACTTTCAGTGGAATAACCCTATCATATATTATTTTGTTTCTTCAGGCAAGTCGCAGTGGGGATGATGACAGTGCAGAAGTTATAAGTAACATCTCTAAACATCTCAATACAGCCAGCCTTACCCCTGAGCAGGTAAGTACAAGTGCATACACCGATATTACGGTCCCTCAAGTAGATATGCATATCTCCCTCTGGATAAACCCCATATCCAAAACTTCCCAGTCCATAACCCTTATTTATTCCATAATAACATGTTTTCCCTGGGAAAATAACAGGGAATAAAAGTGTTATTTGAAAAATCCCGTATCAGATCCCGTATCAGCCAAAATCCCGTATCAGATCCCGTATTGGATCCCGTATCAGCAAAAATCCCGTATCAGATCCCGTATCAGAAAAATTGAAAAAAAAATATTATGAAATAAATAGGTTATTGATGGTCGTGATGGAATATGGATTTATTCCTTGAGAAAATACGATATTGGCCTCAGAAAATATCATATTGACACTCGGGCTATCGCCCTCGGTCAATATGATATTTTCCTTGGCCAATATCATATTTTCCCTCGGAATAAAATCCATATTCCATCCCTCCCATTAAATAACCTCTATGTATAGGATATATATGTGTTATCTGACTCTATAGAGCATAAATGTCTCATAGACAGTACTGTATGTTATTGATGTTGTATTTTTAGGAGAAGCTTCACGAGGCACAAATTGATGAACAGGCTACACTTGTGACAAGCCAGAAAGAGCAGGAGAGACTTATGAACCAAACACTGGATACTGAGCTTGCTAAAAGTAGCAGGCAGGTGGATGATCAAATGGAAGAGCAAAAGAAACTGGTAAGTGGATGCAGTATCAATGTTTAATGTATAATACATAATAGTATAACTTTTATACTACACATGGCATCCACTTTATTTCTGGATGCATTATCAATGTCGATGTATAATACAGGATGACACTAAACATGGCATCCATTTTGTTTCTAGATATACTGTTAAAGAATAGCACTGTATTATTTCATTATGAAAAAGACTGAGAGCCTAATATCTATCTCTTCATGTTCTATTTTTGTTATTGATAAATATCCTTTGTAAACAAAAGAAAGAAATTGTGAATAAAAAACCCACATCAACCAATCAAACCATCAGAAAAAATCTGCTCAATGGCAATTTAAAATTATAATTTAAATTTCAGGCCCTTGATTCACACAAAGCTAAGTTTGACCGTGAGATGTTGCTCCATGGCAAGAACTTGAGCAAAGATGAGTATGAGAGGCTTATGGCTCTACATGAACAAGAGGCAAGGAACCTGCAACGTAACATGGAAAATGAGAAAGCTAGACAGAAACAGGCTCTCGCTGATAGGGTATGTAAATGTCTTCTATACTGAATATTAATGTTGATATTTATGTTTTTCTTATTCCAAAATATTAAATGGATAAACTTGAGAAGGGCAATGTGTTACTACAGCTATTTCTGCCCAATTTACATTAAAAATTAAAAGACATTTAGTCTTAGGTTTGTGAAGATTGAAAACACAAAATTAAATTCTATGTGAAGATCTGAAATGATACAGTCAGTCCACCTTAGTGGAGAATTCCATTAATCTGTGGAATTTCCAAGGATATCCATGAGGTTAATTCCTGAAAACTCTGTATTTATCAAACAGGTTGCTGAAAGACGCAGGAAGAAACAAGCTCAAATCAGTGAGAAATCAGCGGCAGAACTAGCCAAGCAGCTTGCAGCTCAACAACAACAGAGAGATGCCTTGAATCAACAGATTGAACGTAAAGTGGCGGAGTCCACATTAAAAGAATCTGTGAAGGATAAAGATGGGGAGCAGGTTGAGAATATGGTGTATACAGTTCTGAGACAGCGCCACATCAAGGAGGCTGTCCACCTTGAAGAACAACTGGCAAGGGAGCTGGATGCAGCTAAGGCTGATACAAGAGCTACTGTTGCCGAGGAAAGGCAACAACAGAGAGAGAAGTTGACTGCCTCTCATGAACAGGTAAGAAGCAGTAAGGAACTATCAACTACAAGAATAAACTGTTCTTTATGTAGCATTGTTATCAGTTTTCAAATGAAAGTGAAATGCTATAGAAGTTTCCTCATAGGAGCTATTGGGATTAAAGGCCCCCTCACATATGAACGAATCCACTAAACGCATTCCTGCGAATATGAATTAGGTAAAATTTGTTCCAATAAGTATATGTATGTTGTGCCTCATTGTAGTGTTTTCATGTGTATGTATCCCTTCAGAAACCTTCGGACGACTTCGGAACCATGCGCAAAGATGCATTTTGGTTCACATTTATCCAAATCGCAAGACTGCACTTGATGGATCCGTTCATATGTGAGGGGCCTTTAGGTTGAAAAACAATGTACTGTAGAAAATGTACAATTTACCAAATACACAAATTTTATGTCACCACATGGTTACATCTTGTTATATGCATTTTTGTGACTGGTCTTGGCATCAGGAGTTTAGCATCTTTAACAAATGGAAGACTTTTGTATGTGCAACCAGGAGGTACCAACTACCATGGTAATGCCTTGTCTTTGTTCACATGTTCACTTATATGTTGATTTGCCCAATATGAGTACACCATAACTTTCAATCATTGATTTCATTACTTAAGTCACATATCTGTACAAAATCCATATATTAAGATTCATGTGCTAACAAAAATAACACAGTGTGCATATAAGTCATTGATTGACATTTTGTTTGTTATTGTAGGAGCTGATTGATCTTGTTGCCAATGCTGGCACCTTGAAGAGCTCAGAATTGGCACAGAAGAAAGAGGAATTAAAGCGAAGACAACAGCGTGAAATTGCTGAATTTGATTCATTGACACCACAGATGATAGCTACAGCCGAGCGGGATACAGCACGCCACCTTCAGGCCAAACACACCAACTCTAGGCTTGAGTTGAAAGAGAAACAGTTAAGAGAATTGGCAGATGCTATGAAGATCTACACACCGGAGGAGAAACTACAAGAGGTATGGCTGCTCTTCATTATAAGCACTAAATTTACAGTTCATTGTGCATGTGTTGATATTTGGAATAAATCTTATTCAAATTAGCCTAAATTCTTGTGATCGGTTGGCTACTTGAGTTCTGGTGATCACATTTTGTTTAATCAGTGCCTCCTATACTCTAGAGGTGAAGAAGTCAAGTAAATAGTCGGAGGCAAGAAACTGGATGCAAGATAGAAAAGATCAGATATACCAGTTACTGATAAAACCAATGCACATATCCAAATCTATGTTGTTTCAATAATCATGATAAAAAGCAGGAGAATGATATTCACATTGATAATGCGTATCACCATTTTACCCAGTGCTCCCCTTTGATTTTTTATAAAGTTTATATTTGTAAGCAAGAATAGAAAAAGATGTTCCTAATATGTATTTTATTTTAATTTAGGAGTATGCTGAGAGAGCCAAGCAAGCAGCAGAGGAAGCTAAACGTTACCGTGAAGAGACACTCAGAAAGATGAATGATAATCTGAAACATATGAAAGATGAAGCAGAGAAGAAGGAAGGAGAGCGAAAGAGGAAGTTGGTGAATCAAATGAAGTATGTATGAATTGGATGAATTTGAAATGAAAGAGAAATAAGATAAGAATGAACATTGTTTTATAGACTAAAACAATAGGTTATACATGTAAAGATTCTTACTTTGATAAATGATAAATTAGTATAACAACACATCTAACATTACATTAATTTTTCAGACAACTAGAACAGGACCTTGAAGCTGAGAGAAAACGTGATGAGGAACGGGAGAGAGAACGTCAAGCAGAACGAGAGCGAATCAGACGTCAGCAATTAGAAGAAAGGGAAAAACGTGAAAAAGCTGATATTGATAAAATGAACATCTCCGAAGATGAAAAAGAAAAATTGCTACGCGAACATGAGGAGAATATGAAGCGTTTTGATAGTCAGTTGAAGGATGAACAACAACGAAGCAGTGAAGCCCTGAAAGCCAAACTTGAGGCAAGGCGTAATAAGAAACGTGCCACAGAGATTGCCCAGATTGAAAAGAACAACCAGCTTCAAACAGAAGAAGACATTAAGCAAGAAATGGATGAGAAGATAGCTGAAGAAAGACGTGCTGCAGAGAGGGCTTCATCTGGAGACCAACCTGTAAGTTCTATTCCTGAAAAAATCTTGCCATTATGAGTTAGAATTGGGTTGAGTGACCTATGACTTGAACTTGTCACTGCCTGTACGATGATGACTTATCAACCTCTTGATTTCAAAGAGTCTTTAGTTTGCTTTTAGCTAGTCTAGTCTTCAATTAGTATTTATATGCTCATACATATTACACAAGGAACTCCAATCCTACATTTCATAGTCAATGCAAATAGTCTCTTAAAAGACTTGGAACAAATTTGTTACAAAACCTTGTCACTACCAAGGCACAATTGCTTCTAGTAGAGTGAATAGTCATGATAGTGAATATAGAAGAAAATGTGTGGCTTCTTTTGCTTGATAATTTTGGCCTTTTAGAGGTACTTATTAAATGCTTTACTAACCATAGTTGTATTATTTGTATTAGACGCTATTTGGTGCCCCAGCAGCCAAGACTGGAGCTCCTGGGTCTGCAAATCCTGCTGAGGTAAACATACATGACAATAATTGTGGCATTACCATCACTATCATGGTAACATTTGAGGAACCTAATACATATGATTAACATGTTGTACTTTTTACAAATACCGAGTTTTGCAATGGATTAGAAGAGGTTTTATTCAGAACCTTGGAGTGTTTTCATCCTAGATATTGCCCATGGTATAGAGCTGTTAGAATGATGAAAATGTTGCATACACTTTACATATGATCCCATAATATCACATCACATCAAAAAGATAATGGCATTGGCTGGACACCCAGCCTGTATTCACACTCATTTCTATATTGTTGCTTCCTAAATCTTGCCTCAGTGAATTCTACTTCTCACTCATTATAAAATATAGTCTATCCATGTGCATGTCTATTTATTACAGTCTGGCTTTGCTCCATTTACTCCAACTGGCAATGCAGAACAGGACTGGGTGAACATGTTGATGGCCTCTCCCCTGTTCAAGCAGATCAATGACCTTGAGGCCATGATGGACAAAAGTGCAGGGGGAACAGGCGCTGCTGGGTCTGGTCCATCTAAAGTACAAGGTAATGAAGTTGTTTCTTTTAAATCTGCATCATATTAAATACAGGGTGACACAATAATTGCAACCTCCCCTCCTTTTGGAATAATTTTCTCGTTTTTTTTTTATTCGTGAATGTTACCAGATTGTCAACAAAAATATTACACACATCATAATGTACCAAGAAACAGAGGCATAATTTGAAATTGATGATTTATCTATATTACTTGAATGCAGGTGCTGACTACAGTCGTGCCTATCTTGACATCAAAGACGCGCAATGGTCCTGCAGTGGTGACCTTGTACCTGTTGACCTCAACGACATCACACCACACCAATTTGTTGTGTACAGATTTGGGGTGTTTGTATCACGAGTCTTACGCCAACTTATCAATGCACCAGAAGTGACGCTCCTATTGGCATCAAATCTGCCAAGTAACAATTACAACAATAACGCCTTCAGGAACTCTTTCTTCTACGAACACGCTAGAAAGATCTTGTTCATACGTCGTGAAAGGATGGACTCCATCGGGGACTTTGTGGTTGTTATACTTCATTGTCTGGCACATATAAGTGTAGATGATCTCACAGATGACGCAAACCCAATGTTCCTCAGACAGTTCTACAAGGTAAGAGGCAGTCAGTCAAAATAATATACTGTACAATGTTTTCCCCATGTTTTCCAAACTAATTTCATGAAGGCTCTTCTCACGTAACCAGTTTATCTCAATGTCAATGGAAGTTGTCTGTAATTATGCATTTGTGTACCTTCTTTCTTTACACACGAATGGAGAAGTTAAATAATTTTAGATGATATTTAGGGGTGTCATTTTTTACCATCATTATGTAGTATTTCGTAATTTTCCACCACACAGCGTTTCATTTAACATTTACAATGTAATAGAGGATCGTGAAATTAATCTGAAGAATTTTTTTCATGTTATTTTCAATTTCACACAGCCATATCTATCACTTTCTTTTGAAAGCAAAACCTCCATGATCATTAATATAAAAATGTGTCCATTTGTTTACAGTCCCTTAGAGTAGTATGCCAAGATATGTTCTTCTCTCGATCCCATACCAAGCCAACAAGCTCAGCTCTGATTGGTGGATCACCAACCAATGGAAGAACAGCCCTGGAGACTGCATTCAAGCACACTCGTAGCTCAGATGAGAAGTCTAATGTTGTTGGTGAACTTGTTGATGTTAAAGTAGAAGAGACAATGGAAAGAGATTTCTCCCATGATGTAAGATTCTAATTTATAGTTTTAAGAAATCTTGAAATGTTGTTTCTCAAGATCAGTATATTCATATTCTAATATGACAAAATACTGCAGAATACCATTACACTCATATATACATGTACTGATGATAACTTTGATTCCTGCTTATGATATTAATTAAGAAAAGTGATAGACAGTGTAAAATGTTAGAAGCAATCATTTTGACAACTTTCAGAACTTATTCTCAACCTGTTTATATTTGTTTTTCTTCCTTTAACCTCTTGAATCCCAGGGTCTAAAATTGGTGGAAACCAGAGAATTTTTAATTTTTGCCACCTCTTGACATTTTACTACATACCTATACAATCTTAGATGATCAACATTTTAAAACAAATTTTGTGTAAACTGGATAAAAATTGTTCAATTAAGAGCAATTTTAGTGAAAAATTTGGTGACGTGTTTTCTCGTCACTCTGGATTTCAAGGTCATTTCTGAGGTGCCAAGAAATCTCGTCACTCCAGGTAATCAAGAGGTTAATACCATGAGTAGAAAAACTGGACCCTTCAAGAGTGTGTCTTTTTATTTTTATTTATTTTTTTGCTTCATTGGGTCTTTTTAATACAGAACTTCTGCGTAAATAATCAGAATGAGCATTTTTTTATTTCATGTTCCAGGCTTTATCATCTCGTCTCCGTGGTTATGAGAAGATGACAAGTAATGCTAAGCTGCGCCATCTATTAGGTGGCCAGGGAGGTATTAACAACCAGAGTAACTTTGTGGCTGGTCGATTGGCTGAGCTTAAAGGAGAGAAACCCCTAGAGACTGTCAAGAGGTACAAAATGTTAACTAAATGTCATGACTTATGGTCAAGTAAAGTTTCATTTGACAATGTGTTTGTTTTTTACAATATCTTTTTTTATTTATATTCTTTTATTATATTTATATTTATTTCTCAATTCACCCCTTATAGGGTATAAGAGTACAAAAGAAAAACTTAACTAATACAGTAACAAACATTAAAATAACATTTATATTACATTTAGAATAAAATCCAACAGCTGCCTTGGTTTTCATGTGAACATGTAATTTGAAAATGTGTTAATGAAAAAAGAATGTTGAAAATGTTAATTTTGATTTGTGTGTTCCAGTCCATCTAATATGAAACCGAAGAATGAGACAATTAGGAGCCAGAAAGATTTATTGAAAGCTCAATTGAGGGAACTCCAGTCAAAGGGAGACAATCTCAACTCGGAACTTGTCCAGGTAATACTAGTAAAACCTGTGTTTGAGAATACCTAGCTATAGTTCAACATATTTTCTACTAATTTACAGGCACTCGCCTTTTTTATAACAGTGTTGTCATTATTTTGTGCTGTTTGTTTCTATTTGAATACATGATTTATGAAATTTATTGAGTCTTAAATTTGGCATTAGTTTAGATAAAAATAAGGTCATTCAATTCTTACAGGAATATATGTATTCACCTCTAAATGGAGTGAAATTGTATAATATATCGAAAATTAATGCTTTATTGTAAAATGTTCTATATCTTTATCTCAGGTGATGAAATCAGAGTCGGAGTTGTCTGAGGGAGTACAGAAATTGACAGGAACTAGAGAAGAGGCACGTATCACAGAGCTTCAGAGTCAACTACAATCAACGACACAGAAGAAAACAGATCTCCTTAAACGAATCACACATCTCGAAAGTGACATTGCGAAAAAAGAACGTGAACTGAGTAAATAAAACAAGTGTGAATGAAAATTGAATTAAACTAAAGAAGATTGTCAGAATATAAAAGTCTAACACTACTGAGAAAAAATAACCAAACCATAAAGAAACATCATGAACTATTGAGATAATGAAAAGTGGAAAACAATATATAGAGATAAAGACTTAAATGTAGAGTATATTGAAAAGGAAACCAAAGAACTGTATATAAGCAAGAATAATTTGCTTGCATTCATCAAGATAGAAGCTTTATAAGATAAACGATGATATTCTTCAGGAAATGTATATATCTTGTGGTAGAAAAAGCTTTATAGTTGTCAATAACGATAATGATTGACCTTCCATTTGATGATTAACATATTATATGCAAATTATCTGAAAATCTAGCAAATTTGGTAAAACTGACAATGGGCAATGACAGTTTCTTCAAATGTACTAGATTTTCATTCAATGTAAGCTGGATTGTAAAATCCTCATGGTATATTTTTTATTTAGTTCACATTTTGTGTTAACTTATTTTTAAGGTCATGTAACTTGCCAGCAGTTTTTTTTGTAGAAATGTTTTATTGAACCAAACTTCGGAAAATGTACAGACTTATATATAGTTCTTCCGTCCAAAGTAGCATTATTTTACAATCTAAAAAGTGTATCAACATAATAAATACATAGAGAGAGCTTTTTGCCTCGAGTTTAGAAAATTCCGTCCTAACAGTTCAATTCTGTTGAACAATAATGTACTCAATTATTAGTATGTAGTTTATGTAGTTAATGTGACAAGGTATCCGTCCTGCAAAACTGTTTTTATACAAGTGATACTCGTCATTTTATATCATTTTGATAATTATATACAATTATTGTAGATTAGGTTTGCATACAAAATATGCTGTCAAATTAATTTGTTGTTTAGTGGCTATAGTATGGGTGTTAAATACATGTTGTATTGTATGTTTAATGTGTAACAGTATCTATAAATATTAATATCGGAAATTCCATAACTTTTGACAGTGTTGTATTTTGTATGCAAATGATTTTGATTGGCAGGACCAATACATGTAACATGGATTAATATTTATAGATCATGAAATTTAGAAATAATAAATCTATTTTAGAATATATTTGTGTGTGTCATTTATCAATATTCCAATATTCAGTGGCTGGGTGATGTTTGTATCAGTCCTCTCCATTATGGTTGCATTATAAACTTTTTTGGGCATATCAACAGTATGAACGTCTTTCTCGACAAAAAGGGTAGAATTTAATGCAATAGATTTCCCATTCTACTATTCAGGCCTACTAGACTTCCACCAACGTGAACATCAGTTAGACCTTGTGAACCACGTTACTTGCACTCGAACCACGATTCTCTCATCGCTAACGTTGCACACCACCATTTCTTCGCTCCTGAACACATTTCTCCATTTGTTGGATTTCTCCATTTGTTTGTCTCCATTGATGGATGGGTCAATGGTTCATAAGTAATGGTACTGCTAAGATCTGATTAGGTAATGGGTAACTAACAAGGAGCCATTTAACTCTCCAACCAATTTAATTCCATAAAAACTGGCACTAATATTTTCCCTTACTTTGACAAATAGTCTGTTAAGTTTTTGAGAGAAGTGATTTTTAAAAGATGCTTTACTAGTATGAGGGCATGTCCTGTTAGACATTTGTGTCACCACCTACCATTTGTTAGACACTGAACACCAAAGACTAACCACCAAACATTGTCCACAAAAAATTGGAGACTAGAATAATATGAACTATTTCCTATAAAATCATACAAAAGTTCAATATGTACTGTTAAATGGAATCCTATACTTAAAATCAAGCCTTTTCAAAAACAAAATATTAAATCTTTCTCACTGTGAAATAATCTAAATAGGAAAATGTTGAGAATTTTGACCAAATAGGAGTTTATTTAATACAAAATATGCAAAAATGAGTTCTGAGTTATTATCTCACCGAACGAAGTTTGAGGGGGATATAAAAAAGCCATTCGTCTTTTTCAACCTTTTTTGAAAATCATCAAGTTGCCAGGAGTACAAATCTGACATTAGTTTTAGGATTTGACCTTTACTTTTGATTTTTGGATGTAAATTTTGGTCAGCTTAATCACACAAGACCTTACTGAGCTCTGAATAAGTAAAATTTTCAAGGTCAAAGGTCATCAAACTAGGTCACACAACTGTGGTAATTTTAGGTACTTATTAACAGGATTGCCAGAGTAAGGGAAACAGGGTGTTTTGTCAAGGGAAAACAGAGAATTTAAAAAATGACTTAAAAAGGCTGAAAAAGTAGGGGATTATACAATAGACTAGATGCGAGTAGAAATAATCTTGATTTACGTATATTCAAAATTCAGTCAAAGTGATGTCATATTTGAATTCTACAAGTAAAAGTACATCTAGAAATGTGGTTTCGAAAATTGTTTATCAACTTTGAAAATTTAATTTTCTTTGAAAATGTGACTTCTCGTTCGGGTTGATTCCCAATAGACCCCATGTTACAAAACCACAAAAAGTGAAATATCTTTTCTTGTATTTGTCAAATACCATTTTCTTTTACTGGACATATTTCAATTTGCATAACTATTACAGATACACAAGGGTTATATGAAAATTGAACCACTAAAATAGATGTAATTTAAATTAAAGGGAAATTTTTCCTATACCCGCCATGCTATCTGACCCGAATGAGCCACCTGGTGGTCAAACTGGTAACTTCCTACTCGCATCTGCGTTATTCTGATATGTCAGGTAATTTTTGAAGAACATGAACTATGAATTTTACAAATTGTAAAGGAAAGACTTTGAGAAATGTTCATTCAATGTTCATGTAGCAATAAAAGTGAACCATAATAAAGTCACATTAGTAAATAATCACAAGCTGTTAATAATAATTTTCATTAAAGGACAACTGAAATAGCTTTTCTCAACTTGCAGCTACAAAAATGCGGTTTTCTCCATTGTAAGCCCAACGTAGAGTTCTTGCGATAACCATTATAAAATAAATGTTAGATAACTGCTAACGGTCATAAATAACGAAACAAAACTAACTGATCAATCAAATTGGCCCCCACGTGATAAGTAACGTCATATACAAAATATAGCTTTGGTTTGTTGGTTCCTTAGTAATCACAACGTCACGGCAACCATAGGATTGTAGTGTAAACCAAAACAAAACATTTAGGCATTATGACGTTATGGGCCACGTGGGGACCAGTGAGAGATCACGTGGGGGCCAATAACGTCACAACCAATTCGAATATTGCTTATTAAGCAGCTATAACGATCGTTAGAGTGAAATAGTTTTCGCACTACTGATGAGAAAACATGTCCAAATACATTTATCAAAAAATTATATTGATTCCTGTAGGTTAAAAATACCATTTCATATCTGCTTTAACTTCATTAACCCCTCGATTTGTTTCTTTACAAAAACAGTATATTTGGTCAATTTCACTTTAAAAAGGAAATTTTGGAGTGAAAAGGGACAATCCAAGAGAATCGATCAACATTTGAGCAAACTGTAATTTCTAACTGCATCTAATATGTGGCTAGTAAAGGTCATATACAAGGTAAGGTTTATTACTGGCCGAGATGGGTACATAATAGAAGTTCAGTCTCATGACAGGATTGATGACTTGTGTGTTGAACAATGGTAAATGGAGCATCATCAATATTGAAGTATACTCAACAAAATTGAGTTCTCAGCCAAATTATAGTTACCTAAGTTCATTTGAACAAAACAAGTATCTCTTATATTGTCACATAATATACAAAAATATATTTCTTACAGTAATATACATGTACATCATAGTTGTCGAAAGGATGAGTGAAATGTCATTCCTTTTCAAAATCAAATGTTCTCCTTAGTTCAATGTACAAAGTGTTCTTTGTTCGCATCAAATCTGTATTGAAGTTAAATTGACCTTGTGTTCGTTTATTTATTCATTGATGAAACACCTTTATGCCAATAAGTTCACTCTCAACCAATCAAAACTTCTTAAGTTTCTTGACAAGCGACCCTTTTTTACACTCATTCAAAACATTTTTCATTGATTATCTGATGATTTAAAGCATAAAAAGTGTAGTACAAAGAATATTGCTTTAAGTTTAAATAATACTTTACTATAAAGGGAACATTTAACCCATGTGCAAATTAAGACAAAAGTCAACCGAGGACATGGCTGAATTGAAAAAAATATTTTTTTACTCTCGGTGACAAACATCTGCTTTACAATACATTTTTATATTAACCTGTAAAAAAGATTGTAAAAGTTATAATTAATGTCCTTGTTCAGGAAACTTAGTTTTTTCTGTGATTACCCATTAGTTAGGCCATGGGCTTTCAAGAGAAGCCCATGGTTAGGCATACATTGTTACTATGCATTGGTAAGAGATTTAACATTGATACTGTGATTTCAACATGATAGAATACTAAAATAATTTGAAAGATTCTAGCTATCATTGCCTCACTTATAAATCATCCCTAATTTGGGCAACACAAATTAATCCAGCAATAATCATGAGCTTTAACAGAAAATATTTCAGTAATCTCCAAAGATTTTTTCACAACATGGTGTTCAATCATTATTGTGCCTGATATGATCAAAATATCAACTTGCACTTGTTTAATTTGGAAATCTCATTTTAATCGTACATTCACATCATAAAAAATATATACAGGGTGATCCAGAAGTAACGTCAAAGACATTGTAATTTCAAAAGTATTCATCAGATCTTCATGAAATTAGGTATACATGTACCCACAACATTTCTGAGTTACCATCTCAAAGATTGGAATTCAATCATTTCATTGGTTGAAATTATGGTTGCTATAGTAACCCGATATCGCGTAACCCGGGGCAAATTGAAGAGAAACCATAACGTTTTTGTGAATTTCTCTAATTTAAAAAGTCAGTAACATTTGAAAATGTTCATTGTTTGTTTTCTATGATTTTTATATTTGTTGCCATGGTAACAAATATGTAATAGTTGTGATGTCACAATAGGCATTCATAAAAAGCTTTCAATTTCTTTGAATTGCTTCCATCATCCATGACAAATACTAACATGACCAAGGACACTAACCCACCCAATTCAAGATGGCGCCAAGTCAGAGTAAAATAGAGCAAAGAACAAACATTAAGTTCTGTGTAAAGTTGGGGAAAGGTGTAAAAGAGACTATAAGACAGATAAAGAAGGCATATGGTAAAGCTGCCATTGCTGAGAGAAACATTTACAGGTGGTTTAACAAGTATTCCAGTGGATATGATGAAGTGGTAGACAAGCAGCGAGGAGGCAGGCCAGTGTCGTCATTCGATGATCAAACCATCAAAGCAATTGAAGCTGATGTTATGGACAATAGGCAAATTTCTATCAGAGAATTGGCTGAAAAACACGATCTGAGCTATGGGACTGTGCAACGGATACTGACAAAGAACTGTCTGTTAAAGAAGGTGTCTGCTAAATGGGTGCCGCATGACTTGACACAGGAGCAGAAAGACCGGCGTGTTAAGGCTTCAAGGGACTTTCTTGCAAAATATCGGAGAGATGGAGATGACTTTCTTAACAAGATCATTACGAGTGACGAATCATTGCTATCATTCTACATCCCAGAGACCACGCAACAAAGTTCATCGTGGAAACATGACAACTCCCCAACACCAACCAAGCCTAAAATAGTACCAGGAATTCCACAAAAGAAACAAATGGTTGTGACATTCTTTGACATTAGAGGAATGGTGTTAACCCATTTTGTTCCCATTGGCCAGAGAATTAATGCCGTTTACATTGCAAAGGTAAGATATCATTTGTTCTAATAATACATCATACTGTGAATTTTATTTTTAAATTAAAGTATTTAAATGTTGTTCACTGTCAATATAATTATAACTCCATGGCCATGATTCAAATCCAAATCCAATCAATGAAACAACTGGTTTAACAACCATTAAACATTTGTTTTTCAGGTTCTGAAGCGTGATCTTCAACGTTCCCTGAGGAAAAAGTGTCCCGGACATCTGCAACAGTTTATCTTGCATTGGGACAATGCCCCTACGCACACTGCAATCCTGACCAGCAACACAGTCCAAACACTTGGATTTCAACAACTTGAACATGCCCCTTATTCACCTGATCTTGCCCCCAGTGACTTTTATTTGTATGGGGAACTAAAAAGAAACCTTAGTGGAAATAATTTTCAATCCTGTGAGGAATTGAAAAATGCCGTAGTACTAGCCCTACAAGGAATGAGTTCTAATGGATTTAATTCTGTGTTCAAGGAATGGGTATCCAGACATGAGAAATGTGTTGCAAATGGTGGCAATTATGTAGAATGAACTATTATTAGTAACTGTGCAATAGTATGATTTATATTGTTGTGAAATAAAATGTTGAGGATATAACAATTTCAGATCTTGTTGATATTTTGAGATTACGCATTACACGTTAAGTAATTTGCCCCGGGTTACGCGATATCGGGTTACTATAGCAACCATAATTTCAACCAATGAAATGATTGAATTCCAATCTTTGAGATGGTAACTCAGAAATGTTGTGGGTACATGTATACCAAATTTCATGAAGATCTGATGAATACTTTTGAAATTACAACATCTTTGACGTTACTTCTGGATCACCCTGTATCTCATAATAATATCATTTCATAATTCACTTTCATGGGAAATAATGCTTGAATCTTGTGGTGTGAAAAAACATATAATAATGGTACAATATGTAATCGTCTAATCAGAATGACTAAAGTACACTAAATGTTATTTACATTCTACATCCTAGGCCTATATAATTTACAAATAACCTGTTTTAAAGTATTGTATATATTAAACTATACTAATTATAACAACTAATCTATGCACAAAATATGAACACTTTTTACATAGTTGAACACATATTTGGGGTCTCTTTGAACACAGTATAAAAATATAGGATCATTTGGATAGGACTTGAAAAATAAATCCAAACTGCAACTTCCCCTTTTGGAAGCTAACAGTTACAGAGTAACCAAGAACTGTTTCTAAATAAGATGCAAAAACTCTTTCTGAATATTCAAAAATATTCAACAGGTTCAAACTGAGGTTTCACATAAGAGGGATAATCAAAAACTTTTCCCCAGATTTTTAACTTAATATATTAAGGAAGGGTTGGTGGTCCTTCCTTAGGAAGCAATCACCAATGTATGTTCCTAGCATAAGACTTGGAAACATTTAAAAATTACAATTTCTGTCAAAATAGTGAAAATTACAATTTTGTACCCACTCGAGAAAAAAATCTTCAGTCAGGCTAATTTTTTGCAACCACGGAAGCCAAATTATCTCACTCTGGCCACGTTAGGGAAGCTATACTTGAAGGTGCACTACACCATTACATTGAATGGACAGATGTTGTCGATTATTTTTACAGGTTACCAGGGTGAGAAAATATCTAAGAAATCACCGAGGCAACCATACAATTACCTCCTTTACCCGCTATTAACTATTATCACATCACAATTTGAGATTACAGAACTTACTTACAGATCATTTTGTACATAATATATCATCATGGGAAATATTTGACATTCGACAGGTTTGGCAATTAGAGACACTTAAAAGTTTTATGCAATATGGCATGCTACATCTATACGAGTCACTGACTTCTCTTAGTTTACTACAATACAAGTACTAGATATAGTACAAAATAGAAATATGGCCAGGCAAGTGTACTACAGTAATTCTCAAAACAAAAGTGATTTTAAATCGACTTAATCATAATGTAGGACTGAAGTGCAAATATAGTTATAGTTATTGGTCAAACAAACTTGACACTTTCACTTCAATCACAAAATCAGAATAAATCAGATTAAACAGAAAAATTCCATTAAACATGATGCTCTGAGGTTGCTATGACCTAAAGTATGAATTGTAATATTTGTGCACAAATTTTCCATTCAGTACAATTTCATTATGAACAAATAATAAATTGAGGATTAGCATTGTATATAATAGACCGAATCAAAATATCATTTTGGCAAAGCTAATTTGATGAAGGTTTGAACCCCTCTATAGCATCTTTGATAGGTCACACCAAACATTGAAGTAGTATTATCATCAGCGTTTACATGATCAAAGATTTTTTCCATGACAAATCTGTCATTTTACCCCCTCCCCTAATATGATTAATTCTGTGAAAAAATGACAAAATGATATTTAATCTGGACCCTGAACACTATAGTACACATATTATATTCATAAAGCTTAACTATGATTTGTGCAATGTGCATCTTCAGTTTGAACTTCCTGTACAATAAAATCACCGGTTCTTTAAAATATTACTCATTTTCAGCTTACCCAGCCTCCTCCCAAAAATATTGGCTCACTTTAATAAATGAAGACTGTCTGGAGGTGAGCCTGGTTAGGTATAGGTATTCCTCAGGCTAATAGACTGGTGGGTATACAGGCCCATAGCACCCGAACCCTGCGAACCCCCGTTGGCTACGGGCTTGGTATATATCATAAGTGAATAATCAAAGATCTTTTGGAGAAGGCTCAAGTTCTTACACAGTTTGTCCTCTTTTTTATATAGTTAAAACACTTCTATCGGATTTGATTCACAAGTATTTTGCAAACTCAAAATGATTTTTTACAGAATTTGATCTGATTGTCAAGAAATTGTAGTTATAGTTGAGATATTCAGAAAATTTGTAGTAATTACGATCTTATCTTAGGCAAAATTTACCTGCTGTTTTATACAAATAGTATAGTAAATGATGTTTTTCATATTCGTTTTCACTGTCAATTATGTTTGCCACTTGCTCTGTGTAGCCCAGTAAAGTTGTGTCCATGGCGTCACATTACATCTCTTTCATATTGACTGAAGACAATTCTGTACTCGGCGGAGTGTTCTATAGTGTTCCATATGTATATATAAATACATATAGATATAGAGTTCTTGTCCATCTGAGCTATGTGGCTGACCACATAGTTAAAGTTACATACAACATACTGCACATACATGTGACTTGGTCAACATGTTCCTATGTCTCTCTTCAGCTGTACAATAAATGTACAAAATAATGTGTACACTTATGAAAAGTAGTACACTTAACAATTAGTCTCTGTTTCTGATATCCTAACTACACTCTTTGATCCAGTCCAGTTAGCATACCCGCTTTTATCCACAGGATATAATAGTATGTCAATCTATTGCAGATATAAGTTTTTACCATTTGGCAATATTGTGCGTTTTTACACAGTTCTTAGTCTAATCGCTATCTGACCCACTGACTATTGTTGCACTATTTCGCCTTTTCCTTTTCAATGGAGTAGTAGAGACCTTTGATTTTTTCACTTTAACATTGACTATTTTGGTTTTATTGTCTTGAGAGCAGTCTTTCTTTTTCTCGTGAGGACCTGTTACCAACAGATACGATAACATATTGTTTTCATCCATTTTGTAACCATGGTAGCCGCTGTAAAGGATCAATGCAGCCTGAATCCCAAGAACTCGGTCATGATTTTTCTCCCCTTCGAACAGGTCCCAATATATGCTATGTTCCCATATGTGCTTTGTAAAACAGACCTTGCTCTTATACAGCTTACCTGAAACATAAAAAACAGGATATGATTTATCTAGATCATGCTTTATCACTTTGTTTGGTTACAACTTACAAGTCTACTGAAAGATGAGTCAAGTTGCCTTAACTTTTAGTTTATGAACCTCATCTTATACAGTACTTGTAAACCAGATGTTCAATTTCTTTATCACAATTACTTTTATGAAACTAATAAATGTGAAATAAATAATTTTAGAACTATGAATAGAAATTCACCTCCAACAAATCCATGGAGCCTTAAATACGGACAATGTCAGAACTCTGAAACCTGAAAGTTTGAAACAACTTGGTGAATTCCTGTTACCATTTAACAAAGAATGTGTGCTGAGAAGACATATCATCCTGATTGGTCAAATCGACAGACAAATGAAGTCATTCAATGGTAGTTTCAAAATTTTCTAAAATCACTTTGAATTTATATTACAAGTTAATTTCTGGCATGTTAACCAATATCATATTTCACATCAAGATAAAAGAAAGATGTAGCGAATATGCTAAAATCAATTAAAACAGCTCAACGACGCATGGTATTCTAAAACTAGCTGATGAAATTTTAGACAAATGAAAGTGATAAGCAAGAGACTGTCATCTCTAGGTTCTAGGGTTTTCACTACTCTTCCAAGGAGGATTGGCACCCGGGGGTTCACTCTAAATGATTTGGGGATTGGCACCCGGAGGTTCACTCTAAATGATTTGGGTAGGTATGTGCAGCACAACCAATTTTGGCATAAACCATGGAAATTGGCCAATCTGAGAGGAAAAAACATGGAAAATCGTCTAAGAAAATACCTTTATTTAGGTAAAAATTCAGCTTTTCTACCAAAAAAGGTATTAAATTAGTTAAATCATTTGCCGCAGCCTGGGAAAAATCACTGGAAAGGTGCATTTTTGGTCAATTTAACAATATTTCTGGAAATTTAGTCCCTGCAAACTCCAGAGGAATTTGATATGGACAAGTAGTTGGGAGCAATAAAATGGACTTTCATAAGTCTGGGAGGAAAGTAACATGGAAACTTTCAATCTTGAGAGGAAATTAAAGGCCAAATAAAAAAAACTGAAGGTAAGATCTTTTTCCAAATCTATCAATTTAGTTAATGAAAACACAGGATTTTGTCCAAGGGACGGATCATTGATTTTTTTGAGTCCCTTCATCAAAATCTGGGTCCTCCTAATGTTAAGGACGCTGATACTTTCCTGGAAATTCCATCGGCTATGGTGTCTAAGTAATCAGAGATTGGTAGATCACTAGATCTACAGAAATTTGCATTTAATTTTTCAAGAAAATCATACTTAGAATCAATTCAAATTAATAATTGATTTGCACTGAACGAAAAGAAAATATCTCATTGGTTGTTTGTGTTGTTTTCCAGATAAGTAGCTAGTTTAACCGTATATTTGACCGTCAATGCACAAATAATTAAGGGAAACATGAGTGATACTCAATAAAACATTTATCATCAACCAAATCTCCATGTAAATACATCGTTGCTGCTAAATAACCATCTAAAAGACAACATGACCGATTGACCTACTTTATTTATCAATGGCCGCTGCCTCATGAATATTTATGAAGCATGTGCGCTAAGATTTTTACGACCAAATTTCCAGCATAAAACGTCGAATTGCTAGAAAAGTACAAAATGTCACTTCCTTATTAAATGTCCTTCTTTTGAATAGTATCACGTGTTATGTTTTGCGGCATAAATTGAAGCTCATTCGGATAGTTTTGATGATGTTTGGAGAAATTTTCCTAACAACAACAATGGAGAGTAAAAATTTTAAATGGCCGAAGCACATGGCAAAATGGCAATTTTCCAACCGCATTTTTTGTGACTTAATCCCAACGAATAGACACAAAAAATTCCAGATATATGCTTTATGCACCAGTTCATCATATGACAGTTTTACTTACCACAAACACTGCAATTTATACCTCCTTCGTACTCTTCATACTTTCTGAGAACGTCCAGGACTCCGTCGAGCTCAAGACCTTTGGGGCTCGGTAAGACACCTTCGTACGAGCGTTGTGAATCTAATCGCATTCTTTTTGGCCTCTGAGCAAAGTCAAGAGGGTCTTCGTAATCCATCTCCATAGTTGATTATATTCAACTTACGCTAAATAGCGAGATATCAAAATTTTTCTAGGCACAATAATTTCTACAAACATCGAAGCTGCAAAATCTTCATAGTATAAAAACAAAATGGCTCGACCAATCAGATAGAAGAATTTGACCAAAAGGTATTGATATGTAAATATCTTGTACCACGTGATCATACTTTCCCGCGAAACATTGATACAGGAATTTTATTGGATTAGATTCGCGCTAGCGGGAATTTTAAATACTAATATACATGATATAGCAAGTGTGATTCGGCGAGAGAGAGCAATACAGGAGGTAGAATTAATGCATTTCTTCATATTCAACGGATTCATCTCTTGCGGGATCTCAGGCCTGACTACCAGTGTGCTTGTTCATGTTGGCGAAGTAATTAGCTTCGATAAGGCCAGGGCCTGGGGCACTGGCGGCTCCGGAAGCTAACAAGTGGGAGGGGGGCAAATTTCGAGGGAATTTTTCGGGGCCCTTAATTAAAACTTGATATTGGGCCTTAAAATTGAGAATTTAAGGCCCATTTTTTGATAATTTGGCTTATAAAAGGCCTTTAAAGGCCAAATGTGCCCTAAAGGCCCATTTTTCTGGGAATTCAACATTGTTTTTCTTTTAAACCAATTATTGAAAGCATCTCTGTAAAAGACACGGTCATTTATGTAATGGTCACTAATTGACAACAATTTTGCGAAAATTACTTAAATATATTTTTATAACTGTTTTTGTTAACATTTTTTAATTTTTAGTACAATTGTTTTTTGTTTCTTCCTACAAATTCTTGAGAATGAAATAAAAATTCCGAACCCTGTCAATATTATAGTTATACAAAGGAAAATTTGGTAATGTAACAAAAAATTAAAGTAACCATTTTATTTCATGAACAAGATGCTTTTTTAAATCAACGGCGAATTTACCTTTGTACAATTACAATATTCGTAGAGACCTAAACACGCCAGTTTTATTTGTCGTTTTGTTCCAATGAGGTTCGGATAGATGTATCGTTTTATTCCGAACTTGATACCAAGAACAAACGAAGTGTATGATGTGTTTTCTAAAACAATATAGAGATTTCAGTGTAGATTGACAATGTGTAAAATTTTCAGTATTTTGTGATTAAGCTTACTGGGAGAACATGTGTTCAATTCAGTTCGCCATATCGATACTAATCAGGAAAAGGGTGGTCATTTGAAATCCATGGTGGGACAAGGAGGTCCCACGGTAGATAATGGTTTAGTTGAGGTTTGTTTTCTTTATGACTAGTGAGCTCTTAGATCAGTAAATATCTTGTTTTTGTTGCTGTGTTCTTCACCAATTTTTGGTCCCTTTTCTTTGGCACTTGTACATACATCCATAAAGACAACTTGTGCTTGGCATCGGGAACTCTTTCGAACGTGACTGACAGTCAGAAGTAGGATTCAGGCCGATAAATATGGCAGTCAACTCAAGTTGTGCTCTTCACAAGCTATCGACTGAGCTGCCATCTTTTAATGAACACTCTATCACCCTCGTATAAAGCCTTTGGCACATGGATCCGATATACGCAGAGGGGCATTCCAAAAGTCTTGGACGCCCTGCTCTATTTTGTTGCATTGGTTAAAATTACTTGAAACTTTCCAAATTCCAATAATAAAGATCAACAACCCAACTACTCTGAATAATTTACACATCGCAACTTTCAGCCTTAAAAATGCTGACACTATTTGACTTGCATTGTTGATGTGAATTTTGAGATATTCTCGCTATCATTGAACTTGAGCCACTACCGCACGCACAATACGGTCGATATGGCCCCCGTGTGTTTTTTCCTTTCCCCAAGTTACAGAAGGACATTTGTGGATGAGAACGACCTTCTTCCCGGGCGTCCATTCGACCATGTCCTCAAATGGGAGGGGGGGGTAGTTCACTCATGTGAGTCATGGGTCCAGCACTGTAATTCATACATGCTGTTGCATTTCAACTCGGACATATCACATGGAATGTACAAAATACTAGAAGTCTCTGTACATTTCTGCATTTAATGTTGCCCCTGTGGTTCTGTGATGTCATGTCATCGTAGCAGCCTAACTTTCATTTTCTAAAAAAATACAATTTTAGTTGTAACACTTGAGAGTACACTGTGTACAAATTTAAAGACAATGCATTGACCGCATATTTATCAGCACCAGTCGTGTTACTTTTGGAACACCCTGTATATACGTCTACAAGTAGTCATTGATTAGCGTTGTGAGTAAATACTTATCTATTTTATAGATATAATTATTGGTCTGAAATCGCAGTGATAATTGGCATTAAGTTTAATATGAGTATCCAGTCAACAATATAAAAGAGGAACTTAGCAGAGAAAACTATTTGTTTTCGGTAAAAATTATATTAGAATCGATGATAAAATATTATAATCCATACGCGTATAAGTATTCTTTGTTGAGAAACAAAACAAAAGGTCCATGTGCAGTATGGCAAGTAATTTTAGACAGTCATATCTTTCACCATGAGTACTTTCTGGCTATAAATACAATGGTTTTTATTAAAATAATGTGTTTTCTTTATACATGTGAAATCCCCATGATAGTAAAATAGCAATCCAACTCTCTGAAAATTATGGATTAGGGCCCCACCTTGGCACTTTTTAAATTTTTTTAAGACACATGCATTTTCTAAAAAGAGAATCTTGTTTTTCTCAATTTAAACATATCGAAAGTTTCTTCTACAGTACATTAACAATTTCTGAAAAGGGGATGTGCATTGAAATGCGTTAAAGTTAAAAACACATATCCCATGTTATTTTCCCATAGAGAAAACTCGTGCTATCCATTATTTTCAGCATCATTTTGGTCATCGAAAATTGATATCTTCAAAACTAGACTTTCAATACCATTATATTTTTGAAGATGTTTTAGACCCCTTGTTGAATAATTTTTTCATGCAATAAAAATCAGAAAAAGGAGATCCTCTTTTGAGTAAATAGGTTCAATATTTCGAAAAAAATGTTGACATGGGGTCCCTATTCATAATTTTTCGAATTGCTCGATTGATATTTTTATCATCATGGGTACTTCAGAAAGTACACTCACTTACGTACTACACGTGGTCTTTTCAATTCACCTCGCACACTGAGCATCGCAGATATCCAAAAGGACAGAGATAAAAGGCGGTTACCACACTGATTCACTTATAACATAACGTTTTGCGCATAGGCTTAAACATAATTATAAGTTATACTTTCACTTTTGAGCAAAATCTCTCTATTCTGACCGAATAATCGGGCTAATACCTTCCTCATGGTTGTCATGCATGTGTTGATTGCGTTCTTACAGCAATTGTGATTTCTGATTAATTTGTATTTGTCAAATCTATTGTAATAACCCCAACCCCGTTGCTCCTAGCAACATCAATTAAGCACAAATCAGTGCTAAATAATAGATAAGCATGGATGCCGAACTCCCGTGCAGTGATATTATCACTGCGGCGGGCAGGTATCCCACCGTAAGCATGGTAACTTCGTAATAAACAACTGACGTGATTGGTTCAAGTCCCATGCTCAGGTCGCGTGATTATAAAATTTAGACAATTTCATTGGTTGAATTACGCGTATTAACTAATAAACAACACGTGCGGTAAATTATTATCAACACAACTTTTACTCAGAATTCCTTCCGCGGTGATTTCTTCTCATATATCAATAATTTTGAAATATTTTGACAAAATAATGATTGGGGAACATTCATGAATACATATTTTATAAGTTGTGTGAAAAACAAGTACATCTGTGACAAAAAGGGGGACTATCTTCCCCAAATTTTGGGGATTTCATAATCTGCCCGCCGCAGTGTCTATACCGAGACACTGCATGGGAGTTCGCATGGATGCCTTATAAGATATACGTAAATACGTGCAGTTGTTTCTTTCATCACGCTCTTCTTATCAAATATATACAGATAATCGAGTATACCTAAAATTTAAAAGTGATCATATTATTTATAAGCTTTGGCACCAGATTCGGACAGAAGAAACCTGGCAACAAGGGCATAGATTTTATGAGAAAAACCGTACAGAAATTCCGTATTTGAAAGCGAATTAAAATCGTCCAGATGTTCGCTCAAAGGAGGAAGCCCAAATTGACGGATGATTTCAGTGCCATTGCGACCGCCATGTTAACAAAGACGGCGTCGAGCAGAAGAATTGCTGTAAGTAAGCTTGATTTTTGTGTCTATAATTTAATAATAAAAAATAATAGAGACTTGAAACAAAATAATGGAAAGAATAATTCTCCGCACTATCACTAAAGTCCGTGCCACTATTTAACAAAAAAAACCCATCAACTTTGAATTGTTACTGATCGATATGTGTTTACGAATAACCCCCTAGCCGAATAACGTTCCATGATTTCAGATAGGCAACGTGGGAACAATGAGGAAACAGCACTACAGGCCCCTCAGAGAAGAATGTGATGTTAAAAGATTGACCTTAGAGAACAAAGCTTTAAAAACTCAAATAGAATTGGTGAGTATTTGGCAAATTGATAGTTCAATGGTTAACTCCTTGTCTGATGTCAACCCAATATCGTTGTGTATTCTGTCACCATCACAAGTGTTGAGCTTATTTTTAGGCTTTTTTGTGGATGGCGTTCGGTGTCTGTTACAAATGGCAGGTGGTGACATTTTGCATGTTAATGCCTTGTGTTTATCCTTCCATCATATACTCCTGGTGGGTGTAAGCTTTTGTTTTCGTTTCCGATCTTGCATATATATTTGTTAACAATATGAGTGGCGTCTTCTACCCTTTGTATCATCATGATAAACCATGACATCTCAATTCTTCTCAGGTGAAACAGAAAGATGCTATGAGTACCAGAATGCCTTTGTATTCGTTTGACTTCGCTTATAGAAGAGAGCTTCATAACTAGACTCTGCACGCAGGGTAGGCGTATTCCACCTTATGAATTAATTCAGTTGCTTTTTCTGTTTTAGTTGGAAAGAAACGGTACAGCAGACAAAGACAGAATAAGTGAACTGGAATACGAGGTAAATGAGTTAAATGCCAGCAATCTGGAGCTACAGACAAATATGTCCAAAGCAGACGATATCGTTGATGGGACAAATTCTGAAATGGAGAAAATTCAAAAGATTGTAAGAGCGAATAAGATCAAACTTAACAACATGGAGGAAGATAACAAAGAGAAAACGCAACGTTTAGAGGATAAGCGAATAAAATTGAAAAACATGAAAGAAAGATACGACAGTGTTGTGTCTGAAAATGAAACTTTGAAGGCTAAAGTCGATGAACTGGAGAGTGATCTGAAAACTAAAAATAAAGAATCCAAGAAACACATCAAAGAAATTAAAAGACTCACTGAAACAATTGAAACTTTACAGGATTCTGATATAAGACGATTGGTCGATGAGAATTTACGTTTGGAAAATGATATTCATGACAAAATTGAAGAAATGAACAACATAACTAGGAACAGGGACAAACTTCAACATAATCGATTTCAAATGGGAAAACAAATCGAGAAACTCACTCAAGATATAGAGGACTTCAAGTCTAATATAAAACGGGAAGAAAGAAGAACACAACACACGTTTGATGTCATAAAAACAGAGATAATGAATCTGTATTTCGTCGTTGATGGCGAAGATGTTGCCCTTACAATGGCCCCCAATCCCGAGGAAGCTGAGGAACAAGGTCTCGTTCCCTACGTTAGTGACGTCCTATTTAAATTGCAGCAACTTCGTGAAAAAGTATGTGAAAGAATATTTGAGTCAGACTATTCGGACTGAGTGATGCCACTAAAACAAAACAGCTTGTTATCCAAATATAAAACGAGCCCTTGAAAATTAGCACAATAACATTGAAGCAATATTCTTCAAAATAAACTACGATAGTTCGTAAAGATGGCGTTTTAAAATGCTAATTTATGGAGTTGGGAATACAAAGAACGAGGTAACCTTGGTTCAGGACGTGATCGATATGAGGCCATTTTAAAAAAATTATATAGGGTTATTGAGTTACACCGACTTATTAAATGCATGTGATCAGAAGTTTTCTTGCCAGAAGGGTCCAGGGTGTCTCCCTTTTGGTTACCAATAACATTGAATGCTACAAAAACAACTTGAGTTAGGCTTTACTGTAGAGCTGTGGGAAAAGAATTGGCTGTCTAGCTGCTGCACGATGTAGTTCAACTTTATAATTTATTTTCCCACTCAGCATAGCGATAAAGGCATACGGTTCCTCATTCAAGATTGTAGAAGTAAAAAACTCCAAAGATGATGTCACCTTCTACAACATTACAGTAAACACGATTGATTTAGACTTGACGAGCGTGTAATTAAATAGTCATATTCTTCGTTGCACTATGCTCACCTCAACGAAAAATATAGTGTTGAGTATATAAATGACTTATTTAACCCAACCGCATTAATGTAAATAAACTCGTGAAACTATATTCTTGTATTGTTTAAACAAAAACAAGGTGATACTATGCAAAATGTCACCACCTGTCATTTGTTACAGACGTCGACCGCGCCGAGCGCCATTTGTTACAGACACCCACCGCCAAACAACAAGTCATCACTTGTCGTGGTGACATATTCATATATATTGAAAAACGACGCCGAAAATTTCCATGTTACCAGTAGAATAATATTATCAGGATAAGTCGTTGGCAAGAAGACATCTTGATGTCACTTATATGAAGAATATCAGCGGAATATCTATACTCAAGCTGCTTAAAAGACAAAGATCAAATTACTAGTATCTCAAAATGGAATTTATTTCTTGACATAGATTTAGATCGGTCATGTTTAAATAGGTCTGTACTCAGCTCAATAGACAGTTAGCCTAGTTTCAGAACGGTGTCACGTCGATAACCGTCAGGGAGAAAAACAAATCGATTACGTTTTTGAAAAAAGTAATCATGTCACATAACAGCACTTGTAGACGAATGGATTAGACTTGTTCTACCGTGAATCGCAACCAGGACCCAATTGTCTAATAAGAATAATATGAATCATTTAACTAATGTTCGATTTTGAGTCGGATCCGAATGCTTTTAATTCACCCATTGATCGTACTTTTAGCGAGTTCATTGATGGGTTTACATTGTGAATGCGGTATTTCGTACTCTCGGTTAGGTTATTTATTTATCTGAAAAAATATAGGAAGGATATAAATCTCGATACGCAAGATGTTGGCAACATTAACTAGGCCCTACCTAATGGACCATACACAAGCGAAAGAAAAAAGTAAATATAACAATTTTATAATATCCATATATAAAATTATTTAAAATCCAAAGTTGACTGAATGACAATTAAATTTATTTAATAACAACATATCTGGCTTAACATTAAACAATTCTATCAGGTTTCATTTCAATACTATGTATTATTTAAGGAATGTCAGCGTTTTAAAGGTGACTTGATCAATAAAAGTTAAAATAAATAAAATTCGAAGTTTTCATTTTGTCATATTTATTCAACTCTAGCACCGGGCTCCAGCATTAGTATAGTTGATCTTACTAACGCTAATACAATCTCAACGGTTATAATCTATCTAACTTTAACTCTGAGATCCATTTTGCAATGGTCATTATTAATTGTATATTAAGATATTCTTGGAAAGTGTTATCGTGATCTACATATCAATATTGCACAAGATGATACTAGGAATGAGGCAAAATGAATCTACATTTCACCAAAACTAAATACAGGGTGATAAAAAACAACGTATTTATACATCTAAGGCATAGAGCATGAGAGAAATCACATTTCCGCCAGGTATGCTCTACCCTTTGCATTTGTTCGACTTCACTTCATAAAAGAAAGTTCTACACTCTGCGCACAGGGTAGGTATGCCCTCATACCTGCCAACCTAAGACCAAAATTTTGCGGTAGATTTTTTTAAAATTGCTGTATTTTTGCGGTAGATTTTTTCAAAAAACGGTAGTTTTTGCGGTAGATTTTTAAAAAATACTGTAGTTTCAGAGGTTTGGGGTAGATTTTTGAAAAAAGTGTAATTTTGCGGTAGAAATTTTAAAAAGAGGTAGTTTTACAGAAGATTTAGAAAAAATGCGGTAGTTTTACGGTAGATTTTTTAAAATACGGTAGTTTTTTGAAAAATCGGTAGTTTTGCGGAAGATTCTGAAAAAATGCGGTAGTTTTACGGTAGATTTTGAAAAAATGCGGTAGTTTTTACGGTCGTTTTTTGAAAAAACCGGTAGTTTTGTGGAAGATTTTGAAAAAATGCTGTAGTTTTACGGTAGATTTAGAAAAATGCGGTAGTTTTTTACGGTAATTTTTTGAAAAACCGGTACTTTTGCGGAAGATTTGCAAAAGATGAAAAAATGCTGTACTTTTACGGTGATTTTGAAAAAATGCGGTAGTTTTTGCGGTAGATTTTAAAGAAACTAGTTTTGCGGAAAAATTTGAAAAATTGCAGTAGTTTTGCGGTAGAATTTGAAAAAATGCGGTAGTTTTTGCGGTAGATTTCTAAAAAACTAATAAATAAAACAGTATGTTAACCCTGTTATCAGTATCACACCAAACTAGTTCTCACTACGTTCTCGAAAACGGGCTTAAACTGTGCACGAACGGATTTGACGTACTAAGAACCCACTAACAAGAACCGTTTGGGATCTGTTACAAACTTCATGAAACTACTCGAACGAGTATGTCTTCCAGAACTTAGAGCATGCTCAAAATTTTCTGGTGATCGTCACGTTCTGCAATCAGCACGAGTGATAACGTACTTAAGACGACCTGGACGCACTGGGCACACACTACGAACGGAAGTGTCGTACTTCAATCCTACTAGGGACGTATTACGACGTTGTGTAGTCAGGCGTAAATTGCAGCCGTGAGTACCCCAATCTAGTCCGTTTGTAGCTCGTTCATTCTGTTCGTAGACAGACCCAACTCGACCGAATAAAAATAAATGCGTTCTGCACGGATTAGGGACACGATGTTTACTATTTTAGAACGAGTTCAACCGTATGGAAATTTGGTGGATAATTCAGTAACATATTAGGACGTATTGAGAACGAGGTACAACTAATTGTCAACTGGTTTAAACTGATTAAGGACGTAATTGAAGTTATTGAACTGCTTGGTTACGTTGTGTAGACCAGACGAACGCACTATTTAACCCGATCTAAACTTGATACCAACGTACTGCAGACGGAATAAAGACGAGATGAACGTATTAAAAACTGCTTATGAACGAAATAACAAAAGTAGCTATCACACCAGAACCAGTTGTCACTGCGTTCACGTTGCCGAATCGGTTTTAAACTGTGTGCGAACTGAATGAACGTAACTACAACGTTCTACGGTCTGTTTACGAACTTCCTGGACTTTCTCGGACGGGGAATGTGATTTAGAATTTTGAATCGATTCAATATCCTGCCGATACCTTATATTCGGTTTGGTAAAGGAATACTACAGGGACAGTACAGAAAGACTTCAATTTTAAGCATTTCCAAACAAAAACTGGAGATTTTACGGTAGTTTGAACAAAAATACTGTTGATTTTAGCAGAAATACGGTAGATTTTCAAAAATTTACGGTCGATTTTCAAAAATTTACGGTAGATTTTACGGCCGTTCTCACCGAAAAAACGAGTTTTGTTTGTATATTTTTTTACGGGCGTTTTTACGGGAAAAAATTGCATTTTCTTACGGTAGTTTGTCATTTTTACGGAAAAACGAAAAATTTACTGTAGATTCCCGTAAAAATACGGTTGGTTGGCAGGTATGTGCCCTTATGCAGTGGCGTGTAGCCAGGATTTGGTGACCAGGGGTTCAATTTTTATATTATCCACAAATCTCCACCTTCATTGGGGTTCCTCACATAAAACCATTTTTGTATTTTTATCGTACCTAACAAAAGGTACGATATTGTAGTCAGCTTGACGGGCGGGCGGCGGGCGGGCGGCGTCTCACTTTCAAGACTTGTCTACAGGTTTCCAGCCAAACCATTTGAGGGATTCATCTGAAATTTTCAGGGATGTTTCTACATATCAATGTCAAGAACTGATTAGTTTTTGGGCATTCTGGGTAAATCTAAAGGTGGCCATTTTGGATTTTCCGTCCTAAAATCTTCACTTTCAAGACTTGTCTACAGGTTTCCAGCCAAACCATTTGAGGGATTCATCTGAAATTTTCAGGGATGTTTTTACATATCAACGTCAAGAAGTGATTAGTTTTTGGGCATTCTGGGTAAATCTAACGGTGGCCATTTTGGATTTTCCGTCCTAAAATCTTCACTTTCAAGACTTGTCTACAGGTTTCCAGCCAAACCATTTGAGGGATTCATCTGAAATTTTCAGGGATGTTTCTACATATCAACGTCAAGAAGTGATTAGTTTTTGGGCATTCTGGGTAAATCTTAAGGTGGCCATTTTGGATTTTCCGTCCTAAAATCTTCAATTTTAAGACTTGTCTACAGGTTTCCAGCCAAACCATTTGAGGGATTCATCTGAAATTTTCAGGGATGTTTCTACATATCAACGTCAAGAACTGATTAGTTTTTGGGCATTCTGGGTAAATCTTAAGGTGGCCATTTTGGATTTTCCGTCCTAAAATCTTCACTCTCAAGACTTGTCTACAGGTTTCCAGCCAAATCATTTGAGGGATTCATCTGAAATTTTCAGGGATGCTTCTACATATCAACGTCAAGAACTGATTAGTTTTTGGGCATTCTGGGTAAATCTCTAGGTGGCCATTTTGGATTTTCCGTCCTAAAATCTTCACTTTTAAGACTTGTCTACAGGTTTCCAGCCAAACCATTTGAGGGATTCATCTGAAATTTTCAGGGATGTTTCTACATATCAACGTCAAGAACTGATTAGTCTTTGGGCATTCTGGGTAAATCTTAAGGTGGCCATTTTGGATTTTCCGTCCTAAAATCTTCACTTTCAAGACTTGTCTACAGGTTTCCAGCCAAACCATTTGAGGGATTCATCTGAAATTTTCAGGGATGTTTCTACATATCAACGTCAAGAACTGATTAGTTTTTGGGCATTCTGGGTAAATCTTAAGGTGGCCATTTTGGATTTTCCGTCCTAAAATCTTCACTTTCAAGACTTGTCTACAGGTTTCCAGCCAAACCGTTCAAATTTTTACATATGTTACACAGTGATAAGTTCTAGAGCTGATTAACTTTTCTGCGGCCATCTTGCTTTCTTGGTCAACAAGACCACAATGCTGTGTTTTAGGTACGATATTGTTCACGTCTGTGCCTTGTTCTTACATACAATTTACACCCCCTCCAAAAGTGTGTCGACCGTAACTCCCCCATGGAGTGTTTAATCCTCCTTATGTCTGAATTCTTATTCGTATAATATGTACAGTGAAAAAGAAAAATGTTTTTAGTGCTGGAAAAAATAAATTGACATCATGTCCGATACCTTCATTTTGTTTTCGCAAGATACAATTGAATTTGAATAAGTTAGACAATTTGATTTTCTATGTTAAAATAGTTTTTTTGTGAATCTTTTACTGTATAGATATCTTGAAATCTGAAGGCAAGATCATGATTTTAATATTACATTTGTTTAATGAAATTAAAATCAAGAGTAGAGCTAAGTTTAAGGGCAAATCCTAACATATTTTCAAGGAACATATTTTTAAGACGAGCTATTTTAGGGAGAAATCCTCATTCCTAATTTATTGAGATATACTTTAGAGTTCACACAAAGATATGTCAAATTCTGAAACATGCAATTCCCACACTTTAATACTGATGATTTTTCTAAAAGATTCCAAATCAAAAGATTTTTATTTGGTATTTCTCATTTTATAATAGAGTAAATGCAACGCAACGACTTATAAACGGCTGCAAATATTCAGATCCAGAACAATTAAATGCCAAAATAAAATCAAAAAACTCAAATCAATTTTCAGTGCTCAATCTTAATATAAGAAGTATGGCACAGAACTTTAACAAATTCTTAACAGTCAATTCAATTATTGACCATAATTTCGACCTCATTGGTTTCACAGAAACATGGTTAACACAATCTACTGAAAAATTATACGATATAGAAGGATATGAATCTGAGTTTCTATCTCGAAAAATTAATAAGCATGGCAAAAAACGTGGGGGAGGTATCGGAATATTCGTGGCCAAAAAGTATGAGTATATACTAAGGAATGACATGTCTATAAAAGTTGATGATTGTGAAAACTTAGTTATTGAACTCATTAATAGAGATGGTAAAAATATCATAGTATCTATTGTATACC